TTCTTGACTCACCACTGATTAAGCTCAGAAAACACCTCCGGTAATCTTCGTGCGGAAATAACCCACATTAAAAGTTGCCTTAAATAAAGCCCAACTTTATCACCGATTAGATAAAGAACTCTTCAATGAACAACATTTTATGAAAGTGATTTCGCCGTTTTCGCTGAATTTCGATCGGCGGCTGATTGCCGGAGAGTTATCACCCAAATCGATGTAACAATCAATGGCCCGAGATTTTCGGTCCATGTTGCTGTTCAACTTTGACTCTCGACTGGCATCATCGGGGGATGGGAGCTAAAGTCCAAGTCGGATTCGAAGCTGGGGTTTGGGGTCTTCCTGCACTGCATCTGCAGTGCACTTTCATAACACAATTTATCGCTGTCTGCTGATACAAGGCAGCAGATACAAACTACAAAATACCGCTCATAAAAACTTAAATCGAGTTAAGTTCCGCTTCATTGTTCGGACTGGCCAAAAAATGGGGAAAAAAATTAAAGAGAAACCAACAACAACGGGCAAACAAATTTAATATGTACTAATTGAATGTTGTGCAGCTCCAGCTAAAGACCCACTTCAGCAAAAGCCCAGCTAAAGCTACAACTCCAACTCCAACTCCCTCTCCATTCCCAATCCCAATCCCATTTGTATCTGCATCGCTTCTACATTGAGTCGGGTTCAGCCGGGTTGAACTTTAGGGTCACCACGCCAGAAAGACTCAGAAACTCGGCTCGTGAAAGTACGAAATCGAAAATCAAAAGTGAAATGTCGAACAGGCAGTTTGGCTTTAACTGACTAACCGACTGACTGACATAATTCCAGCTTGGCCAGCCACACTTTGGACTGTTCCCTAAGTCGAATTCCGAGTTCCGAATCTGAATCTGAGTCTGAATGCATCTGGTGTTACGCACCTCGCCCCGAGAGCCAATTTTTCTCCGCCTTTGCCTCGAGCTTTGGGTTACGATGTTGTGGTTTCTACGGGTACGCGTCCCATGGATAAGCACTGCGGGAAAAACCCCTATATGAAGCTATATGTAATATATATAAGTTTAACTTGTTTCTTTATCTTTGATTCTTTTTAAACCTTAAATCTTGGGTTTGTCTTAAAACCCTAAAAGTAATTATTGGGTTGAAGTTTTGGTTTTAACAAAATGTTATACTCCCTAAAAAAATCAAAACTTCCATAAGGCATAAAACTTTCATAAGATTGTTATTATTATTTTTAATCTTTTTGAAAAAAGTAGCTAACATAATTTATTACTGTAAGTTCTTATCAATTATAAAGATCAGAAGATAAAAGTAATTATTGAGTTAAAGTTTTTGTTTTAATAAAATGTTATACTCTCTAAAAAGTTCTAAACTTCCATAAGACTTGGTACATCTATTAAAATGCCATAAACTAAAAATATTTCTTAAAGATTGTTATAAAAATGCATCTATGTTTTTATTATTATTCTTTTTGAAAAAAGTAGCTAACATAATTTATTACTGTAAGTTCTTATCAATTATAAAGATCAGAAGATAAAGTTAATTATTGAGTTGAATTTTTTGTTTTAACAAAATGTTATACTCCCTAAAAAATTCAAAACTATTAAATCAAATCTATTATCAAATCTATTAAAATGCCATAAACTATAAATATTTCTTAAAGATTGTTATAAAAATTCATCTATATTTTTATTATTATTATTTTTGAAAAAAGTGGTTAATATTTATTATTATTGCGAGTTAAGATAAATTATAAAGATCTGATTCTCAGAGCAAATACAATATAACAACTACCCTATAGCGACGGAACAACCCCAACTATGTTTAGTATCGGGTGTCCCTTAGTCTCATTCTAATGTTTTTGCCCCCATCTCGCTCTGAACGAAACCGAGTTGAACTTGAACCGAAAGATACGATTTCAAGCTCACACTTGCTTGGTTGAGCTCCGCAATTGATGGGGGGTATACATATGCGTATACCGACTGGGAGAATCGTTTGATTTGCAATGCAAAAGAGACTGGCAAGGTCTGTGGGCCAGGCCACTCTTGATTTCAATTCAAGTCCAAGTTCAGGTGAGCGATGGATATGAAAGGTGCGCCGTTGTCGCCTACGGTCTGCAATGGGGATTCGGAATAGCTTCCTCTGGAGGCACATAAGTGCGGTATATCGTATTGAAAGGGATCGCTGCTAGATGCACTCCTAATCCCATCACGCACCTCCAGCTCGGCTGGAGGTGTTGCTGATATGCCGCTGAAAAGCTGTGCAGATTAATCATAAAGTCCATAACAAAGAAGTTTTGCATGCCGGCGGAGATGAGGATGGATGTATGGATATGTGGGCTGTGCAGCGGGGGGCATCTGGCACGGATCACGGATCCCGCTGTCACGTGTCAGTCAAAATGAATCTCTTTCTGGCGGAGGGCAGGCCTATGGAATAGTTACGAGAAGAGCCAACAAAAAAATAGGTGTTACCCGGGGGCCGAGGAGCTGGCTTAATTGTTATTATTGTTCCGAGATGGAAGCCCAAGAGGGGCGAACGCTTCTGCAGCTGACAGCGAAATGTTCGCAACATGTCAAAACTTTTATGGTTTTTTAATGGTTCTCCATATAGATTTGGCCGGAGTGCGATTTTAATTGAATTTTTATTTATTTGCGAGTGGCGGCAAACTATTTATAATGTACAAGTATCTTTCCCACCCGAAAATGAGCTTTTTTTACATCTTGTTTATCTGCGACTTCTGACTGCTGACGCTCGTTTTGCCTTGTCGCCAGATCTGATATCTGTGCGCGGTTTATCTGGCCAGGTATTCCATGGGCAAACACTCAAAAAACTTGTATATTTATCAAGAGGCTGGCGTACACCAAAAAGAATTCACAATTAACTCACGGATTTCTCGGGGACGGGACAGTTATGTGCTAAAGTTGTTTTGGAGGTTTTCATCTCTCGCCCCAGTAGATAAGTAAATCAGCTGGCCCGCTTAGTTAGATCTCATTATTCCGGCGACCTTGGGGCGCTTCTAATTGCGCGATGCATCTGTATCTTTTTTGCTTTGACAAGTGCAAGTCCAGCTGCTGATAACCAAGCTTCGGTTCTGGCCGGTCTATAAATATAGACCCAACCCAACCAGACCGCATTTGTAGATCTGTGCATCTGCATTCCTGAGTGATTACGCTACATTAAAGAAAGATACATTTGTATCCGATGGACTAACACCCCAGAAATCTCGGCTAAAAAATGCCTTACACAAAATTTAATGTACACACGAGAGCGTTCACATATATTGTGGTATATGTGCGGGTACAGAAAGTTTCATAATTATTGGATGAGCACGCGTTGAATAATAAACACATTTCTGACTTTGACAGCTTTAAAAATACATTTCTTAATGGCTTCCCATTTATTCTATAAAAGTGGTACGGTCGATGAAGCAGCATTTTTGATTATGATTTAAAAATGAGTAATTTTTTATTTCTGATTTATATAGATTTTCCCTTATGCTTTCGTTCCGCACTGTCCGTACACGACACTGCAATTGTTTCGCCACGAGCATCTTTCACTCAAAGTATCTTCGGTGTTCTGGTGGAAAAGATATTTTTGGATTTCTGGCGGAATGATATTTTGGGGACAAATGTATGACTCCCAACTAGCGTGATATTTACATCCCGAAAAGTGTTAGCTTTTGGCGAGGTTATATTTATATTATATATTAATATTTAATTTGGTTTTGTTTAGATGATTTTCTGATGTTAATAGTTAGAGGTTTAAATCAAGATTTATTTTAATTTATTTAAATCTTTTTGTTTACCCTTGTAATATTTACAAATTCAAAAATCCCACTTTGGTTTATTGTTTTCTTTTTTAATTTGGTTTTGTTTAGATGATTTTCTGATGTTAATAGTTAGAGGTTTAAATCAAGATTTATTTTAATTTATTTAAATCCTTTGTTTACCCTTGCAATATTTACGAATTCAAAAATCCCACTTTGGTTTATTGTTTTCTTTTTTAATTTCTTGCCGTCAATTTGGAACAATTTCAGCTTAAAGCTTTTTTAATTTTAAAGATAGCAAAGAAGCTCATGCAAATCTCTCCTTAAACAATGTATAGCCGATGGTAAACTCTAGCTGGCGATTTTTGTGGGCCGAACAAAAAAGTGGAGACGTCTCCGGCTTGTGCAACATGCTCTGCTGTTTGTTCAACATCAATTAAGATTATAGGAAAAGCCACTTGTTCGGCAGAGAAAAAATGAGAAAAACAAAAGCCACAGCAGCCAGCCAAAGAAAAAGTCTTCCACTGAAACAAAAGCCTGGCCAACTCGGGTAACCAATCCCCGAAAGACAATGGACACGCCAGTGGATGCAGCAAAAACGGGGAAACCAACTAAACATATTTAATGACAGCCAACGGATAGTGGCCGAGGTGTATTGTATGGTAGTACGGTAGTTCGGCAGTATGAATATAAGGAGGGGCATGTCATGGTCATGGCTTGACTAGCATGGTCTGTGCTAAAAATTCGCATGCGTAACACTCGGCTTGCCGTTGGAGGAAATCGAAAGGTGGCAAATCTCAGGCTGAGGCCAAAATGGTTATTATCTACCAGTCGGTTCGGGGTCTTTGGGTGCCGTGGGTAATTAAAAAATGTCTACAGAAATCATTTAAATTTTCAATAAAATAAAAATAAATCATAGAGATGCATTCCTTATATTTTCTATTGGTTAATTTTTTTTTAATTTTAATTTATTTATTTAATATCCCAGCGCTTCAAGTGCACACTTATAATTATCTCATTGAGTTGATATTTTTAACTTATTATTATTTTTAAAATATTTAAACAATTTTCCTCACTTACTTACTTAATTACTAAGATAAATTTCCCTGAATTTAAAGTATTATTGTTCCCTCAAAGTCTGTTCCATATTTAAAATCTTAAATGGGCCTGAAAATTTGTTTGCTTAATTGCTAAATGATTTTATTGAAAGGCATCCATCGTCATAGAATAATATCGAATTTTACTGTAGCCCCGATCGCATTGGGAATGAAGTATGCGCTGCACCGGACAAAAATAGAACGGCAGTGTGCTTTAAATCTGAGGCACTGAACTTTACGGCGAATACACTCGACCGAATCGGAACTGTCATCAGCTACAAAAGATCCCAAAAAAAAAAAGAGAAATGCCAGAGGCACGTCAGGGATGCATTACATACGACATGACCTCTCGAGGAAGATATGAAGGTCTCCCGATGAAAACTATATATGTGAGCTCTGAGAATGGAAAGACCTGGAAGAGGTGAAGAATCACAGCATGCTAATTTGCTTGAGAGTTCGAAGTTCAGTGCTTGTGGCATGCTTTTGGGCGAAAAAATAGCCAATATCCTATAGACAAATTAACATCGAGGGGTATATTAGTGGCCTGTACAACTTACCTATATCAACAAGAGATTTGTTGGCCTACTAAATCTCAAATTTTATTGGCTTTCTTGCATGATTTATGTATATTAATTAACAAGATAAGAATGAAGTTCTGAAGGAGTTGTTTACATTTAACTTATCTTTCTACGTGTTAAACCAAACATTTCTGTATGCATTTAAAGTTTATTTTTAGCTTATCAAAAGATATAAAAATGAGCCAAGGCTAAATAAACCCAAGGCAATAGTTTGTGACTTTGATTAACAACTTATAAAATATTGACAAGTTAAATAAATATATTTTGTATTTTATTTAGTGACTCAAGGACTAAGGCACTTCAACCCATAGAAGTTGACCAGTCGGTGGTGAGGAGAAGGACCAAGAGCAGTAGCCTCATATCCTGCTGCTGTGCACGTCACTCCACGAGGACAGTGGACAGCGAAGCTATCGAAGGAGAAGGGGAGGCAATCATTGGTGAGATCTGAAATACATCACGAACCTAACTTACATTCACTTACCTTTCGACAGGCGATCAGCAGGTGCCGCACCTTGCACCACTGAAGCTATCCAGCTCCTTGCCAACCACTCCGCAATTGGGAAAACGGGTGGTGCGAGGACGTGGCTACAAGAAGCTCTCGTGGAATGAGGATCGGCCGGGCGAAACATCAATATCAATGATCGCCCAGGGCCAGGAGGCCAGGGCCAATCCGCCGCTCACCTATCAGCAACTCAGCCGCAACAATAACAACAATACCAGCAACATAAATAACAACAACAACAACGATGAGGAGGAGTACGATCCCATTGCCAAATACTTTGCCAACACGCAGCATCAAAAGCTATCTCCTCGGATCGCTGCGAAAAGCTCACGGATTCTCTGCGAGAATTGCTGTGGGGAGAGGCAGCAACAAGTTGGCAGCTCTATGGACCGCCAAAAGCAACAGCAACAGCAGCAGCAGCAACAGCAGCAACATCATCAGCAGCAGCAGCAACAGCTGCCGTTTGGGGACTACGATTCAGTGTCCGATTTGTCGTCGTTTCGCTTTGTCTTCGATGGGGAGGAAGTCGATTCCACGAGGCGCGTATTATTCGATGCTCATTATGAGGATGCCGCTGACGATGACGATGACGTTGCGCGGCCGCCGGTTATAGAAATAGAAAAGCGGCAGCCAAATACATCAACAACGAAAACGGAAAAATCAACAGAGGCGGCAGCAGCAGCAGCAACATCAGTGGGAGACGCGTCATCGCCAGTGTTGTCCCTGTCATCTGAAATCAGCGACGAGTCACCAGCAATTTGTTGTTATACAATTGACAAAAAACTGTCACACCAGCAGCAGCAGCATCTACAACCGAAGCAGCAGCAGCAACAACATCTGCAACACTACAATTCCTGTGCCACTGTTAGCTATCGAAGCTATCGCCTTCCGCCACCAGTTCCACCCAAACCGCGTGCCCATGTGCAGTCCTCTGGATGCGATGAGCCAGCTTTGAAGACCAGACGTTTGGTCTGCCATCAGCCACCTGCCAGTTTGCCTCACTATCCGCCTAGAATTTACCCCGCCAACAGCTGTTGCCTCCCCAAGGATTGTCACGCGTTCGAGGGAAACTTCAGCAATAACATCAACTACAATTGCCGATTCGGGTCGAGTGGGGATTGCCACTGGGGATTGGTAAAGGGACCCCGATCCCTTTGCTATGATCGACACGGCCGCCTGACCTTCGACTCGGAACCGGAACCGGAAGTGGTGGGTGAAAAGAGCAACGGAGTGCACAAGTCGCTCAGTGAATCGCGTTTGCAAGTAGAATATTACGCAGAGCCCAAAATTCCTTACGATCCGTACACCGATTTGTCGCGTGTGACCGCGAATGTTATAAACCCCGAAAGAAGCGAACGGGAAAGTACGTTTTCTCTGCCCCTGCAGCACAGTCGTGAGTGCAATGCACTCGTCCCAGTGAATCCCATAAACCAAATTACCAATAATCAAAACCATCAAAATCAAGTTAAGCGAAACCATATTCTCCTGCCCTGTCACTGCAGTTCCCATGTGGATGCTCCGTACGAGGTTAACAAGGAGAACGGGGTAAGTTCAGGCGAAAAATATTATTAATAGATGAAAAAAAATGATTAAGAGATTATGAAATAATCATTGATGACAAATTACAGTCCCAACGATGAGTTAAGATAGTATAGAACCGAAAATGGAATAAATGAGCGAGAGCAAATCAACCCCAGGCCGATATAGATAAAATGTATATTTGTTCTTATGTATTTTCCGATTCTCGATGGCCACCATTCATCACCGAACTGTCAGGGAGTGCAATTTTCAGCCATAAACCTTTTGTTTTGATCGATTTTATTGATCCCATATATCATATAGTTACTCGTCCGTTTGTTTTCCGTTCAATGGGAAGAAAAGATCTCTCGGAGATTGTAGTTGGGACCAGAGAATAGGTCTTGTATGTACGGTTGGATGGATGGATGGGCACCACCTGAACTGAACGGCACGTTCTGCCGCTCAATCGGAGAGATCGGGAGAATGTGGGATTTTCGCCTTTGATTTGTGCTGCTTGCGAGAGTTCTGCTCAGCGGAGATCTCTTTGGTGGTATTGCTCTACTTTTGTGTTATTTGTACGATTCTTTTAATGCGTGCACTAGGAGAAAATAGTTAAGGAGGTTTGTAATTCTTAAAATTAATTTTTTTAAACTTATAGTTATGGATAGTTATTGTTTAAGGATCAAAGAAATACTTGAATATTGTTAGAAAACTGGTCTATCATTCAAAACATATTTCTTAATTCTAATTCTTTTTTTTATAATTTATGTAAAGGAATAGTTTTTGTTTTAAACTATAAAGTTATTATAGGACATATAAGCATCTATATTGTTTACATTTCTACATGGTCAACTATTTTCTTTGCTAATACTTGGATATTGTTAGAAAATTGTCTATTAGAAAATGGTCTACCATTAAGAATATATTTATAAATTCTAAATAACCTTTTTTTTATAATTTATGTTTTAACCTATAAAGTTATTAGGACATATAAGCATCTATATTGTTTATATTTCTACACGTTAAACTATTTTCCTTGCTAATACTTGGATATGGTTAGAAAATGGTCTATCATTAAAAATATATTTCTAAATTCTAAATAACCATTTTTTTTTATAATTTATGTAAAGGAATAGTTTTTGTTTTAACCTATAAATCTATTAAGACATATAAGCATCTATATTGTTTTTTTTTATACACCTTAATCTATTTTCCTTGCTAATTAAACCAACTTTCTAGCAGTGTATTGTAAGTTGGCCCGTCCGCTCATTCATTCCCAGTCATAGCCAAAGATCTCTTGTATTTTCTGTATATTCCACCTACATACATATATACCTATATGTATTTGGATTTAAATACGTATGTGGAATACGTACAATTATATATGCGGCTGAGATCTGTTGTTTATACTAAAAATATCACTGTGTGCGTATGTATACACGAATCGGCTTAATATGTATATATATATAAAGCACCGTTGGCTTGCCTTACATTGTGTGTTCTCCTCGATTGGCTGGTATGTGTGTCATTGTGCAGCGATAATATAATGACGCTGGTGAGGATGAGGAGGCGCCTAATATAATCACGCTGCCTGGGTTCCGGAAATCGGAATATGGAATATGTAATATATAATGCCCGTTCCAATTAGCATTCCCCATATCCCACAGGCGCTGATCCTTCGGGAAAGCGACGAAATCTTGTTGTTTTTCCCCCCAACCAGCGATATTACACATACGCCGCGTTGACTCAATGCTGTGTTCAGTGTATCGAATTGAATTGCCAGCGATTTGTTTGTTTTTATTTTGTGAGCGGGGCGAGGGGTGGGTTCACAAGTACGCCCACAGCTAGTCCATAAAAAGACGGGGGGCTGGAGGGGGAGGGCAGATGGATAATGGGCCCGGGCAGGCCGAGAAGTTCGCCGATGAATAATAAACGTTTAACTCGAATTATCCCTCCCGTTCTCTTTCGCTCGCTTTTAGCACACAATGGAGAAACGACGTAATACCCTGGACCGCTTTCAGCGCCTCGGTTTCGGGCGTAAATCATCACCAGCGGCAGCCGCCGCCTCCACGTCCTCCACGCCCTCCACTTCCGGTGGTCCGGAGAAGCAGCGCAAGACGTCGGATCGTTCGGAGCGCCTTCGCGAGCTAACAGAACTTTTGCGGGGAGGCGGCGGTGGCAGCAGTTCCCGCGCCTCCTCCACGCCCACTCCACCACCGCCGCCTCCACCACCACCAGTGCCACCACCCCGCAAGCCACGCCACTCCCAATCCTCACAGTCCTCCCATTTGGAACGCCAGGATACGGGCGCCAGTCAAACCTCGGAATCGGAGGCGGGCAGCGTTCATCTGCGAATGCCCAGCGAAGAGAGCACACGTCACAGTGGAGGCCTCAGCACCGCCGCCCGCATCTTCGCCTCCCTTCGGCCAAACACGAGTCTCTCCAACCTGGAGGCCTTCATGTTGAGCAACCGCGAGAAGTCCAAGTCCCCGCCCCCACCTGCGCAGCAGAATCAACGACCTGCGGCCAGCAGTAGATGCGTAGATGCGTCGGCATCCGCTGGCGGCAGTGGCAGTTTCGAGAGCACGGCCCACGGAGCATCACGGCCGGATTCACGCAGCGCGCACAAGGCGGCCCCATTTCGATCCGTTTCGTTCTCGCAGATCGACTGCAAGTCCACGCTGACCGCTCTGCGGGATCGCCTCAAGCGGGACAAGGCCATCGAGGCGCCCAGTCCGAGTCCCACGCACTCCAGGGAGGAGGAGCACCAGCTAGTTCCACCGGATCCCGGCTGGGTGCGAATCCCCTTGAAGAAGACCGAACTGAGCATCAATCTGAATTACGGGCAGGAGAAGTCGCTGGATCACGACGCCATCCAGGAGGAGGACATCTTTAGCAACGAATTGGCTGCCAGTGGCAGCTCCGGCATCCTCTTCCCAGTGGCCACCGCCAGCAGTGTGATAGCCGCCCATGCCACCATGGAATCCCTGACGGACACCATTCAGTCGGAGAGCGATTGTCTGATCAAGGAGGAGGTTCAACAGCCTGTGCTGGAGATTACACCACCCACCAGCTCGTCGGTGAGTGGCAGTGCGCCCAATTTGGCCACCCTGATGGAGGAGCAGCTGCCGCTGGAGGCACCGCCGGATAACTTCCTGCAAACAGCCACCACCTGCGAGATACCAGTGCCCGTTTACGAGTGTGCCGCCCAGGAGTGGCTGGAGACCCCCGCCCAGGAATGGGTGGAGGTGGCGCCCGAGGAGTTCGGCATTGTGCCCGAGACCATTCAGCCGCCCATTCCGCATGCAGCCTGCAAGATCTCCCAAACGCCGTCCACCCTGACCACCGCTGTGAGGAGCGATTTGGTGCCCACCATTTCGGTGAGTCGATCCTCCGAGGAGGGCGACGAGCAGCTGGCCAAGATCGAGGACGGGCCGCAGGTGGAGGTGGCCACCACGGCCAAGAATCCCTCGGTGGAGCAGCAGCAGCACTGCAAGCAGTACAGCCACGATGATCTCGACCTGACCAATGTGGATCTGCGGAGCTCGCTGGAGGCCATCGCCACGCCGCGACACAGCACGGATGAGCGACAGCGGAGGCACCTGGACAAGTCGACCAAGCGCAAGGGGATGTACATAGACAACGCCGACTGGCAGGCTCCCGCGGAGGCGCCACCACGTGGCCTGGCCCTGGACATCGGTGTGGCCAATCTGAATGCCATTAAGCCGGAATCCCCGTCGGATGTCAGCACTCCCGGCGCCTCGCAAATGTACATCAGCAGTCCGCAGAGTTCCTATTCCTTCGAACTGAACACGCCCGAGCTGGAGAAGGGTTCGCCCTCGTGGGGCAGCGGAGGATTGGGACTGGCACAGCCACGCGACAAGGCGCAGCTGCTGAGCAACTTTAGCTGCCACAGCAGCGAGGAGAAGGACGACGCCTCCAGTCGGAGCCTGAGCTTCCTGCGCACCGATTCCACCTCGGACAACGAGTGCGACCGGGCTGCCAGGGAGCGGGAAAGGGAGCGGGAGCGGATCACCTCCAGTCCCACGCCCAGCAGCGGCGACTACGACTACAAGCGCTTCTCGAAGCGACCGCTCAGAGGTCCCTACGGCCAGATGCTGGAGGCCGAGATGAAGAAGCCCAACCGGATGCACTTCGAGGAGATCCTCGAGGAGCTGCGCGAAACGGACAGGTGAGATTTATACCTTGTTTTAAGTTCTTGAGCTAGATTCCTTTTAAATAAATTATTTATAGAGATTTAAAAAGCAACAAAACAGATTTTTTTATAAAGAAGTTCGTAATTAATTTTTAAAAGGTGGTACCGAGAAAGGATTTTGCAATTATTGCCTTTGAAAATGTAATTCGATTTGAAACTAACATTTTAAGATGAGCATTTTTAAGATGCTTCAATATTTTTTTTCTCTTATTTTAATTGCTATTGCCTTCGATTTAAAAACGCTTTGAAAGATGGAGGAAGGGATTCCTATACTTATTTCAAATCAAATAATCTCAACTCACTTCCAATTTTTGTGAAGAAGTTCATAATAAATTTATAAAAATTTGGTACCGACAAAAGATCTTGAAATTATTCCCTATGAACATGTAATTAATTTTGAGAATTTTTAAGATGCTTTAACATTTTTTTTTCTCATATTTTAATTGCAATTGCCTTCAATTTGAAACGTTTTAAAATATGGAGGAATGGATAACTATACTTATTTCAAATCAAATGATTTCAACTCACTTCCAATTTTCTTTCAGCTTACGTAGCTCAGCTCCTGGCGGTGCAGCTAGTGGATCGGGTGGTCCTTCGCGCAATTTGCCGCAGTACTCGAACTCGATGCGGGTGCGCAAAACGAGTACCTTTTTGCCGGTGCCATCGCATGCTCGGGCGGCTTCCACGCCCTCTCAGCTGGAGCACACCAACAAGTCCATTTCGGCGGCCACCGCCCAGATCTCCGTGTCCGCCAAGAACCTCAGTGAGGCGGAGTTGGATGACCAGCTGCACCACATGAAGCGGGCAGCCTCCGAGGCTCCGGCCCCCAAGTCGCACCACAGCAAGCGCAGTCAGTCGATGAGCACAGAGCGTCCCAGCATCCATCATCATCACCACGGTCACAGTCACGGTCACGGTCACAGCCACAGTCATCATCACGGCGCCAAACGGAGTCTGGATGCGGGATCTGGTGATAAGTCTGCCAAAGCAGCTCCATTGGCTGGAGGAGCTACGGGATCAGGATCGGGATCGGGTTCGGCTTCTGGAGGAGGCGGCAAGGCGGGCCTGAAGCCCACGCCCGCTCTGTTGGCCGAGCTCCTGAAGGGATCCAGTGAGAACATGATCTCCGAGCAGCGAAAGAAGACGATAGCGGTGAGTCACTTTTTACTAAATCAGTTTTGGTTGATTGGGTTTTGAGCCAGAACTTTTAACCTCTAACAACTTTGAATTCTTAGAAATCCCTTTAAATTAAAAGATATTCATGATATAAGGACACTGAAAATTTTAGGAATATTTGTATTAGTAGATGTTTATTCTCAATCGAGAATATACATTTAAGACGATTTTATGAGGAGAAAATACTTTTCTTTATTGTTTTTGATTTTTACTATTTCATTCCATTCACTATATTGTTGTCTCAAATCAGATTGAATAATAGTTTTGAATATTAATAATATTCACATTACTTAAATCAGAAGATTTTCAAAATTTGCTTTTAATTTGAGCTTATCAACTAAGCCTAGAAGAATGCGCTTTGAAGTATGCTATGATTCAGTTGCTTTAAGCGGGGTTTAAAAATGGCGGATCGTTCCAAAAATCAATCGTTTCCCTCCTCTCTGACCCTTCCAAAAATTTCCAGTTCCAGCTGAGAGCGAATTGGCTGAGGCAGCGATCGTTAGCTTTGCTCCTCTTTCCCCCTTCTGTGTTTCTTGCTGTACACACTCTCAAACGTACACATATTCAAATTTTCTCACGCTTTTTGTTTTGCTTGCTAAGTAGAAGTGCATGTTGTGGGTGTGGGCAGAGGCAGAGGCAGAAGCAGAGGAAAAACAGCGGCAGAGAAGAAAGCAGCGGCGCCATGTGAATTTCGAGGCGCATGCTCCAAACGAAAAGAAAGAAATCGTTGCGCATTGGAAATGTGTGTTAGTGTGCTAGACCCGTTCAGTTCCATTCGTTTTGGTTCGGTTCGGTCCCTTCGTTCCATTCCGCTCCGTTCCAGGCACAGTGGTTGCATCGTACTATTTTTACACTGGCAGCAAATTAAAATTGACTGATGACTGATACTTTGTGCATTGCTGCATTGTGAATCAACATTGAGAAATGTTGTGAACGGAGGCTTTGCTTTTTTCTGACTTATGAATAGTACTAAAGACTTCCGTTGTATATCCTTTATTCTCAGGAATTTAATGGGGTCACCCACTTACCATTAGTCCTGTTAATGGGTTATTAAGTAAACCTCATCATTGATGATTTTCTTTTCTAAAAATTTTAAAAGTAATTTTACCCTTAGCCATTTAAAAGCATAACCCGTTACCCCGTTTAGTTGGTTATGTTAAAAATAATTATGGTTAATAACTTAACTGAGTTTTTTTTATTTTCTCTGAAATAAAGAATTCCAATTCCGGTATAAGATTTAACCCTTTTCCTAACCTGTTCTCCTGTTTGGACACTTGTCGCATGCAAATCGAATGGAAATCTTACTCTCTTAGGGACTCTCTCTCATTTTCATTTTCCTTTGCTCTCCGAGAGCGGCGCATGGCATTCCAATGGGGTTTTAACAGCTGAGACTAGCGCACTATACAATGTTTCGAGTGTGTTTACGATCTGCTTTCGGTTCACATGGATAATTGATGTTTTGCCACAGAGCAGATAAACCGAAAGTCTTAAATTCACTATGAGCGTTTTTCCTGATTGCCAATATATATGAGTGTGTGTGTGTGGTTTGCTTTTGTTTTAATTGTGATTCTCTCTCTCATGTCCTCTCTCTTCGCTTACAGTGGGTGGTGGGCGCTCTTTAGAGTGGGAGTGGGGGTGGTGGTGGGGTGGTTTTTTCAGTGCGCTTGGAATATGAAAAATGGAAATTAAGTGTGTATATGGCACAATGGAATGTGTTCGTTGAGTCGAGTGGCGGAATCGCGCACTCCTGTTGTGGCCTCTGGATTTTGGGATGTGCCACTGTGGCTGCTCTCCCGCGCAGCAGCAGCAGCAGTAGCAGTAGCAACAGCAACAGCAACAGCAGCAGCGACTGCGGCAGAGCAGCAAAAGGCTGAAAAGAGACCACTGTGCGCGTTTCAATTCTTATTTGCTTTTCTACGACCATTGTGTGGCGGAATTGTTCATGTTTCGTTCGCTCGTTCGTTTGTTATTTATTTTTTGTGGAGCGAGGAATCCGTTAACGGCGTGTAAAAAGCAACAAACAAATAGGGCAACAACAAGCAAATAACTAAAACAAATCGTAAATTGCCAAACAGCAACGAATCGTATATAGAAAAATAATTTATCGCTGGAGTCCCGAGTGTGTGTGTGTGTGTTTTTCGCATAGGTGGAAAGAATGCATGGTTGTGTGCGTGGGAAAATGTCTCTAAGGCGGAGAAGAAAATCACTTTTCATTTTACTCGAATTAAATTTTTCTTCTCTTCTTGCTAACTGTGTGCGAGTGTTTGCGTGTGTGTATGTATATGTGTACCTGAGTGCACAAGGCCAACCTCTTGTTGCGCCGCGTTACGCCAATAATATACATCAAGTGCAAATATAAACTCTCAACTTAGCCACAGTAACTGAAGCGAGTGCGAGCGAGATGGCTAGCAAGGAGAGGAGCGGAGAGGAGTGAAGAGAGCAAATCAATTACCTGTCAGCCCTCCTCCATGTGTGTTAGTTAGTGTGTGTGATTGTGAAATGTAAAATGGAATTGTGTGGCTTATGCAGCCTGCACTGCTCTAACCCTCGCATATGCCCACTCCTCTCGTATAACGGTAACTGCAACGACCATCTAAACTGCGCACAGATGTATGCTGCAAAATACGGGCTACATAAAACTAACTGTGCAACAAGCTCACCACCCTCGCAAAAGCACACCTACACATACGCCCACCCCACAAGCGTATGCAGGGGTACACATACAGACATGATAACATGTTGCTTTCATAGCTTTTGTTGTTGCCCTAATCAGGCAATTAAAAACGCAACAGCAGCACAGCTGAACAGCAGTTGGTCGTGATTCAAAGGAAAAACAAGAAAACAGAACCGCAACTGGTTTTTTTTTGTTATGTCGTACATATGTATGTATGGATATACTTTTCCTCTACCCAACCCACGCTTTCCCTTTGTTTTTCCTTTGCGCCTTATTGGCCTTCAGTCAGCAAAGACAAACAACAACATGGTCAGTGTCATTATCAAATCACACACAGACACACGCACACACGCGTACAATGCAGTGGCGGTGGGCCAAGGGGGCCGAGGGGTGGTGGTGCTCAAGGCTGTCCCTGTGAGTGAGTGACTCGTGACTCTCTGTCGTTACTTACACTCGAAATAATCATTTAGACATGAGTCGAAACCCTTTTATTAATTTATTTCATGTTGAAAACTAAAAAAAAACCAGTTTGGTCACTTAAAAGAAATTTACTTTGACATTATCCCTGTTTTAAAATTGATTTTTTGTGTCAAATCCCTTATACTAATTTATTTCAAAAACCGAATTCTTAAAAACCAGTTATGTTATTTCAAAAAGACAGTTACTTAAAAATTTGATATTTATGCAAAATTTCACATTTGTATTGTGAACTAAAACTACATTTTAAACTGTGAAAACGATATATTTAAAAAATATTTTCGAGAGTACTTATTTGTAAAAGGAATAATCCCAATTCTTTGCTTTCAATATCTTGAGAAACAATTTCCTATATTAAAAAAAATTAATATATACGCATTGAAAAATCTATAGAACTTTATAACTTTATGTTCTGAGTGCAAGTGCAGGGCATGTGGAACGTGGGCAAGTGGTTCTCCCACTTGCCGACTACGCAGGTTGTTCTCCATGCGTGTGTGAGTGTGGGTGTCTGTTTTTGTGGCTGTGCAACATCCTCGCCCAGCTGCAATTTGCTTCATGCCAGTCGCTTGTTGCACTTTCAGTCTATTTGGGTGTTTTAGCCAGACCAGTCGTGTGCTTTTGTCTATAAACAAAAGGGAAAAAATATAGGAAACACAGAATGCTTCAGCGGTGCTCCAGAGATTCAGTGGCGTTGTTGCAGCAGTGAGACAAAAAGTTGCCTAAACTAGTGACAAAGTGAAAAAAGAGAGAACACTTAGCATCGCATTTCGAGCATGTCGCACAATCGCGAGAATCTGCGACTCAGCCTGTTGGATCTGCAGGCCACCCTGACGGCGCCCTCCCAAACCGTTGCCGCCGCCCTGCTCCCCCAGGCCCCCGCCCACATGCAACAGTTGCCGAGCGGCAGCGGCAACCTCAGTGGCAGCAGCAACATCAGCAACAGCAGCAGCAGCTGCAACACCCACTCGCACAGCAGCAGCAACATCAGCGGCTGCGGCACCGGCAGCAGCAGCAACATCAACAGCAGCGTCTCCCAAGCGGTCTCGATGGCCACCACAACGGTGGCGCGGCTCAGCAAGGCGGGATTCGGGGCGGCTGCCGGTTCAGGGGGCGGGGCCGGGAGTGGCTATCAGAACGACAAGTGCGACAGGCTGAAGAAAATGACTTCGATCACCTGCTCCGACTCGGAGGACGACTCCGAGCGGCGGGCGCAGTTCGAGATGAGTAGTAAATGGAATCTGGGCGGCTATGAAGGCGTAAGTCTGGTCGCAATTAACCCTCTACTAATTGCCAACACATTTTTAGGTGATAATCTTTAATGATTCCCCTTGTATTATCTCTTCTCTCCCCAGGACACACGCACCTATGTTGTGCAGGAGATCTACCGGAATGAGCAGTCCTACGTGGAATCCCTACAGACCGTGGTCGTCAAATATCTGAAGGTGCTCAAGGCCCCCGAGCATGCCGGCATGATAGACACACGCACTGTGGATGAGATCTTCTTCATGGTCCCCGACATCCTCGAGATTCACGAGAGGTTCCTGGGCGACCTGAAGAGCCGGTTGGATGACTGGGATGTCCAGCAGAAAGTGGGCGACGCCTTCATGGATACGGTAATATATTTATTATAAATTTCTCTTGCATTTTATGATGTAATGCTGTTATCTTATTTCACAGTTTTCGAAACTAGAGGTCCTAGAGGTCTACACATCCTTTGTGAACAACTGCAATCGGGCCAAGAACGCCATTCGCTCTATGAAGCACCAGCGACCTTCGTTTTCCAAGTTCCTCGAGTCGACGGCTCGGGAGCACAAGGGCAAGCTGACCCTGGACAATCTGCTCATCAAGCCTGTGCAAAAGTTTCCCAAGTGAGTTTCCATCATATAAGTAAATCAGAAGAATATCTCGTTAATAATCCCAAACTATTCCCAGCTATGAACTGCTCTTCCAGCGATTGATTAAGCACACGGATCACGATCATCCAGACACGAAGCATTTGCAGGATGTGCTGAAGCTGGTCCACGACATTCTGGTCCACATCAACTGCAAGGAGCGCGAGATCATGGAGAATGGACAGAGGGAGGCCACGCTGCGGGAACTGGAAGGTGTCATCGAGGGCATCACCGATCTTATAGCCCCGGAAAGGCAGTTCCTGCTCTTCGACCTGGTCTCCATGCCATCGGGACAAGGGGCGCGCAAGGATCGTGGCTTCTTCCTGTTCAACGATCTGCTCGTCCTCACGAGCATCAAGAAACGAAGCGGCACGATTCGCAAGCCAAACAGCTCCATTTGCCCGGGCACTGTGGCCACCACCCTGGACACCAATAAGTACAAGTTCCTCACCAAGATCTCGCTGGACTGCCTGGAAATTGTCAAATGTGAGTTATAATAGCTCCTCTGAATTTAAGATCAATAACGATTTATATATATACTCTGTAGCCAAGGACGAAAACATTAAGCGCATCGTCAGCGAAATCGAGACTTTGGCCGAAGACTGCAATAAACTGCAGCAAATCACCGACATAGCCGTATCCCTAAAATACCCGCATCAGTATCTGGAGGACGTAATCCGCGAGCTCCATCGTGATGTCCAGCGACAGCTCTCCGAGCGCCAGACAAACGACACCCAGCTGAATATGCTCGAACTGACAGTCAGTTCTCCGTAAGTGGAACCAAATTTAAGAACCCTGTAATCGAAATCGAATTGTAACAAGAGAGAACGCTATAGTCGGGTTGGTGTCCCGACTATTTAATACCCGTCACTCAGCTAAAGGGAGTGCGGGGGAGATTGATATATAACATTTTGATTGCGCATAACTTTTTAATGAATGGTCCGATTTGATAAATGTCTTCTACATTTCGATAGGTATAAATATACACAACAAAATTGAATATATACTTCTCGGGAATCTTTAGTGGGCGCCAGACACATTTTAAAATCGTTAGTTGGCGATTGTGGGCGTTAGAGGGGGCGTGGCAATCGGCTGAAATAAACTTGTGCTGCGTAGGGATCCCAAGAATATGTGTGGGAAATCTTAACCTTGTAGCTTATGTAGTTTCCGAGATCTCAGCGTTCATACAGACAGACAGACGGACATGGCTAGTGACCCTGATCAAGAATATATATACTTTATGGGGTCGGAAACGCTTCCTTCTGCTGTTAAATACTTTTACTCTACAAGTAACGGGTATAAAAATGGTCAATTAGCTGTTGAAACTAAAGCCTCTGTAATTAGAGGATTGCAACTTGATCGGCAAGTTCTGTATGTAAACCTACATGTAGTGTTTATGTATACAAGTGTTTATCCAGATTTAATCCACCAACTAATAATGTATTTCTTGTAATTTAAGAACATAAACTGTAAGACCCCAATTCCTTTTAATACAAGCCTAAATCTTATTGCTTTAGAAATGGCAACCAGAAGCTGACCGTGGTCTTCAACAAGACGGAGAAGCGCACGCAATGGGAGGAGAGTTTCAACGAGGCCAAGCAGAAGCTGGGTAAGTGATGGGTACCTTCCCTTAGATAACTTCCAATAAGTAATACTTATTCACCCACAGCTGCCACCCTGGAGCGACATCCCATTCCCGAGTTCCTCACCTCCATACCCATCCGCAAGACCCGTGCTGGCCTGCAGTTCACCTGTGCGGCAGCCACGCTGAGTGACAACCGGGATGTTTGGGTTTGCAACAGCGACGGCTACGTGGGTCAGGTGTGCATCATGTCGCTGCATCCCGAGCCGAATGTCACCAGCTGCAACGGGGTGTGCAATGCCCGCATCCTGTGCGTGGCCTCCGTGCCGGCCTACAGCTCGGCGGCCTCCAGTCGGAACAGCAGTGGCGAGCAGCCTGCCGGATCCGGTGGTCAGGAGGAGAAGGACAAGCGCAACACTCCGCAGAGCTACACGCAGCAATTGAGGGACTATCGCAAGAGCATCTCGCCCAGCTTCCAGAGTGCCTCCACATCGGCGACGGCGACGCCGGAAAAGAAGAAGCTGACGCCAACGCCCACACCGGTTGCGGGCGGGGATCCTGGTGATGCGGCGACCACGGCGCCTGGCGGCAGTGATACTCAGCTGGAACTGAATCTCAGCTCCAGCGACGATGAAACGGAGGCCGCAGCAGCCTCGCTGAATGTCGCCGGGAGCACAGGTGCGGGATCTGGTGCAACTCTAGCGGAACGGGTTCCCAGTCCTGCACCCTCGTATCATGGGCATCAGGTGAGATTCTCTCTACATCCCTCCGGCAAAGTTCCTGTTACTTATTTCCTTGTCCCCGCAGGACTCGAATCCCGAGGAGGGCGAGAGCAATCAATCAACCATGTGGATTGGCACTGAAGACGGCTGCATCCACGTCTATAATAGCACTGACAATATTCGCATTAAGAAGAACCGCATCAAGATCGAACACCATTCGGCCGTCTATTCCATTTTGTAAGTATATGATATTATTTTATAGAAATTAAATTCATATTAATTTTATAATACAGGTACCTGGACAATCGTGTGTTTGTATCATTAGCAAATGGTGATATCTGTGTTTACCTAAGAGATGGTGGTAAGTGCTTGAAGATTAGGCAGTTCTCAATTTGATTCACTGATGGTTCTTTATTTTAGCCACCTCCTGGAATACTTGCTCATCGCACTGCCTGTCCATTGGCACGGTCACCAGTCCGGTGAACAAGCTCCTGAACGTCAACGGTCGTCTTTGGTGCTCCATCCAGGGCATAATCAAAGTGCTGGATGTAGAGACTTTGACGGTAAGAAAGTATACCTCTCCTATTGATTTAAAAACTAATGTTATCCTATTTTCCCCCTCAGGTCATCAATCAAATACAGATTTCATCGGACTCGAAGCCGATCACAAACATGACAGTCTCAAACAATCATGTGTGGATATCCATACAGAACTCAGCGCACATTAAGTGTTTCCATTCCAATACGTGAGTAGGAAGTGGTTATATACTGTAGACCTTATAATCTTTATCTCTGAACCCCTTTAAACCACAGCCACCAACTGGTTACCGAAGTGAATCTCGCCCCCGCCGTAAACAAGATGCTCTCGAATTGCGATGAGATCATCCGACAGCACAAGGCCGCCTGTCTGCGGGTAACATCGCTGCTGTGCTGCAAGGATCTCATCTGGATCGGAACCAGTGCGGGCGTTTTGCTCACCATCCCGGCGCAGGGTTACGAAAAGGGTGCCATTAACATTGTGCCGACAGGCATTCCCCATGGCCACACCGGTCACGTCAGATTCCTAACGTTTGTGGAAACTACGGGCTTGGAGGGAGCTGCATCCGGTGGAGGCGGAAGCGGAGGTCGGGATGCAGGCGGCTCCACCAGCGATGAGTACTCCAAACAGGGGTGAGTTGCGGGGTTTAGTTTAAACTTTAAAGTTTGAAATATCCGTAATATATTTCCTTTCCCAATTATTTATCCAGATCCATCAAGCACTCCAAGTCCAAGTCGGAGACGAACAACACACTGATCATTTCCGGCGGCGATGGCTACGAGGACTTCCGCAACTCCGGCGCCAACTCGCTGAGCGAGATCGCCGGACGCGAGGACAGCACCAACCATCTATTGATATGGCAAATTTGAAGCAGAAGGCGTAAAAACCGCTGGAGGCTCCTGCTCTCACGCTGGAAGAACAACAACTGAGATCGCCTCAGTGGTTGTCCGAGGCCAGCGCTCGAGTGGAGAGCCCGGCGGTTTTTATGGGCCGAGCATTAATCGAGATCCCGACAAGCGGAGATCTGCAGCAGCTGCTAAGCTGGAAATTAGTAGGATTAGCTGACGGACTTAACGGACTGAAGGGACAAGCTGATGACGGATGTACAGATGAATATTGATTGCTCGCAGAATATTTAACGTTCGACTGGCCACCCAAGGCAGTGCCAAAAACAGAAAACAAATCACACATACGACTCCTGCGCCAAAACGCGATTTGGAAAGCACTTTCGATGTACAGACAGATCGCACCGCTGGAGAGGAAGAAGGAGAGCTACTCGATTCCACGGCAAAGTACGATAGATATTTTTGTATTGCTTAGCAGGCAGACTAATTGTAAATGTAAACCCCATTCAAGTGTTAAAAGTTCGAGTCTAGGTTTGTTTTCAATTGAATACAGATACAGGTCTAAGTCTAAACGTAAATCATACAGTTTGTGTACGAGTTTAATCCATCTCCGACCCTGCCCTTTCCCAGCCGGAATCCCAGCGCATTAATCGAATTTATAATCTACAAACCACTCAAGGGTCATGTCACTTATGTACGCGTGTGTCTCCAACAATGAGTACGCATGCCCAGGATAGGCTTGTAAAAATAAAAATAAAATTGAAAATATAAATCGTAGTCTAAGCATCTCCCTATTTTTATTGTATACATACGCGCGTAAATATATACATATACATATATATTAATAACTATATCGATAACTGATTAAATGGCGTTTATAAAGTTTATTGTAAAACCTATTTCATGCAAGAGAATTGAATTTGAAAATTGCAAATTTTAACATAAATACGAGTGATATTCAAGTTTTTGCTAAAGTTTTTTGGGCATGTACAAAACGTTAAACCCACACTAAACACTCACACACCCACCCTACCGAAGTCCCCCAACCCTAAACTAAACTAATCTAAATCCAAACACTACCTACTTAAATATACATATATTTTTTCTAATTGAATACTATTTGTAAGTTGAGCGCACACCCGAAAGCAAGCAACTCAAGCGACCCATCAATTGGCGGTCGCCGTCTCAAGCTCGATCGTCTGTCTAAGGTAGCAAATTGTAATAATTTAAGTATGAATATTTCTATGTTATAGTCTGGTTGGTTATTAACATTAATCATTGTTCAGTGCAGTATTTCAAGTGTACGCTAAGCTCTTCCGCCACCCACCATCCACCACCCAACATCCAAGACCACTAAACTACACTAAAACGACACCACAACACACCGAACCACCGAGAGCGGTTTCATCTGTTATTTGAGTGGCTAAACGCATCCTATGAAATGTATCAAATGCATTTTCCCATATTCAGTGAACATCTGACAATTGTTATCCTACCTCTACGAATACCAAGGTGTTAAATATATATTACTTATATACATTGTAATCGAGGTATTGCTCTTGGTCAGAAGTGGAAGCAGGAGCTGAAACAGGAGAAACTCCCTAAATGAGCTGTAATAATAGAATCTAAAACAATAATTCCCCCCTTTGCCAAGCTGCATTGTAAGGTTCAATAATAAATTGTAAATGTGTTAAAGAAATAAATATATATATTACTTAAATGGAGGCGTAAGCATGTATTATGATTATGTTTGTATCATCTACAATATTAAATGGAATCTTTAAGCCCAACTAAATGGCGATTGTTTTGGAAATTGAATGATAAAAAGTGTAATACAAGGGGGTACTATATTAACATTACTTTTTTATTAGGTTTGAGCGAATCGTTTAGATTCCTGCGGGGATTCTGCTGCACATGCAGCCAGAATAATTTATAATTCATTATTTAATTGCTTTGCCGCTCATTTAGTTTGGATACGCGTGTGGATTCAGATTCGCGCATATTTAATTATCGCATTCATTTGTAAAAATTAATTATAAATGGATTTATGCTGTATCTATCTGTGTCTAACCGAAGGCACATGCATATGCATTTCAACTGACGTGGACACTGGGCATTTTAATTGGTTTGCCCAAATCCCTGCTCGTATCGTATCCCTTATCCTCCCTTTGTTCCCATTAAATAATTCATTTTAATTAGTGTTTGTCAAAATCGAGAATTCCGCCGCTGGTTGCACTATCGATTCGGAACCGATTCGGATTATGATAATCCCGGCCAGAAGATACATATTAGGTGAGGCGAAACGAGACCAAAGCTGGGACTATTGATTGTTTTTTGTTTACCTTTGTGGTGGACTGCACACGTGGCACATTTCCAGCAGGGGATCAGGGGCAGCGAGGAGGAGGTAACCAGGGGGCATCCGTAAGTAAAATAAAATCAAGCAAATTATGCGTAAAACTCAATTATTTGGGACTTTTAAAACAGTCGAACAACAACAAAGGGGAAAAACTTTTGCCGTAAGGCATTTACGTAAGTGCTTGGCCATGGAGTTGTGGATCCATCCGTGGGCAGAGGCGGATGCGGAGCAGGTCGTCCAGACGAAAGAGACGAGCCTTTATGTTCGCCTCCTGCCACCTCGATACGCTTGGCCACATGTGTGCGGCAACATGCTGCGTAAATTACGCTGCCATAATACCCTTCCATATGGTCAACTGTTCCGCCTCGACACATCCATTACTCCGGCCAGCCGAGGGGAAAAAAACTTTCGCCGAGCAAAAGTTGCCAACTTTCGCACAACTTGGAGCCAACTTAAGGACTTACCGATTCGCAAGAGTATCTGGACTTCTGCTCTCCTTGACTTCAGTGATTCCTTTCGACCGTGTTTACACAGGAAACCCCGCAGTACCGCCCCCTCCGGCCGAAGGTCTTCGGTGTTTTAACTCCGCATAAGTTCTTAATAAATTTCATTATTGCATTTTAAACTTCATGTGGCATTATTTATGGCTGCCACCGCAGTCGGGCGGAATTTCAGCCACCAACCACGGACAGTCAGCCTGCACAATTCCCCGATCAGGTTGGCCTCCATTTAAATGGTACTCCACCTTAACGCATATTAAATATTTCACGCAATGCCAACGGAAGAGCTTATACTTGTAGTTATGACCGCGCCTGGTTATCCATCCGTTTCCCGAGTTCGTAACTTACTAATCCTCCGGCTTTAAGCCGATTTTAATTCACCTTGTTATTGCCCAGGGATTGGTTTTCATTTAAGGTTGTTATATAAGAAATGCGTTCATTTCATTTTCATTTGCAATAATTAGGGCCGTTGTATTGTCCCTTTGTTAAATTTAAAGTATGGTTTAAGCCTTGAAATCGTATGGGAAATCAAAGTTTAAGGTTTTCGATAAATTTTACAGGCGGGCGATAAAACTATTAATTGAGATTTTCTCCATAAATAAAAAGAATGTACTACTAATATGAAATTATCAACTTATGGATGTGTTTTCATTAAAAATCAAGAGCGGCTTCTGCTTGTAACTTTATTTGATTAACAAATCAGTTTGCGAAGATTTAATGAATACATTTAAGGCAACGCTTAGATTATTTTCGCTTTCCTTCCACTCCAACAATCTCAAAACTCTCTATCGAATAATACATAATATTTCATAATTTACAAATAGATTATCTCGGTTCATATGCGCATAAATACGCATGGTCACTTGGGCCTTCCTTCCTGCCTGCCTGCCTCATAATTTCCAATAATGTTTTCTGCTCTCAGCCCTCTGGTTTTGTCCGTGGTCAACGCATTTAGTGTTTATGCGGCTTTTGCGGTTGCTCTTCATGGGACACAACAACAAAAAAACAACAACAGCAATAGGAAAAGTCCGGGGTCATTTGTTCCCGGGACTTCCGCACATTTATGGCCACTGGCGAAATTGCCATTTTCACCAGTGGATATTTTGGCAGTTGTAAACTTGATTAACCAATTAATGCCCGACTGGTCGATCGGGGCACTCGAATTGTTCACTATTTTGCATGCTAGCATGCCACGCCCCCCGTCATCCGGTGGCTAAGCCGCCTTCAAAGGCCCCGAGCCCAACTGGTCCTTTGTATGGGCTTTCACAATTTTCCACCAAACCAACACGCAATGTAAGCTCGAAATCTGCTTAACGGACAATGGCCGGATGGGAAAGTCCAGGCCGGAATGGAATGGAATGGCCGAGTGGCCGGGGGTGTCTCGTTCTCGGCCTCTCGAAGGGGAACAATAAATTGAAAGGAAGATGGCAAAAGTCGAGGGTGCTCGAGAATCAAATTTAAAATATATATACAAATATATATATTTGTGTGTGCCTGGTAACCGTAATCGGAGTATATAGCCTCTGTCTGTTGGCCCCCAAACCCCGGTCCTTGCATCCCGTTTCTGTTGCCATTGCTGTTCTGCGTTCGGTGTTCTGCGCTCTGTGTCCCTACGCTAATCCAGTTGACGCGAATAATATTACACTTATTGATTGAAAATTATTAATAGCTTCTGGCCTTTGCCGTCTCTAAGCGGCCACGCCATACATTAGGGACCCAGCGGGTTCGTTCACCTATCAATTAAAAGCAACTTTAACAGGCATTGCACACGAAAAAAATTGTCACAAATATTAGTCATAAATTCGAAATTCGGGAGCTCAAATAGCTATGACTATAGTCATTTGAGCAAATAAAAGTAATCATGGACTCGATAAAAGATTTGACATTGGAAAACCAAAAGTAAAATCATTGATTTTTTTATGGTTATGATTTAATAATTTAGAAAAGTTGTTTAAAAAACTATAATCGTACATAAACTTGCCATTGAAGCAAATTAAAAATTATATTTTTTAAGTTAATGAACTATCTAAAAGATTAGCCATCTATTAAGATTATTGTATTTATTTATAAGTTTTACTTTTCATGATTTTCAGATCTTTAATGTATTTTAAAGATTTGTCAAACTACAGACATAAATATTTAAGCACTTAAACTACTTTTATCTTTCTTATAATAAATTAGTGTGACGTAAAAACATATAAAATTGTGATTTTAAAAATCCATAAATAATATTATACTTTAATTATTATACAATCAATATTGTCCTTTTTTTCCTGTGTGCAAATGGAACTCGTCGAGATCCGGGAATGCGATAGAAGCTGGGATAGGGCTTCCTTCCGCCATTTCCCCAGACTAATTATGTTGGCGAAATTAAAACTTTATGACGCTGGATTCCACATGGTGCCAGGACATTAGGCGACAAATTGTCGTGTCCTGCGAACTCCTCCCCGATACATATGTATGCATTTTGGTGGGATTGGTAATGGTAGGACGGAAAAGTCATGTGCGTGAGTGTCATGCACCACAACCAAGTGGGGAAGCGATTTGTCAGGCAATTACTGAATCCATTGCAAGTGCCACTAAGACAAATTGTTAAACTCAATTTAGCACTGCCATTGCCATTGCGATTGCCAAGTCTGGGTCTGTTTCAGTTTCTGTTTCTGTTTCTGGTGCATAGAAATGGAAAGTTCTTTTCGCCCCCGAACTTGCGTTGGGGAAAAAACTTTCAGTCAGCCTTGAAGTTGGCCGGGAAATGCGAATGAGGAAATGGGAAACGGGAGGCGCTCTCTTTGGGGGCGGAAGAGCAGGAGCCGCTGTCGACCTTCCTGTCACTGCAAAACTCACTTATGTACGTGCATTTGATAATTAAATGATGTTGCAAAACTTTGTCCACGACCAGAAGCCATTGCTGTTTTTCGGTCCCTGCCAGTCAACTGTTTCCGATTCCTTGCCCTTTTTCAGGATCATCGCCTTTGCATAGACACCAATTATGCCCGGCCATTCCGCAGAGTCACGTACCCGAACCGCACAGATTCCCCCGCATTTAATCAATCTAAGTGATGTCCAGTGGTTAGCACAATCCGCTGAGCAGATTTTCAGACTTTCATAGTAGTGCGATGAAAAGCCCGAAGGTATGCTGTGGTTTTGGATCTGATTTGGGGATTACTAACCACGCCGCAAGCTGTGCAACAAGCTAATGGCAATTATTTAATGGTACTCAAAATGTAAACTCTCTTTTCTGGGTATTTTTATTTGTTATTACACTTTATTCATTATTTTTTGTACAGTTATTGGAATTTGTTTTATCATTTTCCAGTTTACACTTGCTCTTTCAATTTATATCAGGAACTGCAAATAATGTTGTTTAATGAAATTACAAAATGCTTTAAATGCATAAGATATAAACCCATAATTAATATTAAAATAGCCTAGCATTACGATTTGCAAAGCAAAATATTAACAGGCATACATGTCGTATGAGTAATTTTTCAAAAGATTGAAGTTCTTGGAGCCTCGAATGCATTTTCAGCTCAAAAATAATCATTTTATTAAATTATTGAAAAATAAATACAAAATAACATTAGAGATGCTGCTAGGACCTTATCTGGCATACATGTCGTATGAGTAATTTTAAAAATGTTAATTTTACCTGCAGTACATTTTCAGCTCGAAAATAATCTTTTTTTTTAATAACACTAATTATAATAAATACAATATAACAATGGAGGTGTTGCTAGGACCAAGAACTCTTAGTTAAATTTGAAATCTTTTGTTGGCGCTAAAATTCCGCCTACTCTGTTTGTTTCACTTCAGCTGATTCCACTTGCCCTCTGGCCTGCGGATCCCTTCTCCTTTTGCGCGCCGTACCATTGCCATTATTTTGGGCTTGGATTCAGAGCGCATGCCTTTGTTTACCTTCCATATCGGGCATTCTACCGATTTGCCGCCACTGTGGGTGGAACGCATTCACCTTGAACAATGAACCTGTGGATCGCAATCGAATACAACCGAATTTAACCTCTGGCAGCAGCTGTTGACACTACTCATTATGAGTGTGTAGTAAGAGCATTTGCGAAATCCGCGTGGAGACGCATCTGCAAGTTATAAAATGTACAAACAAAGGCCCCACATACCGATATACGAATATATATATAGATAGATAGAGTCGGGCCCGCACACCCGCTTTTGCACGCTCCGCTATATCTATGTCTGTGTCTATAAGGCTACCATAAAAGTCTTAATTTAGATTTCCTGAGTACCCGCGAAATCGTTTATGTTTTCATTTGGAAATTCGTCGTAAAAATCTTGTCTTTCTGGACCCCCTTAAAAAAAATACGCAGTGCTCTTATCTCAACGGAGCGGAGTTAGACGCGGCTTAATTAAACATTGTTCTTGGAATTAACAGGGCTTCGCACTGAGGCGCACGAGGGGCATTTGAATATTCAAATTTCGAGTGTTTGCACAATTGTTTAAATACCAGAGAGCAGGAACGGAACGCAGTGGGCACAGGATTATTTTGAAAGTCGCGTGTTTGCATGCCCGCCAACTTGGGATCCACACAAAACAGTTCACTGGAAAAAAAGAAGCGATAAACGAATAACCCAGTGACAGATACTACGGACCACTTCGGCCACTTCGACTCTCCGGCCGTCGTTGTCAGCTTTTCAGTTTTCCGCTTTCAGTTTTCCTCAAGCGCTCAACCGAGGCGGTTGTCTGTCGGTCCGCAGGAGCCCATCGAATACCGCGTGGGTCTTGGGGTCTTCAATCATCCGAATCCGAATCGGAATCCGTAAACGCGAACCGGAATATCCAAGAGCGATTGATCAGCCGCCGGCTTACCTGACCGATAACGTGTGACTGAAGAGTGTTCGTCACGCGGCTAAAAATACAAAGGCAGAAAAAAAAAGAAAAGAAACACGAATATAAAATATCAAATAATATACAATGAAAGTGAGTGAGTGGCTGCAGCTGCATTTGTAGTGCACTTATAGAGTATCCAATTAAATGGGACTCGGGCTCCTCAGACAGCAGTAATAATAAAAAAATTCCTACCTAACTTGGGCAATAAAAATAATAACAGCACTGTGTCAATAAAACAATGCGGAATGTTTTGATATGAAAGCGGAGGACTGTGGAGGAAAGCGATTGCATTAAGTAAGTAAACAGTGCGCTGAGGACCCTTCCCGCCGAAGGACCCTTATAAAGGGTTTGCCTCTTGCCAGAACCCCTTCACCTTCACCCAATTCAGGTGGTGGAGTGACGTTTCCATAGATCAAAAGGAGGACCAAGGAGCAAGGACCAAGGACCGGGTAATGGATAAATGCTTTCACGCTAAACACCTCGATGGCACTGCCAAATAAAGAGGACAAATAAGTGTCTGACAGTCTCGATAAATAGTGGCTTCTATTGGCTGACTGGGTGTTTGACGTCAGCGGGGGTCCTTTATCCACCCTCTTGCCTCCCTCCCACCCGTTTATTTGCCGAATGCAAATGAAATATTATTTCACATGCACATTACACACACATTACACATACGCCATGTTGGCCGCAAATTGCAACAAATGTTCAACGGAAGTGGGATGCTGGCTGTGCTGTGGGCGGTCGAATGAATTTTGACGGAACTCAGCTTTCTTTTTTCTTCTCTCCCCTTGATAGTAACAAAAAACGGAAAATCACATTCCAAACACACACATTCCGAAAAAGTCAAAAGCTCTTTCTTGCCAAAGTCATTTCAGCTGGCCTTGCAATTGTCACACTTGAAGTGCCCTTCTGGCATTTCCGAAAAATATCTCTTAATAACGCGAATGAAATGGTGCTTGGTCAATTAAAGCGGAATAAGGTGAAGGCCGCCAGCTGCCAAGTGCTGGAAAATCTCTAAAAAATAGGCAATGATGGGGCAGCATAAATATGTACGTAAATATGTAGGCCAGCGATGCCAATTTGTTTTCACTTTCCGGTCAAAGTTGTCCTTTTTTAATTGGCCAGGGCCATCAAAGGTTATAAAATATCCTTAAAATGGGAAAACTTTATTTTAACACATTTTAATGGAAAATTTTAAATTGTCCTATAAACAGGAGGACGAAATGCTTTGAATTATTTAGCAATTAGTAATTAATATTATATTTCATTAGGATTGTTACAAATTACAAATAATTTTTCCTTTCTTCTTTTCAACTTATCTCTAAGATCTGTTTAATTTATTTTAAATGCTATTATTATTTTGCATTTATAATTTTTTGAATTAATTAACAAAATAATAACTTATAAGTTCCTAAAAGCCTATACAAATATTTAATTAAGACAACTACAAATTCCAAACATTTTTTCCCTGTTCAAAGGCTCTTCTTGCGAATTTATTCCTAAGATCTGTTTATTTTTTTTAAGCGGCTAATACTTTGCATTTTATTATGAACTCGAAAAAATAAAAGTTTTGAATTTATTAGCAGTAACTTATAAATTTCGGATAGCTTTTAGAATAATAATCATTAAGAAAATTACAAAATGAAAATAATTTTTCCCTGCTCTTCTTACGAATTTATTCCTAAGATCTGTTTAACTTTTGGTTAAAAGCGCATAGTTGCCAGCACTGATATATACAAAGTGCCCTCCGCTTGATTTCCATTGTTTATTGGCCGCCGCTTGGGTTGAACTTTTAGTGTGAAATAAATCTTCCATGGACACCAACATCAATGATACAGATTTATCTAATGCCGGAGATGAGTGCCGGCCTGATTGATGACCACCCGGCCAAGAGCAGCGGAAACCCATCCCGATCTTTCAAGTTCAGCTGGCCAGGGGATGGGCTTGTATCTTGGTATCAATTAGAAATTCACAAGTTCGGTCTTTTCAACAAAGTAATTGGATTTTGGCAACTCAATTTGTAGCCTTTGAAGAAATAGTTTATTCCCTGCAGTCGCCACAAAAAGGGTAAAGCTCCAGCTGATTGCCGCCATTGTCATGGAAATGGAAATGGCAATGGCATTGGCAATGGGATTGGGAATAGAATCGGGCCAAGAACCCAGATTAGGTGGCTCTGCTCGTGCAAACTTGTCAATTGAGTTGCGAATTAGATTATCAATCAAAGTGCTCATAAAAACGCCAATGTTTATCGCGGCGGTCAATTGCTGATGGGTTTGCCGCCAAAGAAGGTTCCAGCCCCCTGATCGCCGAACCCAGGGCTTCAGCTTCTGGTTCTCGCATTCTGGCCAATGAGTTCATAAATCTATTTTCAGACCAAAGCCCCCTCGAAATACACTTGATTTCCAACGGTTCTAATTGCACACTCGAGATTGGAATTCTATAAGCTATGCGTATGTAGATATCGATATCGGTAGACCCAAATTACGGCCGAAGAAAGAGAACCTTATCTTTCGGGGATGACACATTCCATTCAGCCCGATCGATACCTTGGCCCTGACAGACAGCCGTGGGCTCTGCATCGTATCTAATTAATCAGTTTCACCTTTGAGTACGTCACTGGGCTGGGTAAATATTTACACATAAGCCGCAGCATAAAAAAGTAAAAAGTAAAAGTTCCCTTCCTGGGGCACCTCGAACCCCCGAACCAGAGTGCTATCATGTGAGCGATAAGCTCTTTTATGGCTATTCCGCGTCAGCGTTCAAAGCCTAAAAAGGAAAGGGTGAAAAAGGGTAGCCGAAATGGGGAATACCCTTCCCCAAAGCCAGGGTACTAAACACCTTTAGTTAAGAACTAAAAGATTTTGTTTAGCTAAACTAACCAAGAATACACAGAAACAAGAAAGGAAGCTAGCTTCGGCCAGCCGAAGCTTATATACCCTTGCAGATCATTCCTATTAATTAACAAATCGCAAAAATGTTCAATTTTCTAATATTTATCATTAATTTTCCGATGGTTCCTATGACAGCTATATGATATAGTCGTCCGATTTTGATCAAATTAAAATTGAAATTCGGAATTATTTAAAAAGAGTCATATCCTAGAGTAGAAGATAATACAATAAAAACCAAAGAAGCTAGAATTTATTTCCTATTACTTTTCCATTAATTTTCCGATCGTTCCTATGGCAGCTATATGATATAGTCGTCCGATTTTGATTAAATTAAAATTGAAATTCGGAAATATTTAAAAAGAGTCATATCCTAGAGTAGAAGATAATTCAATAAAAACCAAAGAAGCTAGAATTTATTTCCTATTACTTTTCCATTAATTTTCCGATCGTTCCTATGGCAGCTATATGATATAGTCGTCCGATTTCGATAAAATTAAAATTGAAATTCGGAAATATTTAAAAAGAGTCATATTCTAGAGTAGAAGATAATACAACAAAAACCAAAGAAGCTAGAATTTATTTCCTATTACTTTTCCATTAATTTTCCGATCGTTCCTATGGCAGCTATATGATATAGTAGTCCGATTTTTTAAATAATTAATTCGAAATTCAGAAATATTAAAAAAATAACATCCCCAAAAGTAGAAGGTAATATTTCAAAAAACACCGAAGTTAGAATTTTTAAAAGTTTTTTTTTCCGATTGTTCCTATGGGAGCTATAAGATATAGTTGTCCGATCCGGTCGGCTCCGACATATATACTACCTGCAATAGAAAGAAGACTTTTGGGAAAGTTTCATCCCGATAGCTCAAAAACTGAGAGACTAGTTTGCGTAGAAACAGACAGACGGACAGACGGACAGACGGACAGACGGTCAGACGGACAGACGGACAGACGGACAGACGGACATGGCTAGATCGACTCGTCTAGTGATGCTGATCAAGAATATATATACTTTATGGGGTCGGAAACGTCTCCTTCACTGCGTTGCAAACTTCTGACTGAAATCATAATACCCTCTGCAAGGGTATAAAAATGTGACAAAATGTCAAATCGAAAAGTGCTGTTTCTTTTATTTTTTCAAGATTAAGTTTTGTCATATCATTTTTACATGGGTAAAGATTGTTTTAATCTTATTTTAGAGTACTTTTAAAAAAAAAAAATACTAAATTTGGTACCTACAAATAGTTTATTTATAAATTAAATGCAATTTTATGAAATTTATATGCAATATGCAATATGCAATTCTATGAAATTGATTTGATAAAATATTAAATGTTAAGCTATCATCATTTTGAATTTACTTCGAAAGGGAGAAATAGTGTCCTTGCAAAATTGTTGGCTTTAGATATTTTAATTAAAAATTATTTAGACGTTTTTCAAATCTCTTTCTAAATGTAATGTTTTTGAATATTAGAAAAGCAACCCTCCATTAAAGGCTAAAATTGAATGTTTGTTAAACGGCTCATTACTTAAGGGAAAGTAAGCAAGCATACACTAATTAAAAGTTAGTTTAAAAGGTTGTGGTTACACGGAATACATTATTTTTCAACCCGCCTTCTCGGGATTCTGGCAGCCCTTCTTGTGTTATCGTTGAGCAGAAGTCTTAAGCTAATATTCCTACCATCCCACACAGAGATTTGAATATGCAAATTGTTTAGCTGAATTATTCCCTTTTTGCCGGGAAATGCGTTTGCCTGCGGCTTGATTCCGATTCCCATTACCATTCCGATTTCGACTCCGATTTCCACATCTGTTTATTTCTCGCCTTCGCCTTCGCCACCTAGTCTATTGCGATATCAGTTTTAATTTGGTTATCGCACCCACACCGAGGCATTCCCGCATTTGCCCATTGCTCACAAGGAGTCGCAATCAGCAGCGGCGCACACTATCGGACGCTAAATAAATAATGCTTAATGCCAAATTATTGTCAACAGAAGTGGCAAGAAGTGTCGAACTGCCAGCCCTTGCCATTCGGTCTGCATTTTCGCACTCAGTACTCAGCTCTCAGTCAACCGTCATCCGCGTCGCTCGACGTTTATTCCGGCAATATTCCGTCGATATTCCGACAAAATTCCGCCGGAATATACATAGCAATAGCAATAGCTACACCTATTGGCGTACATAATTTGAGCGGAAATCTAATAGAGCGCTCGTCGAGTATCAATCTTATCGCCCAAGTGCACGTGGAGGGTCTGCCAGTTGTGGGAATAGTGAAGTGTGAATGGTGGAAAAGTTTCGGTGATGAAAAGCCCAATCCGACAGACGAGTGACAATCATTTTCGGAAATGGTACGGGTATCCCAAAAATAGTATACCCAGCCAGTGAAAACTGTAAATAATCGGCAAAAGAAACTACAAACTAGGGTAAAATCTTCGAGTTTAGGGTTTGCCTAAAATGAATTATTAAGAACTGGAGCAAAGAATCAAATATATTAAATATTTTAAAATTTGCATTTTTCCCAACACTGAATACCCAATCATTAAATTTACTTTACGCTTAAATGAGCTTGTTTAATTGTTTAAATTCCACAAAATAAAATGTTGAATTTATTGTTAATAAATTTCGATATATTTCCACAACATTTTGCAACTATTTTTACTTTGTATAAAACTTATTGCACTTGTGGCATAGATATCAATATTATTAGAACTAGAATTTTTAGGAATTTTGCTGCAAAGTTTTTCACTTTAACACACTTTTGTTAATGCCAATATTATTGTTAATTCAAATACGTAAATTTTCGCCAAAGCCCTTTGTTTACTCTGAGCAAATAAATATTTTTATACCCGTTACTCGTAGAGTAAAAGGGTATATTGTATTCGTGCAAAAGTATGTAACAGGTAGAAGGAAGCGTTTCCGACCCCATAAAGTATATATATTCTTGATCAGGATCACTAGCCGAGTCGATCTAGCCATGTCCGTCTGTCCGTCTGTCCGTCTGTCTGTCTGTCCGTCTGTCCGTATGAACGCTGAGATCTCGGAAACTATAGAAGCTAGAAGATTGGCATTTTGCATGCAGATTCTAGGAATTCCTACGCAGCGCAAGTTTGTTTCAAAATGGTGCCACGCCCCCTCTAACGCCCACCATCGCTTATATACGATTTTAAAAATTTTAATATTTTGGAAAAGTAAAAATGCAGTTTTATTGTGTTTATCAATACCTATCGAAATGTAGAAGAAATTTTTCAAATCGGACCATTCGTTAAAAAGTTATGCGTGATCAACGTTTTCTATCTCTATCTCCATCTCCCTCGCACTCCCTTTACCTGAGTAACGGGTATCTGATAGTCGGGGCATCCGACTATAACGTTCCCTCTTGTTTTAACTTTAATTCTATTAGATAAACTCGTTTTGATTAACTGCGGTACAAAAGTCAAGCGCATTCGTGTATGTGTTTAATTTAGTCACAAATTTCAATTTATTTATTGCATTTACAATTGCATTTATTTAGCACAGAAAAAAAGGCGAAATGAAATAAAACATTTCTTAAGAATTTAAATGACCCTTTGACTACTTTTCACTTCAATTACAAAGGCGAGCAAATTCAATGCAGCTTCAGCTCGAGATTCACCAGATTAATTGCAAATTGAATTGACAGTTTTCACGAATGCGATTGAAAACGAAATTCAGTGAAATCAATTTAATATCGGAAATTGTCACAAGAGAAAATCAGATAATGTATGAAAATTAAAATAAGAACAAGAGAGAACGTTATAGTCGGGTGCCCCGACTATCAGATACCCGTTACTCAGGTAAAGGGAGTGCGAGGGAGATGGAGATAGAGATAGAAAACGTTGATCACGCATAACTTTTTAACGAATGGTCCGATTTGAAAAATTTCTTCTACATTTCGATAGGTATTGATAAACACAATAAAACTGCATTTTTACTTTTCCAAAATATTAAAATTTTTAAAATCGTATATAAGCGATTGTGGGCGTTAGAGGGGGCGTGGCACCATTTTGAAACAAACTTGCGCTGCGTAGGAACTCCTAAAATCTGCATGCAAAATGCCAATCTTTTAGCTCTTATAGTTTCTGAGATCTCAGCGTTCATACAGACAGACAGACGGACAGACGGACAGACGGACAGACAGACGGACAGACGGACAGACGGACAGACGGACAGACGGACATGGCTAGATCGACTCGGCTAGTGATCCTGATCAAGAATATATATACTTTATGGGGTCGGAAACGCTTTCTTCTCCCTGTTACATACTTTTGCACGAATACAATATACCCTTTTACTCTACGAGTAACGGGTATAATAAATATGCAAGGCATGGGATTAAAAAGGCCATACAAATGGTAAAATGACGTGTAAAAAACGCCTTTTCCCATGTTTTTATAAGCATTTCTGTGGAATACTCACTAATTCTGGCGGCACTCTCGTTTGATTACAGCTGACAATGCCAGCAGTTGAACCCAACAGATCCAGATCCTGCTCCACCAGCCACTCCAGGGATATGGAAGGACATGGAAGGGCTTAGGCGGCCTGCTGCCTACTCGATAGCGAACTCAACCGGCCGATCCATGGCTGTCAACTTGCAGCTGAATAATTTAAGCGCCATTTATCCATCGCTCATGTATGTGGCCGCCTCCTCCCTGCGGGGATTGGGAGCGGGATCTGGCGGTCTGCCGGAAAACATATCCATCGTTTACGAGGATGCGGCCAATGGGACAGGCACAGGAAGTGCTTTTCCCAATGGCACTTCGGGCGGCGCGCTGGATGCAGTGGCTCTCACCGAACCAGGACCCACGGCACCCGTGACCACATTTAATTACTACAACGAGTCGGCAGCGGCTGCCGAGTGGGCGCACTTCTACGATCTCGTCCTATCCTGGCAGGGCATAATCCTGATAGCCGTCTTCGCCACCTTCATTGTGGTCACCGTCATCGGCAACACGCTGGTGATCCTGGCCATCCTGACCACGCGCCGCCTGCGAACCATCACCAACTGCTTTGTGATGAGCCTGGCGGTGGCCGACCTCCTCGTGGGCATCTTCGTAATGCCCCCCGCCGTCGCCGTCCATCTCATAGGTAAGTGTGGGTGCAAGTGTGTGGCAGAGCCATTAAGGCATTAGGGTCCTTCTGCGAAAGGAGGCGCCATTCGCGCTCGGCGGGCTTTTCGCGTGATTACAAGATGAAGATGCCATTCCGGTAAATCCCTCAAAAAATTGCTAACAAAAGCTTGGCGCCCAGAACCCCCCAGCGTGCACCTAGAAAAATAGTTTTAAATTTGCAAGATTTAAGGAACGCTAACGATTAAATTAGTTGCAAGATGGAAAATCTAGAGATACACTTATTATTAAGCAGCTTGTTTTGGTATTTTAAATTTATGGTACAAATTATTTCTAGAAAGAGCTAAAAAATAGGATTTTAAATTTAATAATTTATTTGAAAATTTAACTTAAACATGGAAAAATATTTATTTCTAGTAAGAATTTTTTATTTTTTAAATTCTATAATTCCTAAACAAATTACGACCCCTTAGCTAATGACTATTTCCATTAGGTCAGTGGCGGATCTAGGATTTTGTTGAGGGGGTGATATCACAACATTTTTTTGTTGCATAGTGGGGGGTGATATATCACTCATATCACCCCCGTTGATCCGCAAATGCATTAGGTGGAAATCCAGGTGAATGTTTTTAGCAGATATTTCATTTTGATTTTCAGCTTAAAAATTCTTGAAAAATCAGAGTTCTGAGTGTAGCCTAACAAAGTAGCACGAACCGAAATAGGAACACGGACACGAACAGGAATTGGCGGAGGAGTGGCAGGAAAAGGGGGCGGGGCAAACGCCAGGCATATTTATGTAAATGCTCCTAGGTGGAATATGCGAGTATGTATCTCTCTCGCCTTATGGATTTGTATTCTTTGAACCGAAAGAATTTCTTTCATTTTTTGCCTTCGCTCTCGAGCAATTTCCTCAACAGAAAAAAATGGGCTAGCAGCCGAAAAAAGGCAGCATTCCCGAGCCCAAACTTTGTGGAATTCTTTAAAGGCAAACGGCATGTCGAAAGTTTGTCATAATCATCCGCACCACTGACAATCCGAAAACGGAATGAAATATGCATTCACTGTAGAAAATAGTTCCTCTTTGTAGGCTAACTCATAGAGTTGAATGGTAAAAAATATGGTAATTGATTAAACAATTTATGATTTATGCCCGACTAACTTCTGGCAGCTGCCCTTTGAACAGTTTTTAAATACGCTTTTTGCACTAACTTTGGTCAAACGTTTTTCTCTGTGGACATTCCTTTTGAATCTCAGTCATAATTACTCATGCCCTTAGGTTTCTTCAAGGTAAACAATTTACTGAGCCCCACATTCTTTTTGTATATTTTTCCAAGCATTCATTATAAAGTTAGGTCATAATGTACCCAAGGCCAGTATTAATAGTTTGCCATTAAAGCATGAGTAAATTAAAGTTTGGATAGGTACTAAAAGCACTGCTAAATAGAAGTCGGAAAGATTTAATTTAAAAACTGTGTAAAAGGAAATCATCGAATTTAATGTAATTAAAATATAACTATATTGTAGTTAATTTATATAATTTATTTAAAATAATTTTTACGAAAATAGAAAGATATAATTGTAATCAAAATCATTAAAATATTAGACTACCATATTGTTGAGTTTGTAATACGAAATTACAAAAGATTTTCAATTTTCGCATTTAACTTCCAATTTGGTGCCCAAACTGTTTCAATCCAAGACCTCTGAGCTAAAACAATGGCCTAAACTGCATCCTTATATTGGACCAAGCCAAGTGTGTTGGCCCACAGGCAATCTCCGTCTAATGAGCTAGCTCCTTGGTCAAAAACAACTTTTCATTTGGCGCTCGGTGGCCATTGAGGGGCAGTTGATTTAAAAATTAATCGGTTGACAGGCCGCAGACGAGGAGAAACGGCTCAAAGTGGCCACAAATTCAATGGCAAGGAGCGGGCAGGAGCTGAGTTGAGGTTCCAAACGGAGTAGGTCCTTTTGGAGGTCCTGGAGTAAAACCACTAACGGGTACTATGTGCACGGGTTGCCAAAATTTGCCGAGCTGGCCGCTTTAATTGGCCTTAGGTGAGGCATTTGCTGAAAGCCGAAAGCTGAAAACACAAAATGTTGCTAATCAAATTGACTTTGGACCGGAATTTTAAGTTGCTGCCCGCTCCTCGCTCCTCGTTCCGGCTGGCGAAAGTTTTTAATTTGGAATCTTGATTGCAGGCTCGTGGCAACTGGGCTGGGTGCTCTGCGACATTTGGATCTCCCTCGACGTGCTCCTCTGCACGGCCTCGATTCTCAGCCTGTGCGCCATCAGTGTGGACAGGTGAGAAGCGCCGCCCCATATATTCCACCTGAGTGTTCCCCGAATCGTAAATCTTTGCATTTCCCATCCATCCGACAGATATTTGGCCGTGACCAGGCCGCTCACGTACTCCCGTAAACGGCGCTCGAAACGATTGGCCCTCATCATGATACTAATCGTCTGGCTGCTGGCCCTGGCCATCACCTGTCCCCCCATCCTGGGATGGTAAGTGCACTGCGAGAATTTAAATATAAGAAGAGCACCTGGGAAAGAGGCTAAGAATGACACAGAAAGGCAATTTCCAATTAATGCTTGAAAATGATCGATATTTTCGATATTTTGATTTTTCGGTGTTTTGAAGAGAAAATAAAATGTAATACCGAGAAACTGTCGATATTTTTACAAGATCCATTTTTAATTCACAAATCACAACGGTTTTAAATCACTATAGTAGTAGGATAGTAGTCTTCCTGAAAGAATTACTTTCGTGTTTAAAATATATTGGTGTTTAGACATTTAATCTGACAAAAAGCTCACTAATTTGAATAGCACCTCCCAGATTCTTAGAGATTTATTCACCTAACAAAGAATCAACAAAACTAAAAATAAATCTTACAGAATTTCTTCTTCAACTGTCAATGACAGTTTTTTAAGACAAATTTTTAAAAAAATAATTTCAAATAATTTAAACTAATTAATAATCGTCTTGTATTTCTTAATGTCCTCTAAGGGTTTCCAACATAATATCGTTCTTTGCAATTCCAAATAATATACATTTGCTCTACGTCCATTTAAAGTATTTAAAGTCTACTTCTAGCCATTCTGGTAACACAAATTTTGTCAAGTGCATGTAAATTAATTAAAATAAAATTCAAGACTCCTGGCAAACTGACTCCGGAGTCCAGAGTCCGGACTCCTTACTCTCAACTGAACAAACGAATATAATTAGGTGGCAATTGTCTTGTGTCCTGTGAGGCAACAGCGAGAAGGGGGGAATAATTGAGAACTTCCTGCATTAGTGGACCCGGCGGCCAATTAATTGTAGCCTGCTCATTTCCATTTCCTGCAGGTACGAGCCGGGACGAAGGGACCTGCGGGAGTGCCGGTACAACCAAAACGAGGGCTACGTCATCTTCTCGGCCATGGGCTCCTTCTTCATACCGATGGCAGTCATGATTTATGTGTATGCAAGAATTTCCTGTGTCATTGCATCCAGGCACGACAATATGACCGACATAAGTGTTCACAACAAGGTAAGCTCCATCGCAGCCATCTAGGAACAACAACCAGGCAACAACCCAGCCCCCTGCAAACATTCCCACGCCCAAAGCCAACAAAGTGCACAAATACCGAATACGGAATACGAAATAGGGAAACCACTGCAGCTCCAGCTGAGCTGCCCAGCCCCCAAAGTCATCTCTATTCCGGCTTAAAGGCCACTCCACGTACGGCACAAACTGCGGCACGTTTGCTTCATAATTCCCGAGCCCCAGGAGCTTACACAGATTTAAATACCATACCCTGGCATTAAAGGGTCTATAGTGGCCAACTTCCGTTTGTCCGGTTCAGTGGCCGCTATAAAACAAGTTGTTCACTCCAACTTTGGCAGGCCTTGTAGCTGATATAATGAGTTTTCAACTGCCCTTTCTTCAAGAGGGGGCCTCTTAGACCCTTCAGCCAAGGGATTAGTTAGAAGATGATATAAGGCCTACACAGAAAAAAAAATGGACAAAAGATTGATATGTGCAGGTTAATTGACTATAAGATCTAACTTGATCTTATTATTTTGATATGAACAAAGATTATTTTTACCTCATTTTACAATATGTGTTCAAAAAATACTAAATACTTTAAAAAGTATTTTTAAAACTTTTATGAAATGATAAAAAATTAAGTTGAAATTTTTGAATCATAAGTTTCACATTAATCAAATCGGTTTTTCATTGATATGAAATTTCAAATTTCAAATTTCAAATCAAATTTTTTTCTGTCTAGCAAACTGCAATGTATCCTTCCTTAAAGGTCAGGCCTACTTTTTCATTACTTTCATTAATTTACTAAACAAAATCCCAGGGTAATCTCTCCGTCGACCGTTTAAAGTCCTTTAAACTCCTCTCTAAACAGTTAGCATTAAACATTTCGAAAATGGCATGTAAATAGGTATGCACAATGTACACATGCCTGTTGTGCAACTAGAAATAAGCTTAAAATTCACTTGCACTGAATTAAAGCTAAGCGATTTAATGTTCAGTCTAAAATGCAGCTTTAAATTCACAGAGATTATATCATCATGCAGAGCATAGAATAGAACTGGGTGTTGATATTAGAATGTGTTTATCCCCAAAGCAGTTTAAGATTCCTTGAGCTTCGGCTTTTCCCCACTTTTGCACACTTTCATCTCTAACCGCTTTTACCGCCCATTGACTTCGCTTTAGTTATTTATCATCCACATTGACTTAACCGCCTTGTGCACTTTGCGTGTCTAGAAATTCAAGCGCTACACGGCGGCGGACGTGGAGAACGAGCTGTCGGAGCAGGAGCAGCACAGCTCGGTGGGCCAGCGGCAGAGGCAGGCCACCTCGAGGACCTTCTCCAACCAGACGATAGCCAAGGAGCTGCACGACATGATGCTGAGCGACAGCGACAATTGTGCAACAGTGGGTGGAGCAGCAGGAGGAGGAGTAACTACCTCCACTGGAGGCTCAAACACCGGCACCCACTGTCAATCCCTGCTGGCCCTGCCTTCCGGCGGCGGAGGAGGAGCCTCATCGGTGGGCTGTGCCAAGAACGGGTGCTACGAACTCACACGACCTTCCTCGCTGAAGCGCACTTCCACCGCCTCGACGACCATTACCACAATGACCAGTGGCATGGGCCCGGGCAGCAGTCTCCTGGACGCCCAGTGGCAGTCCCAGCCGCCGGGTCACAATCAGCCACCGCGCCCCCACAGCTTTAGGCACTCGCACGGGGAGCGGGACAGGGATCGGAGGAGCCATCACCATCATCCCCATTATCATCACCAGACGAGCGGAGTGACCGCCACTTCGAGCAGCGGTGGAACAGGAAATGCCAACGCCAACACCAACAGCAAATCGCTGTCCAATCGGATTACGTCGCTGAAGAAGGAGAACAAGACCACGCAGACTTTGAGCATTGTGGTGGGCGGCTTCATCGCCTGCTGGCTGCCCTTCTTCGTCAACTATCTGATCACCCCGTTCCTGGCCGAGCACCAGGCCAGCCAAATGCTGGCCAAGGCCCTCACCTGGCTGGGATGGTTCAATAGCGCCATCAACCCGTTCATCTACGCCTTCTACAGCGTCGACTTCCGGGCGGCCTTCTGGCGCCTCACCTGCAAGCGCTTCTTCAGCGCCGGCCAGAAGCCGCAGTTTCCCACGAACACCATGTCCATCAGGCGATAAAGGGAAAAAACCCTCTCAACACAACCACACAGCCATTCGAGCCCTGAACAAATTGCCCGCGCATAACACATATTATTAACTTATTCATTAACTTTAGGTGTGGTCCGTAATTGCACCACCAGTCAGTCAGTCAGTCAGTCAGTCCATGTGTAATTGTTCTCTAGTTTCTCGTTTAATTTATTTCATCGTCAGGGTTTGCTTCCGATTCTGGATCATTTTGCCACTTAAGAGTCGACCCTCGCCCACATGGGATAGTTCCACTGGTTTCCGTTGACCTTTCAGAAATGCCACACCATCCATAACTTCTCGGGGGGAAACACTGCAAAACTTAAGTATAGACTTCCTTAAGATTCAAGTAATGGGGAAATATTTAAAAATTTGCATTTATTTAATTCAGAAAAGTATTGATCTTGTATTAATCCTTTTTATTTATTTGTAGGCCTATTTTATTATTCAAAAATTTCAAGTAATTTCTTTTATTAACTAAGTTTTTACTTAAAACCAAAGATCAAAAGTTTTCCAATGAAAAGTTTTGTTAGAAAAACCTCAAATATTGAGTTATGGTACCTTATTTCCTATAACTCACAAAATTGACTAAGCTTAAGGAGTTCCACTGCATAAACATTGCAATACATATATGCGACTGCAGGCCACGATTTCAAGGTATTTTTGCTGGAGGAATTTTGCATGCGGAACCGGTGGAAAATCTGATACGCGGCAGCACGTATCGATTTAGTAATTTCCGCGCGACTTTTCCGCTCAGCGGGCGGCGCCTCTAAAATGGCAACATTTGCCTTGGATGTTGGCTTTTTGCTGGGGCGCCAAGACAGCCCGACTTGGCCAATGGCACAGACAGTTTAGATGGATGAGAAAACTTGTTTATATGGGTGACTCTCACCGCCCACCGAAATAGCGCACTTTGCTTATACTCTAAAATTCAGCCGCGTGCTTGCGGGGGCGGTTACCTTTTCGGCGGTGGTGACCCCGACCGACCCTGTCCGAGTGAGTTCCGCATTCCCTTTGGCCATTTACGATGCAATTCGTCCCCCTAATCTCACATGAATTTAGTGCAGGCGTATATATATCATAGCTGATATCAGGGCTCCATAAACCATAAGCTGTAAATCGGAGATACGAGTTGATTGATTAACATGAACAGAAACTGAAATCAGTGGAAACCTCATGGTGGGTGGATCAAGTCGAGAATTAGCTTTAATCAGCTTTATCGGAATGCCAGTTAAAAAAAAAAAAAACAGTTACTGTGATTTAGTTTATAGTTGAAGTCGGCTGGAACTTCAAGTGTTTTCCTTTAGTGTTAAACGTAAAAAAAGAACGAGTGTGTGATTGCAAATGTATGTGCGAATGAGGTATAATACCGTATAATTTAAGGCATAATTTATTCAGGCCATCATCAGCAGCTTAGCTAACCCAAAGTAGGACTAAATTTCGTGTTGTACCAAGCAATCTACATTTTTAAACTCCATCCATTGCCGGCGGTGGTGTGAAGTCGAGTCATAAACGCAATCAAGCAATGCTACACCATAGAGATTAAGTCAAACGAACGCTCATCAGTATACAGTGTAGCCCATCACCCGTCAGTACCTTCAATCCTTCTGAGTTCTGAATTTCTGAATTTTAGCTCTCACATGTCAGGCCAAACAAGTCAAACAGATGCTCCGGGAGAAAGGGATTGGGCTTCCGATTCCGAGCCGTCGAAAAAAGCAAACACGGCGGATGGAGCTCATCATCATCGCCATCCCACGCCCGTCTATCATCTAGCATCTGCATCTCTCACTCATTCCGCCTGATACCGATATCATAGACACACATAATCCGCATAATCTGCATACTAGTCTATATATATTAATAGTCGTATGTGCGAACAGAACATTTTTTGGAAACGAACAAACAAATAAATAGACAATTTGAAAAGACAAACGTTCCCGAAACGAGTAAGAGATTGTTTTGTTTTCTTTTGTTGTTATTTAAGCACTCCGGCACTTTAAGGTGCCGGATGGAGGGGAATGGACTAGGAGAGCCCGAAACAATGGTTAGTGCGGGTAACGTGAATTATTGATCAGTCTCAAAATTGAATTCGCAACTGCAGATATGCTGTTCTGTACTCCCCCGTCCCTATATGTACAGTAGTACCTACAGTATGTGTGGGTGTACTTCTTGTGTGTATTTATATTTAACCAGGAGCCAGTCAGTCGACGAATTCGAGGGAAAACCCCGGATAAAAAGGAAATACACCAAGCTGCACGGTCGGAGAGCAAAGTTGTGTTTGGTGCGGAAAATAACCATAAATACGGAGAGCTAACCCCGCTATAACGTCATGAATATTTCATTGTAGCTGCTGCCACATCCCAATCGCAAACTCAAACTCAAACCCAAACCCAAACCCAAAAACCCGATGTACCCACATTTCTCCCTCGGGAAGAGGGGGGAGATTCAGCTGAGCATCCTCTAAATGGAGTTTTAAGGCTCTAATTGAGCCTGAGCCCGAGACCAAGTTGGATAACATTAATTGATCGGCTGAGCAGGCAACCAAGTTCCCCGAAAATTCATCCAATTGCTATGCTGAGTGGGCGGCACTTCAAGAGACTCATTCGGCCCGGAAAACAACTTGGCGACGCAAACAAAAGAAGCCGAAATAAAACCAAAGTTCATTCGAAAAACATTTGCAGGGCATTTGTCATGAGAGGTTGCAAACTTTGCAAAGCCTGTCCCAAGCACTTGTTAAATGCTCGAAAATATCGATGTGTATTTTTGTGTCGGTACTTCTGGTTTTAACTGTTTTTGTTGTTCATAGCCCACAAATGCTGCGATGACATAACCGAAAATCTTGGGCCAACAAACAACATTAGCCTAAGCACCCTGTCAGCAGGCGGCTGAAAATAGGATGACAGGATGGCAGTCAACTCTTCCCAAAGTCCTGGTCCTCTTCCTGCTTTTCCTCCTGCTGCTCTCACCTGAAACCGCGGCCATTTAATTTAACACATTATGCGATATCAGCCAACAAAGCGTCGGAAAGGTAAGAAGGGTTCCCAACGAAACCAGAAAAAATTAATTTACAGGCGAGTGATGCGACTTAAGTATACCATTTATTCGGAACAAATGGTGCAATTTATTAAGAGTTATCGGAATGGTTCGAAAATATTCAATTATTTTTCAAAAATTGGATTACATGGATACTTTACTGCTACAACTTTATTTTGCCAATAAACCTAAGAATGGGAACGACAGCTTTAATTAATGAATTATAATTCATAATAAATAATTATTTATTGCTGCAGGTTATTTAAATTAACTATAATTTTAAGTACTAATACAATAATAATAATAATAGTTTACTAAAATGCATAAAAATTGGTATTAAATATTTTAATTTTTTTTAAATTTTTAAATAAAAATAAATTTAAAAAAAGTTGTTCAAGTACATTATTCTAAACATGTGGAGCGAATCCATATTTAATTAAATCCCTTAATAACAATGTTCGGTTACAATTTTTTATTTTTGTCTTAAATAAAACAAATAAATACGCTGTTCAACTAAATTATTCAAATCATGTGTATCGAATCCATATTTACTTACCTCCATTAGTAATAATTTTCATTGCATATTCAAAAAACATTCTTTTCCGACTTAGTGACCTATCCAGGAGTACAAGATACCCTGTATTTTCTACAAGTACCGACTATAAACAAGAGAGAACGCTATAGTCGGGTTGTTGTCCCGACTATCTAATACCCGTCACTCAGCTAAAGGGAGTGCGAGGGAGATAGATATATGTTGACAATTTATAAAGCGTATAACTTTTTAATGAATGGTCCGATTTGAAAAATGTCTTCTACATTTCGATAGGTATAAAGATACACAACAAAATTGCATTTATACTTCTCGGAAATCTTTAAAGATGTGGGCGCAGGACCCATTTTAAAATCGTTAGTGGGCGATTGTGGGCGTTAGAGGGGCGTGGCGCTCGGCTAAAATAAACTTGCGCTGCGTAGGAAGCCAAAGAATATGTGGGGGAAATCTCAACCTTCTAGCTTTTGTAGTTTCTGAGATCTCAGCGTTCATACAGACGGACAGACAGACAGACGGACAGACGGACAGACGGACAGACGGACAGACGGACATGGCTAGATCGACACGGCTAGTGATCCTGATCAAGAATATATATACTTTATGGGGTCGGAAACGCTTCCTTCTAGCTGTTACATACTTTTGCACGAATCTAGTATACCCTTTTACTCTACGAGTAACGGGTATAAAAAGCCAAATTTACGGAACGGCGTACAGAGTACCGAGTTTTCAGGCCGTTGACAGGGGGCATTAAGGGAGACCGTTTCCGCTGAGCTCGACTCGAAAGTGAAATGTGACAGCGCAATGTGTTGCAATTCATTAGAGAGCGGGTGGATGGCCCCTTGGAACCCCGAACCCCAAGCCCCCAACTCTTCCCATCCTGTCATGCTTTTATATTAGTCACATGTGTGGGCGGTCCGCATTGTGCGAGTGGGTGGGCCTCGACCTGGTCCTCTTGCTGGGTATATGTAATTATGATGACCGCATATTTTTTTCACGCCTTATTTCCAGCTAAATTAATGTAACGCCACCATCCAAAGCAGCTGGGTAGCTGGGTAAAGTCGTATTGCGAAGCCATATTCCGGGGCTCGCTGATTCAGCGTTTCTTTTGCTTCCGTCCTCTTGGCCGTAAACAACTTAGTGGCGGCCACCGGGTTACCACTTCCAATAATAAATCACAAAAAAAATGAAGTCAAGGCTGCGCTGGAAAGTGCGCTATGTGCTACTCCCCCATTATCCCCCCATTTTGCCCAATAAATTAAGAGACCTCTCCTCGAGTTCGGCTGGGCTTTTATCACTACGAACTGCGGCATGCAGTTTAGACATTGAAATACTTAAAGATACTTATCACTAGAAGGATATAAATGGGGTGCAGCAGCCACTGGCTTTTTAATTTTCTTTCCAGAGATTATTTGGTAAATCCCTAAACTGCAGAGAAAAAATTTGAAATAAATAAAAAAAAACCCCCTTATGTTTATAGCGGTTTTACTTGGCAAATCTGTTCATGTGTCGCAGGGAACACGTACTAGCTTCATTTTGAACGAAAAGACGTGTTCAGAAAATTGTCCATAAAACTTTTGTGTGACAATTTATAGGTGAATGGCGAAACCACCGCTGTGAGTTGTGGGCATATTTTATATTTTTGGCATATTACCTAACTTCTAGACACCACCCCTCGCTTTTTCCCAGCATAATAAAACTGCCTTCGTGTTGAAACTTAAAGTTTATTACTAGAACTCTTTCGGCTGGCCGATAGGTCCATTTTACAGAGATCCATTCCAAGTGAACATTTATAAAGTACATACATAGTTATATGGTTACAAGTAGGGTACATATATGTATAATACAACTATACAAATTAGTTGGGCTAAAAAGCTTAACGAGTCTAGAGAGTGGACAAAGGGGTTTTAGAGGGTGTGTTGTCTAGAGGACATTTAAAATCCCAGCAGGCTCAAGTGCAGCTCTAAATCCGGCCTAGTTTTAGTTACAGTTTCACTTTCGCTTGCGTGTGTGTGTTTGTGTGTGGAGAACACCGTGTACCGTGTGCGATTGCGATTGCTTAAACATTAAATGGGTTGGCCGGACACTGTGTACCGTGCCTGCGGGGTTAGGACCTGGCCAACAAAGGATACGCCAGATATGTCGTTGGCAGCTCCAGCTACTGCAGCTACACTCTACACACAAACTAGACGCACACAACAAAGGCATAAGGATGAGGCCGTCACCGTCACCTCATCCTGAGTACCTCCCACCTCCCCTCCTCACTCTGACCCATCATCATCCTACTCATCCTGACGGTCAACAGTTGCCGTCAGGCAACAAAGACTCGCAAATACTATAATTTGTCTTTTGTTTCGTTCCGTTTCGTTCTTCGCACAATCAACGCTCACGCACACACACGAAAATACTATATACGGGATTCTGGGGGATCTGGTTCTGGTCTAGCAAAGAATCTCCACTTCCGGCCGAGTCCACCGAGTCTTTAAGATACCGCCCCAAGAAGTGGCCTTTAAGGGAAACTGCTCAGATGGCTGCTTTCAAAGCTTCAAAGGGCAGCATCTTCTTGGCTTAACAAGGCAATCTTGCTCAAATCAATATTTACCGAAAGTATCTTAGTTTTAGTAGCTGCGTTTGGCAAATGCGGATAGAGTGTGGCAAACAGCTTGGATCCATGCAATTTGAATACTAGTTGAGAAGCGCAGTTCCTGAGGTAGATGCCAAGAGTTGGTTAAAAGGTCACTTAGTTGGCTTAGTTCGCTCAAATATTCATTTCTTTTTTGGAGGAAAAAACTTGATAACTCCTAGCTATTTATTTTTTAATTAACCAAAAAAAAGTGAAGATAAGTATATAAGCATTTCTTATTTCGCCTCACATTTCATTATCATTGCTGTTTATCAAAAATCAGTATTTATAAAGGGGAATTATTACTAAATTATTTTTTTTTCTCTTTTTATTTAAAGTCTAGAAGTGTGAGTTTAGAAGAACTACTTTTATTCACTACCAGGTAGCAACTTCCCTTACAACAGCCTAATTTTTAAATATTCCTTGGTAATGAAATGTGACTTGCTAATACCTTTGTGGTACACCCAAAAAAAACTTGATATGAAACGATGATCAAATTGACGTTTTGCGGTATCGATTTTGATTTGATATGCGGGCACCTCAATTCGATATGTTAAAAATGTAAGAATCTCCGAGATAGGGATTTCGGTAAAAACGGTAGGCAATACAAGAAATGTACCATGCGCATATCGATATGACCCTGACGTGGTTTTTTTTTGTGTGTACTACAAATTCATTTTGAAAGCCTAATTTGAATAGATTCCCCACTGACTAGTCCCTAAGCAATTTTTTCATTCTGTGCTCTAAAAAGTAAGGAGTTGGTGGACCAGCAAGAAGTGAAGGATATGCCTGAGATAATTACCCCACCAATCTGAGCTTCGATTGTGCGACCCAGTGACTCTGACACACTCAAGTGTTCCGTAACAGTAAGCTGGAAACGTAGAAACCTGGAAACTGGTAACTTGAAACTTAAAACCGAATCCCAGCCAAAACTAGCCACGGAACATGGCCAGGTGGTTGGGCGGGCGCTTCTGCTTGCAAATGGGCCGACAGGTGAGCCGCCAGAAGGCAGTGCGAAAGTCCGGATTGTAGAAGGCGTAGATGAACGGGTTGATGGCGCAGTTGACCCAGCCAATCCAGGTGAAGCCGAACATGAGGTCCTCGAGGACGGCGGGTCGCGGCAGGAAGGGTATCAGTAGATAATAGACGAAGAAGGGCAGCCAGCAAGCAATTAGGCCGCCCATCACAATTGTCAGGGTCTTGGCGGTCTTGCTATCACGTTTCGTGGTCGAGACTCGCATCGGCATGCGATGATGGTGGTTGTGATTGTGATGGTTCTGGGAGCCATGATGGTGATGATGCGGATGTGGAAGGTCGAAGGATCGCTGCTTTTGTTGGGCCTGAGAGTGCGACTCCGCCTCCAGTTTCTCGGTGGCCTCCAGTGCGGAGCTGGCCGGGGTGGCGCCCAGGCAGGTGTCCGAAAAGGAGGCCTCCGTGCCCACATAGTGCAGCCCCGAGGGCGTGGAGTGCATGCAGGGTCCGCCGTACTTGCAGCTAATTGCCGAGCAGTGGATGAGCGACGAGAGACGCGACACCTCGACCAGCTCGTAAAAGGTGGGTTGGTGCTTGAATGTCAGCGTTTTGTCCGGAACAGGCACTCCACCAGTTACTCCCACTCCAGTTGCAGTGGAGCACTTGGCGCACTTGACGGACGACGACTGGTGGCCCTTGGACGTATTCGTGCTGCCTGGTGGGTCGTGGAGGGAGTTGAACCTCCAGCGGGACTTCCTGTTTGGCAGCCACTTGGTTGGCGTGCAGTGATAGTGTTCTGACTCCGAGATGAAGTTGTCCCCATCCACATCGTAGTCTGCCGTGCGCTCGGAGTTCTGGTGGAAATAATAGAGTGGAAAGTGAGCGAGGGAAGCACTGACAAAAAAACGCAAGCAATAATTTAGATTGCATGTCTGGACGTAGGGATTTGGATTTGTATTTGGATTGCTTTAATTACTTAGTCGCTCTCTACTTTGCCCACCGCTTTGCAGTTTCATTTAAATATGGGAAGTGCAGTTTAGAGGATTTTAAGTTGAAATGGGAAAATACTAAGGCCCATTTTCTTGTCCATATGTTTATTTAAAGTAAGGATAATTCGTATGGGAATCCAGAGGCTAAAGGGTACTTTAAATTTAACAGTCAGTCAGTTAAAACTTTATTTTCAAAGCAGCCCAACTTAAAGATAAGAAACATACTCTTTCTGATATCCAAGAACTTAAAGAAATAAATAATAATTTGTGCATTATTATCTAGACTGCATATTAGTAGGGCTTGAGTTATCAAAGCTAACGCTTAAAATATCACCTACAATTCCCCGCGATAAGTACTTGGTATTCAGAATAAAATGCGACTAGAATTCCAACTTAATTAAGATCTGCATTTGAAGTGTTAAGCAATCACGACTAAAGTATACTTTGTTCTTTTTCCCCAGTGCTTGACAAGTTAGTCAGGTGGTTAGTTGGTTGGATGGTGTGACATGATAAATTTCCAGAGACATTTCAGCTGGAAAAAGGGGTAGTGGTAGGGGTAGTGGTAGTGAGGGAGCTTACCGCATCGCGCACAATGCGCTGTCGCCGTGACGTGAGGACATAACCAATCTTAACGTAGACGTACAGCATCACCGTGAGGGGGATAAAGAATGATCCCATTGCCGAAAAGACCACGTAGCCCTTGTTTTGGTTGTAGCGGCAGTCCACGAACTCCGCCTGATGCCTGCCCGCCTCGTACCTGTGAATGGCAAATTGAATTCCAGTTCGAATTGCATGTGGTTTGTGGGTCGTAGGATGTGGGATGTATAGGGTAGGATGGTGCCTCTTGCGGTTGTGATTGCGGTCGGAGCTACGGTTCTGGGTCCTGGGACTTGGGGAATGACAACTGGCTGAGTTAAGCAGGGCGAAATTCAAATTCAAATCCTAAGCCAAAGCCAGTCCCTTCTGGAAGCCTTTTATTTATGCACATCTCACTGTGACGGTCATCCAGCCAACACAAATCGGAGTTGACTGTAAATCAATATAGCGGTGGAACGATTTCAAGATAACGAAGTAAAGTCTTCGCATATATACTTTGGGCCCTATCAGCTATAGAGGAAGTGTCGTACACTTTGGGGGATTGAATGACAAATAGCTAACATGCCGCTCACAACGGAATTTTCCGGTGTTGTAATACTATTGTCGCAGCACATGAATTATCTTTTTGTGACCGTAAATATGTGTTACCATTAAAGCATCGAGCCACGCTAATTATATGACCTGATAGCAAATAATCCTGACGGGAATAAATAGTATATGCTAGATTGCCCAAGTATATATTTAGGAAATATGGATTCAGAATTTAACTATCTGATGCAAAATATTTAAAGTTGCCTTTACTTTTAATCCAAATAATTATTTAATGACCAAATGTTTAGTTAAAACTTTAAAGTTCAGACAGTTTAGCCAACAAATTAAAAGTTTAGCCACGCTTAAATCACTTGCTGAAAAGTGCCAGAGCTTATGTGAATAAATAAAACATTCTGATAATAAGCAAACAAAACCTGGTTGGTTTTTCATTAGGAAAAATAACAAGTGGTAAATACAGAAAATTAAAATTTGCATAGAACTTTCTGCTCATCCTACACACTTTTACCACTGCATTTGCAAACTTTTTTTATTAAACTATTCCGCTTAAAGAATTGAAATATGGCAAATTGCAGCATCTGCTGCCCGGTATAATTGCGATTTTCCCCCAGCACAAATTTTCGAAATTTTCCAATGTCCTGCAGCTGTGGCTATAATTCGGCCTCAGTCCGTTCTAATGTGCCCTTTAAGCCATGTTTTTTGGGGGAAAAGGGAGCGAGGGGGAAACTAAGCCATGGCCAATGGCATTAAGGACATGCTGACTTTGTGGTGAGTGTGTGTGTGCGCGTGAGTGAGTGCTGGTTAATTTGGGCGCCTGGAAGTATGCAACAACCAAGAGTGCGGCTTTTGCCAGTGTGTGTGTGTAGGTGAGAACAAAGCAAATGCGCCGCAGCAAACAAAGTCATTAACAACTCATTAAAACTTCAATGTAATGGCTGCAAGAACAACACCAACAGCTCGCGCAATTACGTAATGTTTTTTAGGCGCAGCTGAAGGCACAAATATAAATAAACGTATGTATTTCGAGACCCTTTTGTCACACATTATCTATACTGGGCCACACAGCCATTAGCCTCAACCAAAAAAAAAAAAGGAATAAAGCCACGAAAATTTTGTCACGCCTCCGGATGGAAAATTGAGTCGAAAAGGAAAGAGGTACACACTAAAAAATACAGTCATTTAAATAGTAAACAGTTTAAAAATACATTTGCTAATGAAACTATGGATATAACTATAAATTAATATTAAAATTATTATTAAAACATTGGCAAATGTCCTTCCGAGTTATTTGAGTTATTAATTTAAAATTTAATAATATTTAAATATTATATTATATTGTAATAAATAGTCAATTATATTTTAATTAAATAAAAAAAATTCAAAAATATATAAAATTATTTAGAATTAATTTTACTATTTATCGCATCATCGGAATAAATGCATTTCCTCTGCTCTCAATCATTTCCACTGCTTATTAATTCAAATTAGAAGCTTTCTACTAATAAATGAGTAGCACATCGATCATGGCTTAGGATGATTTTGTTCGCCGTGCAGCTGGAGCTTTACTTACCAGCCCAAATAGGGTGGACATGTGATTGACAGGGCCGTTATCCACACGACGAGTATCATGAGCAGGGCCAGCCGCTTGGAGCGCCGCTTCTTGGAGTACGTCAAGGGTTGTGTGACGGCGAGATACCTGCGAAATAAAGGCAAAATAAAAATGAAAATGAAAATGAAAAGGAAAACGAGTCAGGCCAATAAACGCAACAGAAATGGCCAGGGAAATGCTGAAAAAACAAAAGCCAAAGCGGACATATTGTTCGCAAAGCCGCAGGCGGCTTTCTGGCCGGGGCCAAAAGGCAAACAGAGAGCAGTCAGGTCCATGGCTTCCATGGCTGCTCCTGCTCGGTCTGAGGCTCCGGCTCAGCTGGATCAGCTCAGCTCCGTAGCCACAACACAAAACTTGGAAATGCCATTAAAATGTAATTGAAACTTCCAACAAAAGCACTGGGGTTGGGGCATCCAAGCCCAACCCAATCCTTGCCATTGTGGCGTCGGACACCCAAAAGGGTATGGGAATGGGAATGGCCACGACAACGGTCATGGAGCAATAAAAACGTCAACAAATAAATTATTTTGCACTGTTTTTGCACCTTGCCATTGGCTTTGTCTAAGGACCAAGGACCACGGACCATCGCTATGACATCAACGGCAAATTAAGAAATTAGTTGGCCAACTCACCTGTCCAGACTGATGGCGCACAGGCTGAGAATGGAGCCGGTGCAGAGCAAGATGTCCAGCGAGATCCAAATGTCGCACAGTATCCAGCCGAAGCGCCAAGTGCCTGCAGAGTATAAATATTTGTTCAGCTGCACGGGGGATTACGGAGGCATTACACTGGCAGTTGCTTCAAGTAATATTATTCCAAATTATTCCCCGGATGGCTAAAGTTATAATGGAGGAGCTTAGACCTCTGGATCCTCGATTGACTGCGTGTGAAACTTAAAGAGTGGGTTTGCTAAGAGAGGTTTTTTTAAAAGGAGTAACTTGTTTTTAAATAGCCCTGTATTAAATCAATTTATTATATTAATATTATAAATAAAAAGCCCTCGAATTTAAATTCGGAGAAGGCAAATCCAGAATATTTTTAGAAAAAATATCAAAGCCTTTCTGCGGAAAGCGATAAAAAACATGCACCACTCACAAGATGTTTGCCCACTAAAAATTGTATATTTTTTGCAAAGTGAAATTGTATAATCTTTTTATGGGATTATTTTGAATCGGTATCGAGCAAATGGGCTACCCGTCGATTTGGGCAAATGTTTACTATACTAACTTGCAACGCGGCGAGGTCCGAATAGTAAACACTTGCCACGATTCCGACTGCCACGGGAAGTGTAATGCCCCCACAGAGTCATAAATCTTCGACAGTCGATGGGCCACTCCACTTAATTCCACTCCCATTCTCACCTGTTATGTAGAGGACCACCGAGGGGGGCATCACACAGGTGCCGACCAGCCAGTCGGTGATGGCCAGGTTCATCACGAAACAGTTGGTGACGGTGCGCAGGCGGCGTGTGGTCAAAACGGCCAGGATGACGAGTGTATTGCCGACGACGGTGACCAGGATGAGGACCAGGAAGACGGCCACCGCCAGCGATTTGGGCCACGCCATGCTGACCAGGTAGGAGTTCATCGAGGGCACCTTGCCGCCAGTTGATATTACCTCACCAGCTGGTGGCGATGTCGTTTGGATCAGCAGCAGGGTGGACCCTTCCGTGGAGCTATTTCCCACTGTCAAGGCTGTGGACAGGAACCTGGAGTACAGCAGCATGGTCTCCGGATGTTGCAACGCCGCCATTCCGGCGAATAACTGACTCTAAAGGTGGACCTTATTCGACATCTACAAATTGATTCTGCGTGGGCGAGAAGGTAAGGTCAGGTCACTTAATCAAACCGGCTACACAAACTGGGCTGGGTCCCATTTCGTTCCGAAACGAAGTCCCCAATGCGGTGGCGTCATTAGAAAAACGCAGAAAAATGCCGGACCAGAACTGCATACAAATAATGGAATTGCCTGCGACGACGACCTTACACAATTTCCAATTACGGCCGGACTGTGGCCACATAAATTGCAATAAGTAAGCGTAATTGGCCTTGGACAGCACACGAAATACAACGGGGCGAAAGTAATTAGCGCCCATAAATTATGCCGCCGAACATGCATAGGCCAAAAATGAAAAAAAAACGGAAAACAATTTAAATGATTTCCAATTAATATTGCCATTTACAATTCAATTTCAATTTCAGACCAGCCAGCCGGCCAATAGTCTCGGTCGAAAAACTTATATTCGTCTGTTTTCGTATTGCTCTGTTTATATCGCTCGAAAGACTGGAAATAAATAAATCAGGCACATGTTCACCCAGAGGAATTCCTACGGCTGAAGAATCGGCATCGAAATGAGATTGGGAATCAAAATTGGAATCGGAATCTCAGTGCTTGAGCGACCTTCGATCGGATGACACTACAACCAATCGCCGGCTCCCCCATCTGAAGTCTGCTCGTCCACACCCGTAAGACAAACAGATTGAGCACACACTCCGGCATCGAGAGTACGAGTACGAGTACACAGAACTGCATCTCTCGAATGAAAAGTATCTCTCACGAGGCACTGCGAAAAATGGGGATCACATTAGATATTTCGCTATTTATATGTATTAATTTGATCTAAACAAAAAGTATTTATTCTGATTACCTACTTAAAAACGATGCGATATTAGGAATTTTACGATGGAACTGATCTTAAATATAGAACAAAATCCCATGATAATCCCGTGCGATTAACACTTTATTAAAAACTGTTCACTAAATATAGATATCTCATAAAATACCCATGCTTGCGGTCTGAATAAACACTTAAATACAATGTTCACCAGCCCTGCCAATGTCTCTTAACTTTTCTTTAGACTTTGGTTGATATACTCTTATATTAAACTTTATTCATTATACCCTTGTAGAGGGTATTATAATTTCAGTCAGATGTTTGCAACGCAGTGAAGGAGACGTTTCCGACCACATAAAGTATATATATTCTTGATCAGCACCAATAGCCGAGTCCATCTAGTCATGTCCGTCTGTCCGTCTGTCCGTCTGTCCGTCTGTCCGTTTCTATGCGAACTAGTCTCTCAGTTTTAAAGCTATCGCGATGAAACTTTCCCGAAAGTCTTCTTTCTATTGCAGGTAGTACATATGTCGAAGCGAGCCGGATCGGACCACTATATCTTAAGGCTCAAACAAATATAAGAAAATTCATTGTAACTTTGTAGGAAGTAGGCGTTTTGATTCTTGACTACTTAAAAACAAGATTTAAATAAATAAAACGATGAATCTGAAATCCCTGGAACTGCACCGAGTAAGCATTCATTAATCTACAAGGGTATATAAGCTTCGGCTGGCCGAAGGTAGCTTCCCTTCTTGTTTTATATTTTATTTAGTTGTTTATATTTTGTAAATTATTGGGAATATAAAACACTCACATTTGTGTTTAATAAATATCACAGAAGTTAAACAATCCGATTTCAAGAACATATTGAACGTAATTATTATTTATTTTGACTCGTTTTGGAGTCTTTTCCGTGAAACTAGGTTATTATTATATTCCGTTGTTAATACATTATTAATCCATTTCGCAAGGAATCGAACTTCAGCCGAATTCACATTGTTTTCCGTGTACAATTGCATGTGCGTTGCTTTATAAATAGTTAAGTGATTAGTCTCCGGCTTTGCACAATGGGTTTTCGTCAGCACTGTAATGCCGCCATTTGTTACCCATCGATGGGTTATGGGTCACGGAATCGCACAGGATCACCGGGTGGCTAGGTCAAAAGGTGAGGAGGTGGATGGTTTGATGGGTGGGCGGCCCGAAAAGTTTCTTATGCACACGCACAGCTGCCGCTGCTGCTGTTGGCACGCGTTGATTACAAACTGACAGTTGGCTGTCGGTTGTCGGAACGTCCAACCTGAGATGCTGACGATGTTGCTCCCACTTCCCCCCTCCCTCAGATAGCCCCACCCCCCAGAAACACCTCCACCCAAACCCGCAGCATCCAACGCTCTACGCGAAGCGGAATAGTCAACGTGCCGTATGCGCGATACTTTTTCTCAGCTTTTTTTGTTGTTCTTCTTTTGTGTTGTCGATTAAAGTACACAAATGTCGGCAGGGCAAAAATTCTTTCAATGCTTTACATTTTTTATTTCGTTCGGCTCATACTTTTCGGATTTATTATTTGTTATACCCTGATAGCGGGTATTATGATTAGAGATAAATGCGTTGGGATATTTGTGTGATATTTCGATTCACCAGAGGAGTAAATCTTCTTTCAATTTAACGATTAAAGACTTAAGGATAAGGATATTATCAAAACCTTTAACGTCTAAAAATTATTTTGTTTTGATCTCAATAAAATTAACTTAGTTCCCTTTAAACATTATTATCTTTTTACATATTTCAACTAAAAAACTCTCTATAAATGTTGTTTAAGTGTTCTAGCTTAGTGTACTTTGAATGAAACATTCTTGCGTTTTTGTTCGATATTTTAATATTTCAACGTTTTTCCTATTATTTTTAAAGTATTTTAATGGATGTACAAGGGTAATCCCAATTCGTTTTACAAAACTAGTCTTTATTTCATATTTTTTTTATTTATTTTGTTGCTATTGTTTTATCACGGCGCACACACATTTAGCGGATTTGTTTGGAAAATATTTAGAAAATTCTGATATAAAATTAAAAAGGCATTCGGATGAGAGGGGCGCAGAGACTGACTAATCGAAGTGCTGAGCCCGCGGATTAAGTGCAAACATAAACGCAATTGGGTATATTAGATTTTCGCACGACTCTCTATGATTCATCAAACTTTGGCGGTGCCATCGAGACAACGGGGCCCAAAGTAATGTGCCATAAAAAAAAGAAAGGTGAATTACGCAGAGGTAACAGCTGCCAGTGAACCCGGCGATTGATGATGGGTGGATGGGAGGATGGGCGGTGGTTGGTTGGTTGGTTGATCTGAGGGCGTGGGCGAAGTTACTGCCAGAGTCTCATTAATATGCATTTCCCAATTAACCGGCGTATTTATTTGATTAGTTCGCGCCGGGTGAACAGCACCAAACAGGACAGGCCAATGTCAGATCACAGACTTGTTGCACACACAAACAGAGCCACAAAAAAACGCGACAACCTCATTAGCTTAGCTTTCGGCCAGATAGCAGCTAGTTAATTGATAAATTTATCAGTTGATTGCGGGCCAGATGTTAATAAATATGATTAAAGATATTCATCTATTTTATGTACACACTTTTCCCACATTTAATTAGGTATTTGAGTTTCCATTTCCATTTCACTTTTTTTAAACTGAATTTCCGACCTTCTGGTTGTCGGTTCTCGGTTCTCGGTTCTCGGTACTCAATTCTCAGCTCTTGGCTTTTGTATTTTTTCTGGGTGTTTGCGGCCAAACGCCAGGACGTCCCGTGAGCGACTGAAACTGAACTGAACTGAAATGCTTGTGGGCCAAATAACGCATTTGGCTAATTTGCCAAACGCTCTGGCTTTCGCTCTGTGTCGCTGTGTGCGTGCCACGCTGTTCGCCGTTTGTGTACACAGAGGGCTCACTGTACAGGTCGTTGGCGTTAATTTCGCTTCTCTTTCTTTATCACTCTTTGCAAACGAATTAATTATGAATTTACTTTGTGCTTGCCAGGAGGAGTATTCATAACCATTCTAAAGGCTGCGCGACACTCGGCTGAATTAGCAGACAGAAATTAGATGATGAGATGAACTGAACTCGGTACGGAAATTAGTGGGGTTTTTTTGGGAGCTGGGGACCATCGTCCCGCATTGGTTTGCATATGCAGATGGTAATAAATGGATTTCATGTAATTGAGAAGAACAGAGAACTCGGGCGGGTTATTTGTGCACGGCAAAGGATTATCAGCTCCATATTGTCAACTCAATTTCTGCGTATATACAGAAAAGATCTTTCGCTTAACTATAGTAAGTAAATAAGAAGTAATAGTTTGAATCCAGTGAAAAAGATCTCTAACATACATTTTAAAATATTAAATCGCTGGGGATTGAATAGAAATATAGAGAAAACTTATTCTAAAAGGCGGAGCATTTATTCGACAATTAAAGAGAAGCCAGAGTTATTAGTTTTAAAAACTTTGCTAACACAAATAAATAAATTAACTAATAATGTAATATAATTATCTTATAATTTGAATTATTAAATATTGAAAACATTGTAATGCTATTAGTCATACATATATCTTATTATTTCAGAATCATATTTCATATTATAAATATATTTTCTTAGTTATATTTAAGCATGTAAGAAAATCATACCATTGATTCCAATGAAATGGTTGCTAACTAACTAAGAAAATATATTTCTAATAACAACAAATAAATAAATATATAATCAGGGGTGTCACAGAAATCTCTTCCAACCGAAGACGGTTGGATTTTGCATTGATGCACGTAAGAACTTTAAGGGATTTCGGTTGGAAATAATTTCTGTGACCCCCCGGTATGTAAGAGAATTATTTTATAATTATAATTATTAAATACTGAAAACTTTATAATTCTCTTAGTCATATTCAGAATCATATGTCATATTAGAAATATATTTTCTTAGTTATGTTTAAGCATGTAATAATACCAATGATATCAATGTAATATATTATGATTGCCGATTTAAAATTACTTAAAAAGTTGCTGGAAAATATTCTGAAAGTCCATTTAAAATTGTTGGTTGCGAATAAAGGGGAAGTTGGTTTTGTTTAAAAACCGTTTATTTTTATACAGAAACATAACCGAATGGCCAATTGGAGTCATTTTCTCTCCGTGTGTATGTGTGTGTGTATGGACATTGACATTCACTTGCAATGGGGGGCGGGGCAGGAGGGCGTGTTAGCGCACAGAAATCGATCGTGCCCATTTTGGAGCTGTCACTCAAATTAAGCACATTAAAAATCCATAGGGATTTCAACACCCACATGTAACAGCCCCCCTTCCCACCATTCATCTCTCCCTGCCGCCCATGCCACGCCCCTTCCATGTGCAATTGTATTACACGCGCACAGCCAAGTGACATAGTTTGTGTGCTCGACACAAACACACACTCGCCTAGACAATGCTAATAAATTTTCGTTTTATGAGCATTTGGCTTTTAATTACCGAACTAAACTTAAACGCCGCACTAGCACAAATATGCGTGCCTGTGTGGGTGTCGCTTTCTGTGTGTGGGTGGTTGGGTGAGTAGTTTATTTATACAACACGCTTGATTTGGCTTGATTGATCTAGGACTGCGTATAGGAACTAGGAACCAGGAGATTGATGGATCGGAGGGATTCGAAGGGAATCGGAGGAAGCCAACGCCAATTGCTGTCATAGGCGCAAGAGTCGTAAAGTCAAATGGTATTTTCCTTGGGAAATTGCCGCTGTAACTGTTTGAACACAACAATTTCACTGCTTCACTTGAACTTTGTCGTTGTATGTACAATGTACAATGTACATGCAATTGAATTGGTATATTGCTTTCCAATCAAACATTCTGTTGGGATAAAGTTGGTTTGGCTGAGAGCCAGGAGTACTTTTTGAGCGCAGAAATATGGATTTAAATGTAAGGTTCTTTTATTTTGCCACTGAAATTGTAAATTAAACAATTATATACTCATTTTTCCTTTTTAAAATTTTGTGTAACCGTCATTTTGGTAAAGGACACTACATAATTATTCCTAAATAGACTGTGAAATAAAATTAAACAATTTTAACTGTTTAAATAGTTTTGAAATCGATTATTTATAGTAATTTTGTGTTAAGAACTCTTCATTTATAATCTTAGATTGCTGGTTTAAATATTTTATCTATTTAAAGAAAATTCCCGACTCTATTGTTAGTTTTAGTAAATCATTATAAGTAAGCAAATAAACAATTTTAAAATCTCGAAAGGACCTTAAAGTAATTCGAAAATAAAAGTGTATGGTCACATCTTTAAATTCCCAGATAAAAAATCAATTGTTTCAGTGAAAAAAGTTTATTTCTAAATTTGGCTTTAAAATTTAAGACCGTCTTCGGATCACAGAGACGATACAAAAGGGTCATTACATTTTCGGCATACTACAGAAATCTGTTTCAACTTCAAAGTCTCATATGAAAAATCAATTGTTTCAGTGAAAAAAGTTTATTTCTAAATTTGGCTTTAAAATTAAAGACCGTCTTCGGATCACAGAGACGACACAAAAGGGTCATTACATTTTCGGCATACTACAGAAATCTGTTTAGGCTACATTTCAAACGAAAGTCTTAAACAATTGGAATTTTGAAGAGATTTCTGTGTTTTATCCTCACAATTGACTGTGGCCAGGAATCCTTTAGCATTATCTGCATTTAATAAGTCATGCCAGTGAATTCCAGCCATTTGAAGATGAAGCACTCCTTGAACAACTTGGGCTGCTACATGCGCTGGATGACGCAGCCCTTGAAGGAATTCAGCCTGGCATCGATTTCGCCCTCCTCCAGTTCGTTGAAGGCGTAGATGTCCTTGTAGCAGGATGGCGAAATGCACTGTCGGATGCAGTTGATCTTAGCCACGCCCACGGGACTAAGGTTTATGCACTGGGCGTGCTGGTCGCATGTCACCTCCATTTCATGGTAGGTTATTTCCTGTTTTTTGGGTTGGACATTTTAAAACGATAAGTGGACAAGAAAAATCAATATGCTCCAGAACTCACATTCTTGCTGGTCTCCTTATAAGCGTACTCGGGGAAATTAAAGGTCGCTGCCTTCGGGAACAGCTTTCCATTCAGTCCGTGCATCTCCTTGTAGCCATTGGCGAATTTAAATAAAATTATTGAACAGACTGCCAGGAATATCGCAGGACGCATCATTTTCCCGTTACTTGTTTGGTCCTTTCTTAAGTCAGCTGTTCGCCAGGGATGGAAAAACTCGTCCTGGCACTTTGCGCTTGAATGAAAGGCATTTTTAGTATTTAAAATGGAAAGATACGAAACATAGATGGCGCTACAAATGGCGGTGTAGAATCGTTTGAAAAATGTGATGTAAAATTGCATTAGGGGGTGTCACAAAAACCGTCGACAGTTTTGTGAAAACCAACCATCCAAAACCGTCGATCCCACAAAATCCATAGTTTTGATAATTATAAACTTATAAGTTTCGGAGGAAATTTGCCTTGATTTTAGAACCACTTGTTCCAACACCTACTAATTGTTTTCGTTTTAAATCAGCTACTTACTTTTGGAACGGTTTCTTCGACACCGATATTCGCTTTTTGGGACGAATTTGATTGGAAGAGATTTCTGTGACACCTAACTATAATTTCATATTTATAAATAAACAAGCGGTAAAGACAAACGTAAACTAAATTATCCTATCACATGGAAAAAGTTGAAATGGAAAAGGCTAAAATTGTGAACCAAAATAAAAACAATTATACATTTTCATTATTTATTCGAATTAATATACATAAATTTAATAATTTTTATACATTAAAATATTAGGCGTCTATTCAATTAAAACATTTATAACTTGGACACATCCATACATACAAATATCGAGTAAAATCCACTTATTTGACATCCATTTATATAGGTACATGTACTTTGACTGTGGGATAAGCTCTTTTCTATTAGCAATACTTTTATTAGGTACGACTGTATACACTAGACTAAACAACTTAAGTAAGAGAACTTAACAAGAAAACTAAAAACAAACTTATGTGTTTAAAATATCAGTAATCATGGGATGCTAACAATACTGGAACAGAAAGCAGAACAAAGAGAGAGAGCATCAATTAATAGTATATGTATAATATATATCACAACGGGGTGGGAAGAAGAGTGTATTCACAATACCCAAGCTTCGGTTCAAACATAATCCTCGCTGCTCTTTAGCATTTTCTGTGTCTCTGTGGCGCCCATTACCGTCTGCATTTTGCAGGTGAGTGAACCGTGCCTCTGAATGGATCCGTGGATGGTGAATCGAGTGGTGGCATGTCCGGAGAGGCTGTCCTTGTACTTCAAAGCGCTCTGACGACACAGACCGAGTCTGAAAGAAAAAGGGTTAGCGATTAGAATCGCTTTTTAGATGGCAACCAATATAACTTACTTCGACAACAAGGTGAACAGATCCTGGCGATACTGAGAAGTGAGTATGGCATATAGATAGGGATCCGCACAGGAGTTCAATGGATAGAAAAATACAAGCAATATTTTCGACTTGGTCACATTGATCAGTGGATAACCAGCGAGTGCGGTGAGTCCGAAGAAAGCAATGGGAGACCAGCAGGCAAAGTTTGTAAAGACCTGAAAGAAGTTAATTGATTTTATGCCATTTTACATTAAAATAAATTTGTTTATCTACCCACCAGAAGGGCCATCTTCTTGGCCACGCTCAATTCGCCCGGACTATTGTGGTGCGCCTGCCGTGTCTCGCGACCCAGGGACAGGTAAATCTGGGCATAGCACACGGCTATGATGGAGAAGGCCACTCCGTTGCAGACCATGATGGCAATCAGATACACGGTGTCGTATATATCGCGATTTTCCATCGGAAGGCAGATGCTGCAATGACCAAGGCGTCAGTTTATCCTAGAGCGGCGGTCACAGAACGACCTATTTACTTGCTCACCTCGTCGACGAGTAATTACTAATACCGAACAGCGGCAGCGAGGACATAAACATGGAGTAAATCCAGCCGCCCAGCATGATGAGTGCTGCCGGACGCAACTTGATGCGATGGTTCAGGTACATGGCCTGTGTGATGGCCAGCCAGCGCTCGATTGTGATAACGGTCAAAGTGAACACAGACAGATGACTGGCGAACACGGTTAGAAAGCCGGCTACTTTGCAGCCGAGCCCTGTGGAAATCCCAGAAGAATCGATAGTCAAATCAAAGCCAATTCAAAGCAAGAAAGCGGTTCACCCACCATACTGCCAGTCGTAAGCGTAGTTAAAGTACTCCCCCATGGAATGAGCATCGATGGAGGCCACCAACAGCAGATAGACTCCCAAGCACAAGTCGGCGAAGGCGAGGTGGCACATGAGAAATCGTGGCACTGGTGTCGACTCTGGTCTGGAATGGACAAAGATTATAAGCACTCGGGAAAAAGAGTAGAAGTTTTGAAAATCTTTCTCACAAATATCTATAAATATGTATATTTAAACGATTGAAACATCTTTTAATGTCCTTTCACCGAAAAAAATTCAATATGAAATAGTGCCAATTTTACCTTATTTCATATCAATTAAAAGCCGATATGATTTTTGTCAAATTTATGGATTAAACATATCAACTTGATATTTTATCATATTCATAAAATTTATAAAAATACTATTTTAAAATTCCAAATGTAGAATTTTTTGAAAAAATAATGTAAAATAAGATAAACATAATCTTTATTCATGTCAAAATGATATGAATAAATTGATCTGATCTTTTCTCAAATTTTTTTCTGTATAGAAAAAATTAAGTTATTGATAAACTAAAATATATTTATATAATAATATTTTTTCTAAGTGCTCAATTGGATACTTACCTAATCGATAGAATTACTGTCAGCACAGCCACGTTGCCAACCACCGCCAGGGCAACCACAATCCAAACGGAAATACGAAGCCATTGATAGCCCATAACATCCTCGCAAGGGTTAAGATCATTGGGCATGGGATAGCACTCAATATTCGGTTTTCTGCAATAAATAAACTCTTTAGAGCAAACTACAATAGTGATTAGACGTAAATTGCTCACCTGAATGTGAAATTTCCGCACAGTTCGGCTGACATATCATCCGCCGGGTCAAGTGTAATTTTCTCGTGAAAAGTTCCCTTGTTCAAGGTGTCATCGGCCATGTAGTCGAAGGAAGCGAATTTGATAGGTACAATATCTGTTGTCGCTTCATCTGGGCTGCCAAAACTACCAAAGTCTTCTGGCATTTCGAAGCCATTTTCCGAAGTGGATCTCTCCTTTCGGGAAGCCGAATCACTCTTGCATTGCTCCCGCCACTTTTCAATCTCCCGCATTCGCTTGGCATGTCGCTGAGGATCGTGACGAGATGGGAACTGGAAGGCGCAGCAGTGAAAGGAGTGCGTCAGGTAGGCCCGTTGTAGATTCTTCACGAAATAAGAAAAAAACAGAGTTGTAAATAGAAATATTTAAGTTAAATTACCACTGACTCACCCGAAAGTTGTAAATTGAAGGAATGGTTTTCAGAGTGTGGGTATTCTGAATGTACAATGCTTCGATGGTCTGAAGACCACTTGAGGGTAGGCCAACTAACGAAGTGCTGGAGAGATCGCTGAAAGAGGGTACAAATAATAAATGCTACACCTTGTGATTGTTTTAATTGCTCATATTTCTGATAAGCAATTTAGTCAATTATAATTGGACATTTATCCTTTCCTTTCCTTTATTTAGACAAAATCACCTTAAGAAGATTAAATAGTTCACACTCAGGGGCAGTGCTGCCATTTTGTCCTTTTTCCAGACTTCACGTCGCGTCGTGACAAAAAAATAAATCTGTTTTGTTTTATTCTCAGTCTAACCTTTATTTAAATAAAATTGTAAAAATCGTTTTGCGTGCATTTCACAAAAAAGGTGGAAAAAGTCCGAATTCAGATTTTGTGAGGAAAATGGGAGCTTTTAAATGTCCATACCAATGTACATCAAGGACAACGTTTGGATTTAACATAAGCTTATAACAAATCTAGTTTGTTTTTTTTTCAGAAAATAGTTCGGCGAATAATTTTTTCAATTCAGTTTTACCCTTGGTACAGTCGCGGAATAATTTTTTTCATCTGTATGCAATGGCTCGAAATTAAACTGCATTATTACGTATACGCATAAATAAATAAGTATGGTCAAATTAAATGGTTAAAAATAAGCGGAAGAAGATACATATGTTTTATTTTTTTTCGTGGGATCTGTCATGTTTTTCAAGCTGACTGCTGGCAGCTTTATCCTATCTACCCCACTGAGTGTGAACCATTTAATCCTTTTATGGCGATTTTGTCTTAATAAACTACTTAAAAGGGGGTTTCAATACAAATTTAGTAGAACCAAATGTTCCCATCCCTCTAGGTCGGATGTTTCAAGTTATTTTTGGATTGTACATTTTGGCTCATTGTCTTTGCCTTGCTCCCCCTTTAACTGGACTGCAGTCCACTTAATAAGAGGACAATAGAATCGATGCTAACTAGCAGCCTGCAATGCACAAGATACCGTCAAGCCGGAGCTCAAAGATTCAGTAAATTTCGAACAGTGTTTTCAGTTTACCACCCTCCTATCACTTTTCACTTATGTGGTGTGATTTATGGGCGAAAGCACAAAAGCCATTTGATCCCTTCTTGGCTAAAATCATTTGATCATTTTAAACTGAGAAAATGTGAAATGGTTCAAAGGGGTAACAAAGCCATTTTGTTGCGCACCCTTTCACTTTACACCCGAGTGAGGTGGTTAATCCCCTAATTCATCCCATGGATCCGAACATTTCACGATTACAATTCTTTAATACTTACAGTTCAGTTATATCTATAATGCCATCGAAAGCGTTTGGATGCATGTGTTCGAGTTTTTGGTTGTCGTTTAGCGACCTTAAAAAAAATCATTTTTAATCATATTTATTTAGTGTGATTGCTAAATTGACCAAATACTCACAGTTTGGCTATCTTGGAGCCAAAGAAAGCCGAGTCATCGACGTAGCTTATGTCATTGTTTGCCAAAATTCTATAAAGATTAGGTTTCTTAAGAGATTACTCCAATATTGTTTTATTTGTTGTTGCTTATACGTACAATTGGGCAGTCTTTACTTTTATGGATTTAGTATCTATTCGAGTGATTTGATTATTATCGAGATCTCTGGCAGAAAAAGAAATAATAGTAAAGTAAATATTAAAGATAATTCTATTAGTGTTTATTGTTGTACTCACATCATTTGCAAAATATTATGCGGAGGAAGATGGCTGAGGTCCGGAACTCTGGTAAGTCCGCTGTTTATGATGCGTCTGTCGGAATAAAATGCAATATTGTTACACATGTCGACTGTAGAATGTTATAAGCACCCCCTTGTATTTTCAGAGCTTTGCTTTACAGGATTATAAACCCAGTTCCCTACGCACATTTCATTTAAAGTTTTTTATTTTTTTCACAAAGTATAATCTATAATGTAGATACAGGAAAGAATAAATATACAATTAAATATTTTTGTAAGCAAAAATTTACTTTTAGCAACATGTAAACATGTATAAAAATCCATTCTACTTCAACACAAATCAGCTGCTGACCCCCAAAGGGTGTGCATGAAGTGCTATATCTACAAATTACACAACATAAACCCCAACTTCCGTCCCAAATAAAATCACACAGCTGTGCGTGCTTATTGCCTTTGGCCCCCATTCATCTGGCACATATGGTAGGAACCCCTAGGCGAGATTTGCTAATTACAAATGGCTTACATTATTTCCACAGTGTCCGAAATGCCAAAAAATACGTCCTTAGAGAGAAAGGTTAGCTTGGGTGCATTGGTGATGTAGCTGGAAATATAAATATAGGCACTTAAAGGCCATTGAAGCCGCCACTTATAATCAGGCCTTACATTGTGCGCAGTAGCGTTAAATTAGCGAAAGCGCCATCCTGTATCAGTTCCAGCTGCAGGCAGTCGGTGAAGGTCCTGTCGAGCGAAGGGATAATAGAAGTGTGCACATATGTGGGCCAGGGATATATCCACTGTAACTTACACATCCAACAATGTGGGTCCGTAGACCTTCAGCCCTGTGTAGCGTAGGCGTGGCAGCCCCGCCGACGCAATAGTTAGTCGCTGGATGGGCAGCTTCAGCGTTTGCGGTACGCGGTTTAGTCCGTCGCCCTCGCAACGGCATTCCACCTCCTCCATCTGCGAAAAGAATGGGATTTACTACAGGTGGGTGGAGGAGCTCATGTGGTTCGAAAATATAACAAGCTAAAATAAATGCAGTTGTGCCCCTCGAATTTCTACTAAATGTGCGCTGCTACGGGATCAGAAATTAAAAGGTGAAATATTCGGATATTATATCCATGCAGTTGTGACCATCAACTATTGCCAGCATTGACTGCACGGTAAAACATTCGGATATTAACTCCATGCTGTTGCGACCATCAATATTGAACTAAATGTGCGATGTTCGGGGCGCATCTATATTTTCTAGGAAATATTGGGTTCTTTCCAATGTTCTTCCTTCGAATTTTTTTTCTTTTCAATGCTTAAAGGATACTGGGAAATTGTATTTCAACAAAATTTTATTGGAAAATGGTACCTATACTTTTATCAGCATTATTTATTTTTAGTTATCTCTCTATTGCTATTCAAGTTAATTAAGTAATATCTGCATTTTCATTTATCTTCCAGTTTTTCAATAAGCTATTTCTCTTTAAGACCCCGACTGGAGGTCAATCAGTTGCTGCCCTCGCCGCTAAGCATATAGAATTAAGTTGAAAGTGTACAGCTATCAGTCACTTACTTGATTACTTGCATTCCAGCAGCAACACTTCCAGCCGGAGGGCGGCAATGTCACGGTCAGAGGCGAGTCCGTCGATTGACCCAGCGCCCCGGCGGTGGGATTGGGGTAGACATCGAATCCGTGGAGGATGTCGTGACAGTTGCTCGCGCCCAGCGCCTCGCCGACGGCACTCGTGGCGTATACGCAATGTGGCCCGCACAGCGAAGTAAATAGCAGTTGGTGGAAGAGCAGGCGGAATAGGAACTCCAATGACAGACACTTCAGGCCCTTCCTTGAGCTTTCGCTGGCCTCCTTCCGGGGCAGGCTAGTGTGCTTTTCCATGGCTCTCTGTCGTTTCCGCCGAACGATCCTAAGTACATAATGGGCGGCTCATTTCCTCAGCAAATATCCTTGTTTTTTTTTTCGCAGTCTCACTTCTAATTAGCTTGTTGGATGCGCTTATGCATCTTGTGGATGGCCTGTTGTTGGGGATGAAACGGAGTGGGAGACTCGATTTAGTCACTGCGTAATGAAGCCATCAAGCTGCCCGTTCAGTTGGCGAATGATAAAGTTAAATAGCATCGAGAGCAAACGATTCGCTGCCTTCCCGGCTGATCCGCAGATATTTGGCATGTCGTGAATTGGACAGTCACGTTCTGAGGCGCGGACGCGTGTTTGATTGATTTTCAAATCCATACAAAAGCGAACGACAAATCAAAATCGAAATCGGCAAAAGAGAATTCGCAGCAAATTTCTTGGGCAATCAGTCGGTGGACAAACGACCACAGTTACTCGGTTACAGTGAAGCCTGAAGCCGGTGGCAGGAAATCAAATCACACTTGATACTCGGCAGGAGGACACTGACTCGGAAAAAAGACAGGGGGGCAAACAGAAATAAAGCAAATATTCGGGGTGGATGGAATCGAGTGGAGTTTGCTAATTAACATATGTTATCGCAGGCATAAAGCTCATATTTAACCCATTGCATTATTTTTAGACAACGCGCTCGCAGTCTATATGTCTGTCAATAGTATCATATCACGTTTCCCGGCCCTATATAAATTTATTTTGAATGCCCCCACGAGCCATGACGCCTTACGGCTCTCTGTTTGTGCTTAATTTTAGTTCTCACCAGCTAATTGAAACATTCAGTTTCGCGTAATTAGTAATATCATAAACCCAGATTGCCTGGGAGCGCGGTTTCGGGGTCTATATAGTATATGCGTAGGCTCTGGGCCCAACTACTTCGATTCTCCCCGCTTATCTGATACCTCAAAAAGACTGCCGACAGGTGTGTGCCATGTTTTGTGCCTTTTAATTAACAAATATTTGTTCTCGCTTGTGCTCCAGCTAGCTTTATGGCCGCGATCTTTCGGCCAGAGTGCACAATCTGAATCTGGCTATCTCTGCCCTCGTGAAGGGAAAATTTAAAAAGTTAATTAGCACCTTTGGCTAGGCGACCTCCGGCGGAATGCGCCAAAATCACCGTGAACCTGTGCCGGAATTCAATGGCAACGGTTGGCCGTGGACAAATGAACATATTTTCCAATGTTATCAGATATATCTTGATATATCTTCAGGAAAATCCAGTGGAAATGACGCAATGGGTTTACAAAACGATAATAAAAACAAGAGAGAATGCTATAGTCGACTATCAGATACTCATTACTCAGCTAAAGGGAGATGCTACTAGCGGCATCTAGCGGCTGTTTCAATTTTTGGTCATAACTTTTTAATGGATTGTCCGAAAAAATTTAAAATTTTTAAAATTTAAAATTTTTTTTGCATTTTGAAAGTTTAAGTAAACGCAAAAAATGGCATTTACAACATATTTTCCAACATATTTAGGCGACCGTTTGAAAATCTACAAGAAAATCCAGTGCAAATGACGCAATGGGTTTACAAAACGATAATAAAAATCATTGGAGTATACAAACATCTCTCATTCTGCTCTCGACAAAGCCAAGAAAATGAGTTAAGTCAATTATTTACACAATATTTTGTTTGATTGGCAGTTCGGCTGATTATTTGCATTCGAATCAAGACCGAATAGTTAGCAGTCCTCAATTGAATTAAATCTAGTCTGACGCACAAGAAGTCGAACCAACAAAGTTTTGCTTTCCATTTAACTAATTGCTCTAATTGGTTTTTCTTTTTTGCTCTTGCATCTTTGAATAGCGGACATAAAACGGAGTAATCCAAGCCATTAATTGTAATTGCAAGGAATTCAAAATATTCCGGCCCAATGAACATCGTTTTAATGTCAGAAGCCATAGTGTCGTTTTTAACGAATTAATGTTAATTACCGCATTAACAGCATTATAAAACAAGTTAGTATGAGTTTTTCGAGCGACAAAATGTCCATATAAATCAAATTAGAATGTTCTAGTTGAGTGGCCGCAGAAACTTTCTGTTTCGGTGGTCTGTTGGCTGCAAATTGCAATTTGAATTTAATTAAATTTTAATATCAATGTTTTGAAAATGCGCTGCCAGTCATGGTATTCGTCCAAAGTTATAACGAAATCGCTTTGAATCTTGAAGTCTATTAATATCCACCTATTAGCGGATACATGGTAATACCGACACTCAGTCGAATGACAAATCACATCACAAAATCAGTCCATTTCAATCAAGTCTCAAGTCTCAGCTCATCTCATCTCACAAAGTTGAGCAAAGTAGCAAGAGCTGCATATTCCAGTGCACTCTATCAAAGCCATTAGTCCGATTACTTTTCAGATTACGGAATACAATTGGGGAATTGTTTCGCACCCGTGAGTTTAATTAGTAATTGCTATGTACATTTTGTACATTCTCCGGCACAGACACATAGATTAGCTGTCCATATTTATAGCTTATCGCCACTAAAATCGAGAATGGATTTTTGGGCGGAACCGACTTTGATAATTTTATTCGAAGGCTTGCACAAACACTCACATTCACCGCCGAAAGGAGGGATCGTGAAATCACATGGGCGAATAAATACAGAATTATAATGGATTTTCCGAGCGTTGTCAGTAAATTTGGTCATGCGGTTGTTGTTTATGGGCAATTTTTAGCACACGCACAGCCGCGATAATTTTCCGATTTTCTTTTCTGTAAACAATTCAAGCCACAAAGGCTTTTTTGGCCATGTTGCTCACCGGAACTGATGATTTTTTGGATTTTTCCTAGTTGTCGGCGTAAAATGGTGAATTCACCTGTTGCAAAGGGATTGTTTCCTTCGCCCAACCGGAAGCCACTGAACCACGAAATATTTTCAAACGACGGAAGTGGGACGACGACGAGCAGCCGAGGCATCGAGCGCGAACAACCGAGCAGCTCCAGCAGCTATAGCGAAATGAGAGCTCAAGAGCTGGTCCGAGCGACGAGCAGAGCAGCCTGTAACGACGGAACCAAACATATTTGCTTTAGCTTTGCGTATTCCACTGCTGTTGCGGTCGGTTCAGGTGAAAGCTTTCGCCTTTGGGGGCCCAACACACACACTTGTTGAACGGAACTATGTGGTCAGTACTATCAGAGCCTTGAGCCTTGAGGAGCATCTCATTATAGCCCTTCAATACAATTTGAGTCATTGGGTGACACTGTTTCGTAATAAAACCCTGAACGAAAAACAATCCAATGATTGAATAATTAAAAAAATTATTATTATTAATTTTTTCTTAGAAAAAAGGTACGTTAAAATATATTTGTTTCCTTTGGATTGGATAATATGATACTAACTATGGCCCTTCAATACAATTGGTGTCATTGGGTGACACTGTTAGGTTTTAAATTTGATCACCTCAAAAACTGAATCATTCGTAATTTTAAGATCCCTAGTTTAAAATCCTGTAAGCTGGATTTCGAAAGATTCACAATAGTGACCTTAACTGCTGACTAATAAATACTGAATTCTAATCAATTCTAAACAATTCAGAGACTAGAAGGCACTTCCTTGTCTGTCAAAGCTAGCTGCGTAGTGAAGCGGAGAAAACATACTTGCTAGCAACCAAAACCGGCAGCTAAAATAGACCTACCAAATCCAAAACGAAAACCCTCGTTTCGCTCCTTTCGTTTCGTACACCAGACAGCCCAGATGGATATGCACTTTCAGTACAAGAAGGATCACACGTTCGACAAGCGTCGCAACGAAGGCGATAAGATCCGGCGCAAATATCCGGACCGTGTGCCCGTTATCGTGGAGAAGGCCCCGAAGACGCGCTACATCGAGCTGGACAAGAAGAAGTACCTGGTGCCGGCCGACTTGACGGTGGGCCAGTTCTACTTCCTCATCCGGAAGCGCATCAATCTGCGTCCCGACGACGCCCTCTTCTTCTTCGTTAACAATGTGATTCCTCCGACTTCGGCCACCATGGGAGCCCTGTACCAGGAGCACTTCGACAAGGATTACTTCCTGTACATTTCCTATTCCGATGAGAACGTCTACGGACGTCAATAGACGCGGGTTTGCACCGCCTAATCGTTTTGCTGGTCGGTTGAGTTTCAATTGTCACATTAGCCACATTTCGCCATTGGCAAGTTCATCAATAAAGAATGACTGGTCCTAGTCAGCTAACCAGCAGCTAACGTCGTCATCGTGGCCCATGCTGGGTAAAATAATTATCGCAGTATGTGCTTCCCCCGGCGATGGAAGGGGATCGCATTTGCTAATCCCTTGCGTTGCCTCTGGTCTCGCCGGTCTCTGGAAAAAACAAAAATTAATTGAAGCGCTCAAAAAGTAAAAAAACATCTAGTGAACTCACGGCTACGGCTTAATTATAATTCACAAATCGATGGCCCGTCCCATTCAGAGCAGCGACAAATTAAATGGAGGCATCGCTTTTGTTGTTATGGTGTGTTTAAGTTCACTAATTGGTGAAAATATGAGACATAAAACCAGTTTAAATCGGGCAAAAGTGTGCTCTGTGCTCTGAAAGCATGCAATAAAAATTCGGAGGCACTCGGCCGAGCTGGTTGGATTTTGGGTGGTGGTGGTGCATCAAAACAAAGTTGTTTGACAAACTTATTGACATCGTGCCCATGGATTAGCGAAGGAAACTTTTAAATAAATATAGATACGAACTGATGGTACAGGTATTCTTCCACCAGACACCCACAACTTTCGGTCTTATTTAAATTTAGCTTTTGTTTATCGTATTAATCTACATATCGTGTCGTAAACGCAGAAATTACCCAGAAATTCGAGTTTAAAATTTGGAAAATTTATGGGAGCTCTCTAATAAATGGGAAAGTTAAATAATAAATTTGATAGGTTCTAAGAATTTATTGAATGGTTAAGCTATTCAAGTGCCAGCCCAGATTACAAACGGCGTATATTTTCCGTTACTGATTAGTTCACATGACTTACGTAAAGATTGTAAAAATAGAAGCTCAAATAACGAATATCTAAGGTTAAACAAGACTTCACAGACATATGTCGACACACAACTCACTGTGAAATGGAGCGGAATTGATATAGACATTTAATAATATTCTGTTATACATTTTAATTTAGCTTGATATTTGCATATCATGTTATTTACAAATGCGAACAGCCACTAATTGACTAGATAATCCAAAGCGAATCTACGCCAGAAACAAACATATAAATATTCACATACATATATCATAACAGTAACAGAAGTGCAAAACAAATTAGAGTCAATTGAGTTAAGAAATTAGTGAGATGCCGAAAATAATCGACAACTTCTGGGTTATCTGGTGTAAATATTTGTCACCCAATCAAATATGTAATGCCAAAAAGGACAAAAAGCGGGCCAGAGAAAAAGGCAGAAAGAGGCACAGATTAAAAAATAAAAAAAATATTCTTCGGGGACAAAGAAATTTGCGTTTAATTAGCAATGGAAATCAGCTTTATCGATCGCGGCTTTATTTTGGTTTCTTTGTTGAGCCGCAGTTACATAAAACGGGGATATACAATTCGGCGGAACATTCGCCCATATAAATACAGTTTAAAAACTCGATAAATAAATTAAAAATGAATTTAAAACATTAACTCAAGTGCGCCATGCCTCCAAGTTAACAGCAGGCAGGTTGGGATCATCACATCCAATCATTTGGTTGCTATAAAGAAATAAGCAAGTCACTAAAGAAATCGCCCAGGTCACTTTATACTTTACTCACCCAGGATGATCAGCTCGTATAAAAGCGGCCAATGGCACCGCTTGAAGAGTGAGACGGTCGGAATTGTCGCATAGCAAGCGGGCCAGCGTCACCTTGCGCAGCTCCTGCAACTGCTGAGGGTTGAATGCGCCAGGATTAACCCCATTGTCGTACTCGTAGTAGTAGCGATCGCCCTGCTTGAAGCGGGCAAATTGATCGGCTATGATCTCAGCAAAGGTCACTCCCACCACTCCATCCTCGACGGCCTTCTCCAGCAGGCCGCCCACCCACAGGTCAATGTCGTCTGGGGTGCGATAAACGCGGGACAGCTTCTGGCCAATCTAAAAGATATATAAATGGAATAGAGAATGAAAATGTTCTTTTTCGATTGAAAGCATAATTTTGTAGAATAAAAAAGTTAGAAAAATAGTTTAAAAGTATCACTGTGCAGCATCAAAAATTTTCCTCGATGGAGGCTATATTTTTGGATTCGTTATTAAAGGTTTGTTGTTGTAATTTATATTCTCCTGGTAATATTTTATTAATTATAATTGTAATATAAGACTAATTGGATAAGAAAAGTGACAACAACAAACTTTTAAAAACACAGGGCGGCAACACTACTACTATTTTGACCGCAGCTGTATGCTTTTATATTTTTTGACTATGTTCTCTATTTGTTTCTCCCTTAATAAAAATCCTAAAATTATTCTAAGTATGGGGTTTGAAAGATAAATAGATCGGGGAACTTTTTTGAAAACGCAGTTTAACTTGGGAATTTGTAACGAATCCAAAAATACATCGAGGTAAATTTAAAAAGCATTTAAAATGCTGCACAGTGTAATTAATTCTTCAACATAATTGATTAAAATTACACCCACCTCACTGGGAAATTGCTCGAAGGTTTTAAGTTTGGGTGCCCCCATCAATTCCAAGTAATCATTATAGCTACGCAGTCCTTGGTCGCGTCCTCGTTGAATGTTAATGGCAGCCAGGTCCAGTCCAAATGGATTGTCGCCACGGAAGAGGAAACGGCTGAGCTGCTCAGGGTAAAACCAATTAGCAAACCACATTCCACTAGTTAATGAAGGGTAATCCCTACTCCCTGGCTGATTGAGCTGTCCACCTGCTGCATCGGTTGGCTGTATAGAGTGCGCAACATGTCATCGTAGAACTCGCGCTTGCGCATCCGCGAAGGGTTAAACATCACATCCGGAATATTGACCACTTCATCGATGCGGCCGTGCTCCTGGCGAATCTGGAACTTGCCATCGACACTGCAGGCAAAGTATTAAAATGTATAGCAAATTTAATTTAGGAAGTAATCTAATTTTCTTACCTGGAATGGCCCATGCGATAGGCAGCGCCCGAAAATTCGTTGGTTATGGCGGGGTTCACATTGACATTGTAGTCGTGAGCATAGCCCTGATGCAGTGGCACCAAACGGAAGCGTTTCATCTGCTGCGGCCCAATAATAATGGGCAGGAACTCGTTGTAGGTGATGTGCTGCATCTCGGCAACGACAATGCGTCGAGCCTCCTGGAAAAGCCACTCATCGCTGGCTGAAGGATTTAGTTGACTCAATGCGCCCGCCACACGATTGTGCTCGCGAGCCAGGAGAATTTGTAGGGTGATCAGAGATATAATTTGATTGGTTCGTCCATCTCCTGAAAATTAAGTTGTAGGTAACAATTTTTAGTAAATTATTTAAGGCATTGCAAGTGATTTACCCGAGTGGAAACAGGACTTTCCGGCTTCCTCGCTGGGACAGGCCTTCTTGTCGTTCGTCAGCGGCAGCAGATCCCGCCCAAAGTCATTCATCATTCGCAGACGGCCGCCACGGAAGGCTCTCAGGCTACGAGATGCCTCATCACTCGATCCATAAACAGGAGAGGCGTCCAAAAAGTGTGTCACCTTGCTCATCTGCTTGCCGTAGCTCAGTTGGCAATCGGGACTGGGCACCAGGGATAACCTAACAAAGTTCAAGCAACGCACTCCAAAAGCTGCGAAAAACTCATCATCCGGTTCCACGTGGATCGGCATACAGGCGAAGTGACTTTCCTGAGGACTCAGGGCAGCGTTTCCCTCGGCGGAGCAACACTGCACCAGGTTTCCATCCTCGAGACGCACCGAAGCGGTTTGTGAAATGTCGTGGGCCTAAAAATACAATCAAAACGTTTTTGAAATTTTCGTAATGCGGGTAGAAAGGAAGGTAGCATCGGCCAGCCGAAACTTTTATACCCTATTAAATAAAAAATTCAAAAATGTTAAATTTCGTATTATTTTGACATTAAATTGTCTATCCTTCCTATAACAATAATATAGAATTCAGATTTTTGTTAAATTTAATTCAAAATTCTAAAATGCTAAAAAAAAGTGTCATATCCCAGAGTAGAAGTGAATACAATAAAAACCAACGAATAATTTCCCATTAATTTTTTGATCGCTTCTATAACAGCAATATGATATATTCAGAATTAGAAAAATATAAAAAATTGTTATTTCTTAGCGTAAGAGGTTATATGTCAAAAAGCACCGAAGTTATAATTTTGTAACCAAAATTTTTCCAATTATTCCTATGAGAGCTATATAATATAGTTGTATGATCCGGCTGGTTCTGACTTATATACTAACTGAAATAGAAAAAAGATATCTGGAAAATTTCATCCCGATATTTTTTGAATTGAGAGACTAGTTTGCGTAGAATCGGACAGACAGAAGGACGGACAGATGATGCTGATTAAGAATATATATACTTTGTAGGGTCGGAAAACTCTCCTTTACTGAGTTGTAAACTTCTGACTGATAACAATATGCAAGGGTATAATGATAAATAAGACAGTGCTGCCATCGCTTAGCTTGAAAAACAGGACAGATAAGCCACAAAAAACAGGGAAAAAAAGGACAAAAAATTTAAAAAAAAGGACAAAAAAAAGGACAAAAGTAAATGCGCCTCCATTTTTCTGTTTTTACCAATGGGTTATATATTTACTTAGTATAAATGGATTTTAAATAAAATTCAATTATGTAATGATCTACTGCTCCCGACTCACAACCTTCTTTGTTTGATCATTTTACCATGGTAAATTTTTGTGCGTATACGTAATAATCTAAAATTATTAAAATAATAAAAGCATTTCAAGTAACTATATTGGTAATACAAAAAAATTTAATCTGCGTCAAACCCGAATAAGAGTCGTTGAAATTTTTTTCTGACAAAAAAGCAGAGAGTAAAAATTGAGAAATTTTTAAAGTGTTTTCCTCTTTTTTTGCTACAGAAAAAATCGTACCATAAAGAAAATCCATCGACTGCTTTACGTCTCTTTAATAATTTGTAAAAAAAATTATTTTTTAAGAGCCGAACTATAAAAATGATGGTTAGAAAGGCATTTTAGCATATAAAAACAGGTTTATACACTTTCGACTAGCAAAAATAACACTCAAAACCTTATTTTTGAAAAAAGGACAGATTTCCGGATAGGGGATGTTTGAAATTTTTTCCGGATAAAGCCGTTAAAAAAAGGACAGATCTGTCCGGAAAAAGGACAAAATGGCAGCACTGAAATAAGAGTACCTAGAACAAATTCTGCACAATATTAAAGTAATAACAATAACTAAAAACCCAAAATGTAAAAAAAAAGTCAAAATTTCCCTTACAATTAATTTATAAGAATTCTGTGTATCATCATGTTTAACCTTTTTATGACAACTAGCCTGATCAGATACCTACCACGACCTGTCCGAACTGCATCACGAGGAGGTTGTACTTGGGATGTGGACGATCAACGTCCGAGAGCAGGGTGCGTGAGATCTTGCGGGCGCCAAGGAGAGGAGTGCCGTCGGAGGAGTGGGCACGCGGTGTCCAGATCCCATCCTCATAGGCGGGGGGCAGCAGGCGCTCCATGGGCTGACCAGCAGCGCCCCACAGCGACCGCTGTGGCAGGGGATTGTTGCAGGTGCCATCCAAGCTGCGATAAAACGACCGAACGTTCCTGCAAATCGGAGGCGGCTGGCAGTGCTGGGCCAACGGGGTCTCCGTGAACTTGACGGGCACATTGTTGGTGATGAAATCGTCCACGGGCACCTGTTCCTTCTTGCCAAACAACTGGGTGGTCATCACCTGCTCTATGGCACTGTTCGAAATGGCAAAGTTGTGCAGATCATCCTTGGCCGTCGAATGGAACACGAGGCCGTGGGAAAAGGCCGGAAAACCTCGGCGCACAGGAATCTGAGCAATGCCGTGCATCAGGTGCTCGAAATTGCGACGTGCCTCATCCAAAACCGAAGTTGGCAGGATGGTGGGAATTCCGGATCGACGCTCCTTGGCGGAGGTTTCCTCCAATTTTGGGGCCGTGTGATTCTGTCCCGTCTCGCAACAGTAGCCGAATTTTCCAGCCGGCAGATCGCAAATCTGCGGCTTTTCGTGGCTTTCCATGCGAACGTGGGCGGGACATTGGATTTGCGGCACGCATTTCACACCGTCACTGCAGGGAAGACATTTTTTCAGCAGACCGCTGGTAACTACACATAAAGAAAAATGTTGTTTTAGAAAATATGTAAATGTATTTGATGCGTAATTTAATATTACGATTTATGGAATTTTACGATCTTTTTGAAGTTGAGTATTTGTTATGATAAAGCTGAAAATTTTAAATTGATTTATAAAAACATAAAGATTAAATTTTTTTTCAGTGTAAGAAAAGACAAATATAGTTCCAAAGACCGTTACAAAAGAGAGCAAAGGAAGAAGAGCGAGAGCAAAAGAGCTTAGCGAGAGAAGTACCGTTTAACTTCTACGCCATTTTAAAAGTTCAAAGGTAATCATTTTATATTAATTTCTTTAACCAAAAATTCACCTGTTTCTGTTTTCTTAGTGGATTCCGTAGAACTAGCCACTGGCGCCGGAGTCTGCAGATCTGGAACTTCATTAAAACGGTTTTGGCGCACGGAAACTACCGCCGCCTGTGATTCGCCCAATTGGGTCACAAATAAAAGCACCAAAATAAACCAAATGCGACTCATTTTGCGTTTAAATTAACATTTGCGGGCTATGATTGATTTAATTAAGCTATAGAGATATTAATAAAAAAAACTCGCAATCTAACGGCGTCAAATGAAACTTTAAAATGCCGCCATTTTATATTCGATGTCAGATATACTCGATAGCAACGCCAATAAATTTTTAGCATGCTGTTAACACCGTGCTGTTAGGCGCACCTTTTTTAAATGCTTTTAAGAGCAAGCAGTGTGCTGTTAATAAGACATTCAAATTATTTTAAAAATGCAATTTGGTTTAGTTGTTCAAAATCAGGTTAAAGATAAGAGAAAAAGTATATAAAGGTAACGGAATCTAAAAGTATTTCTAAGTTTAGTAGGGTACTACACCTAATTTAGTAAAGCTTGATATCTAACACCAACTTATCGGTTTTTTTTTCCAAAAAAAGCTCGATTGCTATCGGAAATATTTAAAAAGCTAAGTCTGCATTATGCGTAGAGCAAGCAAACGAATTAGTCAGACGTTCCAGTGAGCTGGTTGAGATACTATGAGAGTATTTTACTTGATCGCCTGCGTGCTTTGCGCATTGGGCTCGAAACCTTTGCCGACGGATAGTGCAAAAATCTTGGCCACTTTTCCTTTTCCTGGTCGTTCTCAGTACATTTTTCTGGAGACCTATCTAAGGGAACTGGCCGCCAGAGGGCACCAAGTGACAGTGATCAATACGTTCAGGAATGCGGAAACACCGAATATGACATTTATAGAGGCCTATAAAGCGCACGATCACCGTGAAGGTTTTTTTTTCAAAACTTCTTACTGCAATAACTCATTTTCAAGTCATGTCTTGGTTTTATAAATTTTTTAAAAATATTTCTTTTGTATATTTAACCCCTAGAAATGATGGAACTGCTGAATGAGAGCTTTCTGTGGCAAGTACTCAACGCTTGGGATAAAATTGTGGTAAAATTCACGGAGATAATGTTGGATAACGAGGGTGTCCGAAAGCTGCTGGAATCTGGAGAAACCTTCGATCTGGTTTTGGTCGAGATGGAGCAAATAGAAGCCTTATATGGGCTGGCCCAGCATTTCAATGCCACCTTGGCTGGTTTCCTCAGTTTCGGAACGGATCACCGGGTCGATGAGGCCTTTGGTAATATTTCACCCATCTCATATAGCCCTTTAGTTGCCTCTTCGCGCACCGATCGAATGTCCTTCTGGGAGCGCTTGTTAAATCACTATGAATACTTGGTGGAAAAGATACATCGCCATCTGGTTCACCTGCCTGCCATGCAGAAAATGTATGACAGGTACTTTCCCAATGCCAAGCAAACCTTCGTCGAGGTTCTAAACATTTTCGCGATGGTTCTGATAGGCCAGCACTTCTCGCTGAGTAATCCGCGACCCTATTTGCCCACCATGATAGAAGTGGGTGGACTGCACATTAACCGTGAGCCAAAAGTCCTGCCCAAGGATATCAAGGAGTTCATTGAGGGTTCGCCCCAGGGAGTTATATACTTCTCCATGGGATCAAATGTAAAGTACGCAGATCTGACACAGGAAACACAGCGAACCCTGCTGGAAACCTTTGGAAAGCTAAAACAGCGAGTGCTGTGGAAATTCGACAACGACGAGTGGCCGGAAAAGCCTGGAAATGTGATGATCAGAAAGTGGTTCCCGCAGGCAGATGTCCTAGCCCATCCGAATGTCAAGATCTTCATCACCCACGGCGGACAACTGAGCACCTTTGAAAGTGTGTATTTCGGCAAACCCATCTTGGGATTGCCTTGCTACTTCGATCAGCACATGAATGTGCTACGGGCCACGAGAATGGGCTTCGGTTTGTCGTTGGATGTGAAAAATCTAAAGCAAAAAGATCTGCAACACGCCATTCAAACTCTGCTAAGCGACCCAAGTTTTGCCAAGGCCTCGCAGGAAATTTCCGCGCGGTATCACGATCAACCGCAGTCACCTCTCGAACGGGCTATCTGGTGGACGGAATATGTAATCAGGCACAAGGACGCTTCACACCTTCGAGCTGCCTCCAGAGATCTCACCTTCATTCAACTCCACAGCCTGGACACCTTGGCTGTGCTTTTGGGACTTCCCCTTTTGGTTGCGGTGATTATCCTTAAATTATGTCGAAAGACTCTGTGGAAACATAGTGCGCAAGCTAAAAAGCTAAAGGAAAGGTAAAATTAAGAAACAACAAGCCGAAGTTTATATATCCTTGCAGTTAAAAGAAATATTCAATGTTCATAATCAAACTTGCAACGTTATTTTGTAACCGAGATTTTAATGCCACATCTAAATAATAAACACGGCACTTAAAAACAATTCAATAATATACTGTGTGACCAGTCTCAAAACGTAAATTATTTTACTAAAATCCCAAGTATGTAAAACTAAGCACTTTAACATTTGTTTTAAAAGTTGAACTGTTTAAATTTTAAATATTCAAAATAAGAAAACCGTTAGTATAAAGCAGTTCAACATGTTATTTTCAAGCAGTTGAATGCCGCTAACAGCTGTAAGATAACTGCGTACTGTTAGCGCAACATCGAGGTATCGATAGGCCATTGTAGCGTTGCCGTACCACAGAACTGTCACTCTGAACCGCCATATTGCCGTTAGAAAATTTACTTTAATTAAAATAATTAAATTATTTACCTACATTTTAATGAGTAAAGTATTCCATTTTTTTGCTCTTCAAAATGCCCGAATATATTGTCTTCCCAACGGAACAAGACAATGTTATCGATAATTCCTCATATTTTCGTTTACTATAAAATTTTTGCGTAGAATCAAACATTTAAAAAAAAACGTACTAAATCTTAATTTAAATCTCGTAAATGTATACAGAAAACGCATTCAAAAACTAAATTATAAAGTTAAAGCTATCGCTTCCTATCGAAACTCAACCTCGATAAAAAGAACCGCAATAATGATGGCGTCCCAGGGCTGTTAGAAACCGCTATCGATGTCAGCTCGTATTTTCGTTACATATCGATACTCGCAAATTAAAACATTAAAATGCCGAACAGAATATAATTTAGAATATCAGGATAAAATTAAATACTCTAAATATAATTTATCAATAAAAAAAATCTGAGTATTAAACCGATTCTTTCCTGTGCATGCCCTATCGAAACTAAGCCCCGATAGGGTGTATCGCAAAAGCAGATATTATATCGATACTATCGCGTTTGTACAGGCTCGCTTCTTCGTCATGCTGCGAATTTGTTCGAAAATTAAGTGAAATACAGCGCATTAAAAGTGAAAAGTATGTGCAGCCTGTGCAGGGCAAAACTGGCGATCAGCCGCGTGTGATTGTGGCCGCCGCAGCAGCGTTTTGGCAGCGCCCCAAGCAAAAGAAAAAGATAGAAAAAAGAACGCCAGGCGCAGACAGACAAGACTTGCATACACTACTACTCTTGAATCGTTTTCATTTCGTTCCGTTCGTATACCGAGTTTGCTGCCCTGTCCCTGTCTTCTCACGCGAGTTCGTTTTTAGTATATATAGCCAGTCTGTGGACGGTCGTCAATGCGTGAATATTCTTCTATGTGTAAGTGGTGTGCGTGTATGTAGATTTCTGGTTAAGAAAAGCCCCAAAAACCAAAGCCAAAGCCCCGCAAATATATATATTGAGTCTTGGCCAACAACAATCTGCCGCCGGACTTTCGCCCGAGGGCGAGTGAAAAATTCAGTTTCTCTCTCCTCTCGACGATGCACTTTGGAGGCTGTGTCTGTGTGTGTGTGTGTGCGTGAGTGTGTGTATACATATGCAAATGATTGGATGTCGAATCCTTGCATCATCATCATCATCAACACTTGGCGAAAAACCGCAAGAAACAAAAAAAAGCAATGAGCCCACCAAGGCAACGGCAGCGGCAAAAGTGAACGCGCAACAAACGCGGCCAAGCAGGCGCGGCAATTATTTATAAATCCCAAACGTTAGCTAGTCCCAGCCCCACTCTCCCCCCTCTCCAAAGAGAAAGAAAAGTTAAACAATTGCCGCATCTGAGAAATATATTTGAATTGTGAGACGAGTGCCCCTTGGCCATGCCATTCCATTCCAGTGCTGTGTAAACGCGAAAAATCGGCATAGAAAATAATTACGAAAAAATCATTACTGTGCTGCCCGTTTCATTCGTTTCACACAGAAACTAATAAAGCGAGAGAGCGAGCGAGAGCGACGTATGCATGTTGCCTGGCTGGCTAGCAAGTGCAAGTGAGACGGAAAGGGATACGGCGTGTGCGTGTGTAGCCGCCAAATGTGAAAAGAGAGAGAGCGAGAGAGAGAGAGCATGCCAGCGAGAGCGAGTTAGTGGCTGCGCTCAAACTGCGAGAGCGCAAGCGGCAGGGTTGTCAACGCACTGCGATTTGCCCACCGTACGCGGCAGAAAATAAATCGTTGTTGTGGTATTGGTGCTGCATGTGTGTGTACTAGCGGACTTTTCAATACACAACAGCCCATGAACGAGTACAAATTATTTATGTTTAACCCGCTCGATTTGGGCCCAGTGATATGTAGGAAAAGCCCCCCTTATTAGTTTAGACCCCCTTGCCAAATGCTAATCCCCCGTTTTTGATAACTTGCAGCTAACATAACCTCAAACTCGCCGCTGCAGTCGTCGTCATCATCAGCGTCAGCGTTGTTGTTGTTGTTGTTGGTGGTTACCGGTGCTCCATCAGTAGCCGCCACAAATCTGGGAAAATCCGATTCCGATCCGGAAGAACTGGGAGCACAGCAGCAGCCGCCGATGAGCAGCCATGAATGAGAAAATAAAGTCGCCGCAAACGCAGCAGCAGCAGGGTGGCGCTCCTGCCCCCGCTGCCACGCCCCCAGCGGCTCCAGGTGGCGCCACACCGCCCACCTCGGGCCCGCCCACGCCCAATAACAACAGCAACAACGGCAGTGATCCCAGCATCCAGCAGCAGCAGCAACAACAAAATGTTGCCCCACATCCATACGGCGGACCACCGCCACCCGGATCCGCACCTGGAGGACCACCAGGACCGGATCCCGCTGCAGTCATGCACTATCACCATCTGCACCAGCAGCAGCAGCTCCGCCACCGCCCCACATGCAGCAGCAGCAGCAGCAACAGCAGCAGCAGCACCACGGCGGACCTGCACCACCGCCGCCCGGAGGAGCACCTGAGCATGCGCCCGGCGTCAAGGAGGAGTACGCCCACCTGCCGCCGCCGCATCCTCACCCGGCGTACGGTCGCTACCACGCCGATCCCAACATGGATCCCTATCGCTATGGCCAGCCGCTGCCCGGTGGAAAGCCACAGCAGCAGCAGCAACAGCCACATCCTCAACAGCAACCGCCGCAGCAGCCGGGGCCCGGTGGCTCGCCCAATCGTCCGCCGCAGCAGCGTTACATCCCGGGACAGCCGCCGCAGGGACCCACGCCCACGCTGAACTCGCTGCTGCAGTCCTCGAATCCGCCGCCACCGCCGCAGCACCGCTATGCCAACACCTACGATCCCCAACAGGCGGCCGCTTCGGCGGCAGCGGCGGCGGCAGCAGCCCAGCAGCAAGGAGGCGGACCACCGCCCCCGGGACACGGACCGCCGCCTCCGCAGCACCAGCCATCGCCGTACGGGGCGCAACAAGGCGGCTGGGCACCGCCACCGCGGCCCTACAGTCCGCAGCTGGGACCATCGCAGCAGTACAGGACACCACCACCGGTGAGTGATCAAGTAATGGGTTACCCGGGGGCTTGGAACGGTATAGTAATGGGTTACAAGGTAATGGGGAGTTACTTAGAGATAGGAAGGGGATTTTTTTCTATCTATTTTTAAAAGAAACTTCTTTTCCAGATATAAGAGTATAGTGTTCAAAAGGGTAATTTTTATTTAATTAGGAATAGTCAGTAGTAAAAAGCTTCACTTTAGAAGACATATATTATAACTTTCAAAGATTTTTATTTGAGCTTAAAATGAGTTTTTTTTCTATTATAAAAAAAATTTAACTAATTTTCTTGTTGGTAAGTTTGGTATTGGGAATCTTGACCTACCAATTTTTAAGTGATTTAGTAATCCGAAACTTAAAGCATTTAATGACTGGTAGAGATTATTAGTATAGATCATGAGAATTAAAGACTTTCGCAAACCCGGGTTTTATAAGGATCCAAAACAAAATTTGTCAATTTTACACAGTTTTATAGCGACTTTGGTCATCTTAATATAATCCTGAGGCCCTTTTTGAGATAGGACCTTTAACTTATTAAAACCAGGCAACTTTTTCTTGTCTATTTGATAATACAAAAGCTGTTTTACAAAATTTTAATCATATTCCACCAAGAAATAGACAACTCACCGGTGTGGATTTGTATCATTACACAGAGATGGTGCCACAGTGCCTGCGGGCAACCTTCTCCATTCGCCATAAATTAGGAACTGAATACCGGGAGTCTTATCGCCTGGGGTTTCCTTATATATTCTTTTTTTTTTAGAGCTGTCTTGACATTGACACTGATTTTGATTTCATCGACCCCACACACACATACTGGGGCATTTCCATGTGCAGGCCTCCTCAGCATGTGACTCTTGTTGTTGTGGTTGTCGCTGGTGGCTTTGTGCTAGCTATTTACCTCCCCCATCCCGCTCCCCGTACCCGTCCCCGTCCCACCCACTGCCCACTCATTCCACGGAGAGGGGCTCGTCACGTTTTATGCACATGTATTCGTGTGAGCGTGTTTGTGTGTGTGGATGTGGGAGGGAGGCTGCAATATTTACTGTTACTTTTTAGGGTTTCGTCTTGGTCGCACTTCATTCAGTTCACTGAAGATTTGCCAAGTCCCACTCGAAGGAAGAAGAAATAAAAAAGGGCAGAAGCAGCAGACACACTGACACACATAACGTAAAAACATTGTACAGAGATTCCGCGCCTTTTTCGCCTGCCCCTCCCCCTTGGTTCCCTCCTCCTTCTCCTCCTCCTGCATTTACCCCCACCCCCTTGACATTTCGCTGTTTAAGTGCCGGGTGTTGTTGTTGCTGCTCTTGTTGGGTGAAGCCGGGTGAGCGAGGGAGACGGGCAGAAAGAACCGGCACTTGCCGCCGCAAAACAATAACAACAAAAGGCCGCACCGCAACGGTAAAATAAAGAAGAAGAAGCAGTGGAATAACAAGAAAGAGTTTCGTACACAAAAATGTTGAGGCATTCATTCACCTTTTTTTTTTAGGGTTTTGGGGTTTCTTTTATCTTCTTGTCAACCATTCTTATCCATGGCTGTTTTTGGCCTCGAATCTGATTGGAATAACTTTAAAAGTTTATAGCTGCATTGATTTGTTCCAAATGAATAGAGCAGAAAAGGTACTACTACTTATAACTTTAAAAACTATCCTATGCAGTATTTCTATTTAACTTATTTATTTGTTCTTAACTTTATGTAAAGCAAATAAGCTAGGAATTGCATTATATCTTAGTATTATTGTTCGATTTTTTGGTTTTATTGAACCTTTGGGATTGCATATTTAATATGTTTTAACTAGTTAAAGCTACAGTAATCAGTAATCAGTAATCAATTATCGAACCATAACTACCTCTTAGATACATAAATTGAGCACTATATTTCAATCAAAGCTTGAAAGGCTAATAAGATACGATCAAGTACATTACGAATAATCAGTCATTCTAGGTCTCCTTGATAATACTGCACTTTCAAGTTGCTTCCTAATTTCGGGGTGAAAGAACCCAATAATATATCAAAGAGCTTTGCGTTTCATTGTAATCCCAGATATCGAGAGTTTGCTATCAGTTGTGTCAAGCGATAATGCGGTTGAGGTGTGCTTGTTTGTTTAATGTTTGGTTTAATGTCCCCATGGAAGCACGTGAGGTGATTTCACGTTTTGATTTGAACGGAAACCGGTTAATTATTTTATTACTGGGGTAGTGCGGTAGTTTGGAGGGGCCCAACACCCGCAACCTTACCAACTCATATCATTCCGTATCTATGTAGTCATCTGTCTGCTTTTGGCATATTCGATGTCGCTGCAATCGGATCGATTGTTTTTATTTTCCTGAATGGTTCGGATGTGGATGTAGATGAGATGTCTCGAATGCGAGTCAACGAACTTTGATGCCGACGATTAGCCAGAGAAATATAAACAAATCTATGTGAGCACACAAATCAAAGCGATCCGCTAGGGTTAGACATGTGCGATGCGATGTGATGCGACCTTCGAGAGCTTTTGTTTATGGGCAAGTGTGTGTGTGTAGGTAGTGCGAGATAAAAAAAAATAAAAATAAAAAAAGTGTGTAGAAACCGCTGCTATCCAATGTCATGTGTTTGATTGTTTGTCTCGCTCTGCGGGCTTGTGTGCATAAACAAAGAAATCAAATTGCCGGCTGAGTGTGACTTACGCGTGCATGCAATAAATACATACAATACGGTGCCATACATCCACAGACATACATAGGTACCGAAACCGAAACAACAACAACAACAATGGCCAAGTAGGCACCGTAATCAAAGGCAATAACAGAGAAACTTGTTGTTGTCACAGCTGACTCTCCCTCCCTCTCTCGCCTTTTGGGGTAGAAGGAGGAGGAGGGGTTAGCCGGCAAGCTGTGGAGGAAGCAGAAACCAAAACAAAATAAAAATGAAAATCAAGTGAAACCGCGCACAGTCAAAAGAGAAGAGGAGGGGGAGGAGGAGGAGGGCTCGACTATGATGATGACATGACTTGGCTCACTCGCACTCCCTCGCTACCCTACCCCTACCCATACCCATACCCATCTCATTCTTTGAGTGCAAGTGTGCTGCATCCCGTTATACTTCTCATATATCCTTGACGTTTGATTCTCCTTTGAGGTCAACAGGTGCAAGGGGCGGGCAACAACAAATTTTGGCATATATTAAAGAGCTTAAAGGCCTCCTTTTTTTGGGGTCTTCGCCTTCATGTTTGTTATTTTTGGGGAAAGGCAAACGGCATTGCATTAACCGCTCTTTCAGTTTGTGTCTTTGTGTTGTTCCTTTTTGGCCTTCTTCCTACTCCACCTCCACCTCCTCCCCCCTTGCTTTTCGTTTCGTTTTATTTTATTTTTTTCCGTTTGAGAGAGAACTGCTGTCTGTGTGCCGGCTTGTTTATGCTGTTTCTTCGCATGTATAGGTTTGCGTGCTTGTATTGGAGTGCCTTTAAAGTTTGACCTACAAAAAGTGGAGCACACAAAACCGTTGCCTTTGCCTTAACTGTTATTGTCCCTGCCCGCCGCGGCTCTTCCCCATTCTGCATCTGCCTCCTTTCGCCTTTCGCTTGGCTCTTCTCTTTGGCCACCCTTCTTTCCTTTTAAGATTCATCCCATTGGAAATTTCTCAATATTGGTTGCCAAAATGATTATAAAAAATAAATTGTTAATTTGTTACTATCCACTTTGCCATAATTCATCCTACATTAAAAAAAAATCGTTCTGTTGATTCCAAATGTATGTAGAGTTTTAAAGATAACCCCTATATAAACATTTTCAAAAATTGACTATATTTAAACAGCTTTCCTTTAAAAATCGCTTAATTTAAAATGTAATTTAATAGTATTACAACAAGAAGTAATTCCTGGACATGTTTTTTAAATTATTTTGCGACAGTTGGTGGCTGTGATTGCATTGGTTCGTTTCAGTTGCCTTGTTTATCTTTCCGCAACTGCTGCGAATGTGAATGGGCGCGTGGAGAGTGCGACATTGTATTAAAATTACGCCCGTCCGAGAGTTGTGCACGTAATTCCATCCATTTGCCGGCAGCAACAGCAGGAGCTGCCTGCAGGGACGTCCCTTTACCCCATCCCCACCCTTAGTCCTTATTATACCACCCTCTTCCACCACACACACCCACAACCCTTACAACTGCCGCTGCCGGCTTTACCTTTACTGCCACGAAATCGCATTTACCACGTTTTTCCCTTCGCACAATTTATATGCAATCGCCCTGCGACCGTGGGTGTGTATGTATCTGTGTCTGTTGGTTATGAAATTATAAACCCAGGATCAGGACAGGAGGAGGAATGGAACGGAGGAGTGGAAAGGAGAGACGCAAACAGGACCACTCCCTTGGCTGCTGCGCTTTGTTTTTGTTCCTGCGATATTTTAATACATGTAGCCGGCTTTTAGCTGGAAAACCTACCACCATCAGAGCTCGGAACTCGGAACCCCGAACACAGAACCCCGAACTCAGAGCCCAGAATTCAGAACCACCATCAGTTGTTCTCTCCCCCCCTCCTTCCATCCTGATCCCGGTTTCCCCGAACTTAATTCCGACCGACGTTCGTTCCAACCGTCATTCGTTCGTTACACTCATTGTATGTGCCTGTGTGTGTGCCTGTCTGTTTGTGCCACCGAACGACCCTTGCTGCATTAATTCAAATTCCACTTCAGCTTCTACCCGCCGTTGCCGTTTCTGCTTTTGATTTTCATCCATGATGAGTTTTCCCTTTTTCTTTTTTTTTTTTTTTTTAACTTTATTTCTCGTTGCCTCGTTCGTTCGCTCCGCACACACAGAGATACACACGCACACAGCAGAGCACGAAAACCATCCATTCATGTTTCCTGTCACCCTGCAGTGGACCGACCCAACTGAACGACCGACCAACCAACCAACCGACCGACCGACGTCGTTGTCGATTGTTGTACTTGCCGTTGTTCTTGTTGTTGTTGCTGTTGTCCTCGTTGCCCGAACGACGGGATCTGGCTTTGGCCCTTGGTTCTGGTTCTCTGTTTCTGTTTCTGGCTATACAGCTCTGGCTTCCTTGCCTTGAATCGCCTTGCCTTGCCTTGCCTTGCCTTTCCATTCCATTCCTTACCTTTAGCCAGGCTAACTAAGCTCTGTTGATAGCAGTGTTGCTCAATTTTAGATCCAAATACCTTTTTAGAGTCTTTTATAGAGTGTTTTAATTAAATAAAAAGTATTAAAGGTTCCTACCAGACTTAGTATTGGATTGACATTACCAATAGTCTTTTTATACCAAGAGAACTATTCTGTTAAAAAAGAAAAAAAAAATAAAAAAATCTGGGAATTCTTAGATCCTTAAAGTCATGAATCTCGAATTTGTATATTTAAGTTAATGGGAGCATTCCAATTCATGATCAAGATTCCTTTCAATATTTCTAGACCTTTTTGCAGTAATGTACTTGGATGATTTAGAATTGACGTAACCATCATTTTTGTTATACCAAAAAAACTATTCATTTTTCCAAAATAAAATCTTGTTATACTTGTTCCTTTAAATCAAGTATCTCTAATTTGTATAGTTAAGTTAATTAGATCACTCCAATTCATGATCAAGATTCTATTCCATATTTTTATACCTTTTTGCAGTAATATACTTGGATGTTTTTACAATAGTTGGCAGTGACTTCAGGGTTTTAGTCCATTAAATTTTAATTTAATTTCAAGTGTATAACCAAGCAAATAGAAGTCTATGGTTATACAGCTGTTTGAAAGGCAATCGCCTACCATTGGAAACCATAAAAAAGAACCACAACAGTTTTAAGTGAACCGTTTATTAACTACCTTTTAAAAAAGGCATTTAAATGAAATAAAATATCTAATTAATGTGTAAGCCTTGAAGCTTTAATTAGGTTTTTCTAACCACCAGTATCCTTTGATATTTTCTAAATCTTATAGCCAGATTGGCCATTAAAGTAGCTAATCTGCCAGCACTCCCTGGCCAGTTGGTTCTCTCGTTCGGTCCCCTCAGTGCTGTGAGTTTCCATTAGATTTATTGCCACATTTTACTCCGGGCTGTGGCATTCGCAGCGATGTTGTTGCCCATCTACATTGGTGGGGGTTTTGTATTTGCGAGGGCGAACTGAAAGTCTGCGAGCTTGGCAAGCGCCTTTCCACTTGCCATGTCAGACGGTCGCTGTGCTATGTGCTATATGCTGTGTGCTGCGACTTGGTCCGCCTTGTCGCACCACGTCAAGTTGAAAATCCTTTCATTAATGGCATCCAAAGCTCTTTCCCACACACAGACACCGCCACATGGCACATGGCATGCTTGGTTTTTGCTCGTCCTGCTCCAGTTGTCTGTGCCGTTCTCTGCAGGCCACGTTCCGCAGCGAGGTGTCTTCTCCTTTTCCCTGACTTTGTTGCAACTTTGTCGTCTGCACATGCACATGCACATGTGTGTGTGCGTCCGTAAGTTTCACTTTATATTCCACTCAAGTGGATTTCTTCCTCTGGTGCTGTGACGGGTCATGGAGTGGCAGAGGCAGAGACTCCTAGAAACCAGGAGCAAGGAGTGGCAGGCAATCGACTGCCCGCATCCCTGCCCCCAAGTTGTGTGCGTCCTCCTTCAGGACGGAGCGTCGTAATTTGAACTGATTGGAGAGGACAGAGGACATGAACAACTCAGGTCGCTTTTGTAGCACTGTGGAATTTTGTCAAGATTCTTGGAGATCCCCTGGAATCTTAACTTGTTTCATATATGCAATTCGTTTTTGGTTTCATAATATATTGTAATTATAATTCAATTTTACAATAGGTTACCTTACTTTAGAACAGCGGTTGGCAGCGCCCTATTAAGTGAGCATACGGAATTGTTCTGCCCATCCTCTGCCTCTCACGTACACTGTAGAACAGCAGTCGGCACACACACACTAATGAGCTGCCCCGTGCAATTTACTCAGACAAACCAAAAACAAAATGTATGAGTGTACCGATCGCTGCTTTAGAAGTATTATATCAGCACAACTATCTTTCTGCCCTGAATTGTATAATCGAATGTGTGTGTGGGTGTTTTTGCCGTTATAGTGGTAAATATTTCCACTTTTTATTGCCAGCATTTAGGTTCCTTTCGCAGCATATTTTTTGAACTGTCTCTTTTTAATCTGCGCATTTGTGACTGTCAAGTGACAGCACACCCGAGGGTGCGTCGATGTCGCTCCTTTTCACCCCCCACCACCACCCTGGAATATTGTGAGTGGTATGGTGTGTGCAGTGTACACACACGCTACAGTGGGCGCCAAATAATTAGGGGCACTTGTGCAGTCGTCGGGGTCAATTCCAATTATCGTCTAGTTTTCCTTCCCAGCTGCACAATCGAATATTAATTGCTGGAAATTTCCAATGCCGAGAGTCCTAATCCGAGGACATCCACTGTACCGTACACACACATGAGCCAGAGCAAGAGGGTGTGTATTTGTGCGCGCATTTACGGGAATTGGTTGTGGAATATCGATTAAAATGATATACATATACAATAAAATGGAATGTGCAGTGCGCTCGCACACAGACGAACAACATTGGGGAAGCCAAACGCAAATAATTGATGAATTGCAAGGGGAAAGAGTGTGGGAGGATATAAATAGAGAGCCGAAAAGCGAGCGAGAGAGAGAGACAGAGCGAGATGTCTGTAATTAAAAACCCATCTGCCGTCTCAATCGCACCAACAAATTTAACCCTCTAAGGACCCACGTGACATATCCGTAAATTGTTAGAAAATTGCAAATTAAATATTTATTAGGGAGTTTTGAAAGATTTATTGAATTTGGTATAATAACTTTTTATATCGCTTCCAAAGGTTAGGTACTGAGTAATATTCAGTTAAATAAATACATCGAACTTTATCATCAACGGGAAAGGGTTAAACTTTGTCACTTATTAGATATTTATGAGTCTTCTTGGGCTTTTATTGATTCGATTGTGTTTCCCACCCACAGACAAACACTTCCAGGGGTCAGTCACCCTATCCGCCAGCTCACGGTCAAAATTCAGGTTCCTATCCTAGTTCGCCGCAGCAGCAGCAGCAACAACAACAACAACAGCAGCAGCAGCAACAGCAGGCGGGACAGCAGCCCGGCGGTCCTGTGCCGGGCGGACCACCGCCGGGTGCCGGACAGCAGCCGCCGCAGCAAAACACACCGCCAACATCTCAATATTCGCCGTACCCGCAACGCTATCCCACACCGCCGGGTCTGCCGGCGAGCGGACCCAACCATCGAACTGCCTACTCGACGCACCAGGTGAGGATTCTACTATCCTTCTTGCCAAATTCAGTATTAATCGATCAATGCTTGTCCGTATGCAGTATCCCGAACCGAATCGACCTTGGCCAGGAGGGTCCTCGCCAAGCCCCGGTCCCGGACATCCCTTGCCGCCCGCCTCCCCGCACCATGTGCCACCGCTGCAGCAACAGCCGCCACCGCCGCCACACGTCACCGCCGGCGGACCGCCGCCGAGCAGCAGTCCTGGCCATGCGCCCAGTCCATCGCCTCAGCCCTCGCAGGCGTCGCCCTCGCCGCATCAGGTAAGTGACTAACTATCTATAAACTAGTAGCTACTTGGAAGTATGATGAGTCAAAGCAATTGCTTCTACCGATCGTGGGGGTATTTCCATTTAAGCAAATAAGAAAAGCTTCTAAAATTGAAAGATACCCTTTAAAAATCGGATATTCCTTTCCATTTCTTATATTTTATAATAAATACATAGATGATGAAGCCAACACTTTTGATGGTTTTTTAAAGGTTTTTTTCAGTTGTTAAAGACGAATAGAATATCTACGAATATACCATATAAAAGCAGCGTTGTTAATCGTTGTTAAAAGTACTTGTTCAAAGAAGAATTCACAATGAATAATCTCTAATCGGTTGTAGTTGTATATTTACCCATAGTATGTTATGATAATAACAGCTTTATATGGGCAAGCACATTTGCTATTTGCACATTCATTGGATGTTTTGCCGTGGGACTGACTACCACCCAGTAGTACCCCCCCTGCCATTCACGACTCGTGTTGGCAGCTTTTCTAGATAATACACATCGAAAGTGGGTCAATAAACTGTGCTGCGTGAACAGCACGTGAACTTGACTCGTGACGTCACACATACGTCTACGTTGGCGTCGCACTCTTTACCTGCGATTCCCATTCCCATTCCCAATCCCCCACCCTAAAATCGTACCCCCAACTTCCACCGTTCCCCGATGTGTTGGTGCCACCTTGCCCAACAAGAGGCAGGCAGTCTACAAAAGTTGTTCAGGTCAAATGTTTATGCCTGGCCGTGGCACTCGTAGTCGCACTCATACTGGTACTCATACCCCTCATACCCGGTATTCAGTGGTACTCGCACTCATTTTTGGGTTGAGATTACTCTCCTCGGGCTTTTCCTGCCCTCCACCCAACATTGCCCTTTCGGTCTGTAAACATTTTGTGTGGGTTTATGATTTTTTCACGATTTTGTTGTTGTTTTATACCTAAACACCTCCCGCTTTTCCCTTGAACTTGAAACGCTATCGCATCCCATCCTCATGTCGCCCCCTTTACCTTAACTTTTAAAATTGCTTTTAGCCTTATCGTTGTTGTTTTTCTTGTTGTCGTCGGCTGTCTTGATTTGTTTTTATGAATTTTAATGATTTTTATTTTGTTTTGATTACTATTTCTTTCGGCGGCGGCATTTTCCCCCTTTGTCTTTTGGTTTATTTTTCGCATTGCCAACAGTCTGGTTACCCCACCTCCTGTTTTCGAGATCGTTTATGCACGTGTCATCAACATTTGTGGATTTCTTTCCGCTGGATTTATTTTTTGCTGTTTTTTAAACTGAAAGAAGTTTTCAAAAAATTTTAATTTAATTGTTCGAATCCTTAATAGGTAAACACTTTATTTTTTAAAAAACTAAGCAAAAGTTAGTATTATTATTTTGGCCGCCGCTGTGCATGTGATGTGCCTGCGGATGTGTGCGTTTGCTTTGTACCCCATTTATTCATTCAGCATGTCCGCGGCCGTCGTGGCTGCCCCCCCTCCCCCTCCTCCGGCAGCTCCACCCCCGGAACACCCCTGCTCGGTCGACAATCCTCCTGTGCCTCATACCATTTCTTTATTTCGTATTTTGGTTTTTTCCCCCCCCACCCCACATTCCCTTTATATTTGGTATGTGGCATGTATATGCAACCAACACACTCGCATGACTACACTCAAGATCACACACAAAGCGTCTGTTACCATATATTTGGGTCAATGCCAAGGTCATTGTTGTTCTTGTTCTTGCTTTACCTCCATCTCCTTCGCGTCGTCGTTGATGTTCTTGTTGTTGTTGCTGTTGTTTAGCGGGTTGTTTACATTTTATGTGTACTCTCCTTTTAAACTGGCAATTCATCAACCCAAGTCCTTTTTAGTCGCAATCGATCCTTCTCTTAAGCCATAATTTAACTGATTTGCAACATTGCTATAAGGCAACTACCTAAAATAATTGAAAATCCGCTCCTAAAAAAGTTTTAAAACTTCCCTAGCAGATTTTTACAATTAAGGAACATCCTTTCTTCCTTAGCCCTTATAGTCCATCAAACCTATTCTATAACTTAATATAATATCTAAAAATATTTCCCCCTTGCCTTCAGATGTATTCCATTTTAAAACACAATTAAAACTACTCATAAAACAGGAAACCGACTTTCCAATTCAAAATTGCTTAAATTACAACATGAATAGCGTACAAAAAACAATTTTAAAATATTTTCAATCTATTGCGCTGAAATTACATTACAAAATCAAAGCAATAGTTTTTCCTTTACATTATAATTGGCTGTTGCAAGGTTAAAATAGAGTTTCTGGCCAATTCAAAATGAAACGAGCCAAAAACCAGCCAAACGAAAAACAGTAATCAGCCGCAGCCAACACTCATTTTAAGCCGTTTCAAAGTTGGGGGAAGTCCCTCCCCAGCCATTGTTATTTAAGCTGGTCGATTTCGTATTGCATTTTGTAAGCTGCTTTAAATTCGCCGTGTGTTGCAGAACAAAAGCCAACTGCAACTGCGACTGCCAGCAATAATATTCAACTACTGATGGCTTTTAACCGTTTGGCTGTAAGCAGTAAACACACCTTTTGAATGGCGTGTTATTTAAGCTTCCAGTGGCATTTCCATTGATTTTCAAGAGCGTATGGGGTATAGCCATCGACGTGTCCTAGTTTGGCAACTTATTTCAAGACTGTTCTGCGTCATATTCTCTCTGTGGGCAATTGGCATGACTATCCTCATGCCTATCAGCATCTGAAATTTGCGGGCCAGACTGCTGCATTTATTTAATGCCGCCCGAAATTGTGTGTGGTGCAGTGCACACGGTTGGGGCTTTGGGTCTGAACTCGAACACCACACCGGCATGCGAATGCTATTGCGATTGCGAACCCAAAAGCCCCCCGAGCCACATGGCCCGGCCTTTCTGTACCCTGTCCCCTATCCCCTCTGCCAGTTTGCCTGTGCCAACTGCCAATGAACAATTTTGCCGGTTTTTCTCCGTCCGTTGTTACTGGGATTTTAGTGCTCCACTCATTGCTGCGTTGTCGTTGTTGCCCCTGTGCTTTTGCTGTTATTGTTGGCAGCGGCGGCGGCGGCATCATCATCGTTTTTCATTTTAACAGGCGGCGCAGCCAGGAAAAAGGCAAAAATAAAGTCTAAATAAAAAGAACGTTCATTTCAGTTGGCGCTGTTGCACAGGAAAAAAATTTATTGAATTTGGCAAAACCTAAAAATTATATTATTCAAAACTATAAACTAAAATATTATAAATAAGAGTTTTCCAATTTAAGCATTTTTTTTTTGCTTTTTTGAAATTAGGTTCATTTTGGAAAAAATCAATATTATTGTATCGATATTGTTAAAATATCGAAAATATCGATAATATTCAAGCTTTATTGAAATGCTTGTAAAGTTTACTTTTACTTTACTTTATCTTTTTTATAAGAAAAATCATTTTATAAATTTAAAGATATTTAAAAATAATATTTCTATATTATTTATTTTTTTTAAAACCCCTTTAAACCTCGCAATATATTTTTCCCTGTACTGCCTCGTTTTGAACGCATACAAATTTATATATAGAGAGTCGTGTGATTGTGCGCTTGTTTTTCAGTTCACTCGTTTGGATACACACCACGAACGAAACGTTGCGAACGAGTCGGGTCGGATTGGATCGGTCTGGCTGTTGGCTTGGGCCTTTGCTATTGCCATCGCTTTTGCCCTGGCTATGGCTATGGCTTTGGCTCGGGCTCTGTTTCTGGCTCTTGCCGGTTCTGTAGGCTCTGACTCTGCGACTCTGGGCCGTGTGTTTTTGGTTGGAGCCCAGTGTGCGATTCATGGGACATTTGTCTGAGCTCTCAAAGTGGTTGACTGCCAGCGCTGGCTCTTGTTTTTTTCTGTTTTTCGCTTTTACTGCTGGCTGTTGGTCTGTCAGTTTGCCAGTCTGTCAGTCTGTTACTCTGTTAGTTTGCCATATTGTAAGTGGCTAGGGGGAGATGGCGGGGCAGGAATTGGGGCCGACTGACTGCTCTGCTGGCAAAACGAGCGAACGAACGAACGAAATAATACGAAGCGAACCAAACCCATCCGAACCGAGCGGATCCAATGCGACTTCTACTGCTGGTATACGAATATGAGAGTAGAATGTCTGTTTCTATATACAGTCGAACTTCTATAACTCGAACTGCAATTTTTTTAGGGGTTCCAGAAACTGATTATGATTTTTAATACAAAATAATAATCCAGATGGGAGAAAATATTACAATAAAATCATCAAAGTAAATAAAATTCTATTACTAACTATAATTTTTTTTTTTTTTTTTTTTTTTTTTTTTTTTTCTTTGAAAAATTGAGTGTTTTAATTAATATTTTCGATTCACTTGTAGATCAGCTCATTGAAGTAGGGCTGTATATTCATTTGCCTGTATTGGGGACTGCCTGTGTTGTTCCCTTGTGCAATGTGCGCCATGCACACTCAACACAATCGCACAAACTTTCGATTCGCTCATAAAATTTCCAGCAAGCGCAAACAGAAATTGCATGAGCATGGAGTCGAACGCTCGGGGTCTCGGGCTCAGAATCGGATTCAGAATCAGTCCCAGACGGAGAAGGAGAAGGAGGCGGAGAACCTCTCCCACACTTGGAGGATGTCTAATGAGCGACAGTCCGACTGGCTGACGTCGCTCAGCTGGGCTGTGTTCTTTATATATCTCGTCGTTCCCTGGCTCTGAGGTTAAACCCCTCCGATCCGGCGTACAAGCTGGACAAAATGAAAACCATTGCAGTCGAAGGAGGAGGGGGTGAAGATTGCGAGAGACTATGCGGGATGTGGTGAACTATTTTTTGTTGGTTTCACATTCTCACTGCTACAGTTTTTGAGGTTTATACCCTTGGCTTGGGGATTGTAGGTTTTGGGATCTGCAACATTTAAAGCAGTTTCCGTTAGTAAAATAACCTATTTTAAATTGAAAACTTACTAATCATATAATATCACATCATATCAATATCATTTCAACATTATCGATTTGTAGAATTTTAATAACCTCAATACCTTAATTTAGTTGAAAGTTTTAACTCTATATCTCGTCATAATCCATGCTAATTTAAAACTTACTAATTAGTATTGCAAAACCCTCCAGCAAGGGTATTCCAAGCGACGATCTGAATGTGTTGGGCCTTCCCTCTTGTTTTCATTTTTATGATATCCCCGAGTTTATTACTTTTTCTCTCCGACTGGCTGTGTTTATAAATTCCCTGCTGCCCCTTTCGTTGGTTTCTCGTGTGTGCCGCTCCTTTGTGCATTTAATTCTCTTATTTTTTATCTCTTCGTTGGCCGCCGCATAACAAGCACATGTATGCCAGTCCTTGTTTTCGGTTTTTGTTTTTTTGTATATTTTTTTTTTGCAACGCTCGCTTGCCACATTCATCGCTAAAGGTTTTAAGGTGATAAGCCACAAAGGTCCCACCAGAGGCACTAGTGCCCGTACCGCCGGTTGGTTCCATCGGCAGCAGCTGACAGCCAGACATAAACATACCTACCCAACCAACTAACCAACCAACCGAGCAACGAAGAACCCAACATGCATATTCTTTATTTAAATGAACGTCCACAGATGACACGGCATAAAAAGCGGTGAAGTGCGCTTTCGAGGGCCAAAAGTCGAACTTGTGGCCAATGCTGCTACATCATCATCGCATCTTGAGAACGCGAGATGAAAGATGATGGGTTTTTGATTTTTTTTTTATTTTTCAAGTGGGATCCAAGGGCGATTCCCCTTTGCTGAAATCGTGCCCAAAAATTGGACTCCCAACACTTTTTGGCGCGCAAATCTTGGCTGAACTTTATATCGCTTATGAATTCGGATTGATGGGGAAAGGGGGTTCAGGGATGTGGGAGGTTTTTTTATATCTGTTTTTTATTTGTGTTTGCTTCGCATTATTTTCGTTATAAATGATTTCATTGTTGTTGTATCCGCAGCGCTTGTTTTTCTTTCCAAGTAATTTTTCTACGCGACCACAGCGCGCACACACAGATACAGACTACAAACGTGGGCCGCTTGTTGTGTTTGCCCACCCCCCCTGCGAGACCTAACCCCCCTAACATCTAACCCCTCTACGCCCCTTTGCACAAAGCATTCTATCCGGCCTGGCCTTTAGCTTTGCTTTTGATTTTGCCAGCTTGCCTGCTGCTTGCTTGCTATTCTCGTCATCGTCTCGCAACTCAAGTGGTGTACCCCCCTTGAGAAAACCCCTCGCTAAAATACGAATTCGAATACGAATGGCCTGCCTTTCTGCCCTGCCGTCGTTGCTTATTTCATTTTATTATATTCCAACATTTAGAGTGTACGTGCGACGGTATGGGTGTGTATCTGTGTGCGCATGTTTCTGTTCCTTATCTACGTCTTTGTCATCGTTGCCTTTGCCGTTGCCGTTGCCTTTCGTTCGTTCGTTTGCTTCGAGCGCGCCATAACTACCACAGCCACTTGCCCGATCCCCGGGTAGTCGTAGCCTCCATCCGTCGCCTAAGCCCCGCTCCCTACCCCCCAGCACCCCCCTTCTGCCCCTTCTTCCCCTTGGAACGCTTCAAGTTGCAGCCGTCCGTCGTCGTCGTCGTTGTCGCTCGCCCGTTGGTTGGTTGCTTGGCTGGCTGGCTGACTGCTCGGTTCGTTCCACATAGCTTTTATGCCCCGCTCCGCTACGTCTCCACACCCCCCATCCCATCCCATACAACACCATACTATACCATACCATACCATACTATACCATCCCGTGCCCATGCCGCCGCCTTGTGCCGTCAGTTCGTCGTCGTACATTTCATTTCACTTCACTTAATTTCTCAGATACCAAAACGAACAACGTTCGCTCGTTCGTTCGTTCGTTGTATTTTTCTTTCTGCTGCCGCTGTGGCTGTTCAGGGTCTTAGTGCGAATATATTAAAGGGGGGAGATCTTAACGTAAAGTTAAAACAAAGTTTTGACTAATAAATGTAATATTATCTAAGAAATACATGTAAGTTTACTCTTAAAACAACATTTGAAGCAATCTTACAATATCCCTTTAGAATCTCAAGTTAAGATATACGTATTTCTGATATAAAATTAATTAGATGAATATTTTTCAAGTAAATAATGTAAAGACATCGGGACTTGCAGACCTGTTTTCTATTCCAAAATCGTAGATTTAATATTTTTGACGATACCCAGCTACTTATTTTTTTTATTTACTTTTTTTTTATTTTTTTTATTTATTTTTTTATTTATTTTTGTTTATTTATTTTAATACTATATGTTGATTAGGTGCTTTATGCTTTAGTTCTGAAAACAGTGGTGTTTAAATAGTTCTTTGGAAAATATTCCATATTCTTCCATGTCCAAAATTTGTACATTTTATATTTTTTTACGATACTTAGCTTCATTTTTTAAACATTTTTTTTTTGTACTATAGGTTGTGTAGGTGCTTTATGCTTTAGGCCTAGTACTCACTTCAATCAAAAAGTCTACGAATTGAAAATCTCCAGTGGTGCTTAATATAGTTATTTTTGTAAGATTCTTATTTTACGATACGACAGTACTATATGTTGATTAGGTGCTTTATGCTTTAGTCCTCAAAACAGTGGTGTTTATATAGTTCCTTGGAATATATTTCTTATTCTTCGAGACCCCCCCTTAAGTGCGCCCCTGCTCCTGCTTAGCTCTCTCTCTCCGCTGGGGTTTTTGCCATGGCCCTGTGTGTGTGAGTGTTTCGAATTGCTGTCGACTTAAGCTTTATGTGCACGTCTGCTGCCGCTGTTGTTGTAGCTGCCATGTGTGCTGGTGCTCCGATGTGTGTGTGCGAGTGGGGCTGTTTGTGTGTAGCTTTTTCTTGATTTTCTTATAAGTTATAGGCGGCAAAAAGTTAAAGTCGTGTCGCATCGCACCGAGTTTCTGGTGCCTGCAGACTGTTTTAAGAGTTGTTATTGTTCAAGCAGCTTGGCGTTTATGAATTCGGATTCGGATTCCTCCCCCTGACCGGGTTATAATAATTGTGAGCTACGGGTAAGTGGGAGCGGTGAAGGAGTCGCAAATTCCGCAGGCAATGTCAGGAAAGGTCGCGGGACGAGGGGCAGGAGACGTGTGATGTCCCGTGCTTTCCCCCAAACCATTCGGGATCTTTTGGCAACAGCATTTGACATCGCGGAATGGGTCCAAACACCCACCCAAAACATCTGATTGCCATGAATATGTTTACGGTGGTCTACACGACCACCACTTCAAAAACTCAATCTCAGTCATATGCTCGCGTTTTACATTTGTGTGTGTGCGCGTTGGAAGTTGCTTAATTGCGGTTGCCGCTTGGCTAATTCATAGTTGCTATCACTTTCATTTAAATAAATAAATACTACAAAAAATGCCACCTGCCGGCCGGCATTTGGTGCCATTGCACTTGATTGAATGCACATTAATAGCGGAACTCGTTCCGGTTTTCTTTCACCTTTCCAGGAGCTAATTGGACAGAACAGCAACGACAGCTCCAGCGGCGGGGCGCACAGTGGCATGGGCTCCGGTCCGCCTGGAACCCCCAATCCCCAACAGGTGATGCGACCCACACCCTCGCCCACCGGCTCCTCCGGTTCGCGTTCCATGTCCCCGGCAGTCGGTAAGTATTTCATTTCATTCACCATTTAAAGGAGCCTAATAATCATAATCCCTTTTCCCCTCTCAGCTCAAAACCATCCAATTTCGCGTCCCGCGAGCAACCAGTCGAGCAGCGGCGGACCTATGCAACAGCCGCCTGTTGGAGCGGGTGGCCCACCGCCGATGCCGCCGCATCCGGGAATGCCGGGAGGTCCGCCCCAGCAGCAGCAGCAGCAATCTCAGCAGCAACAAGCATCGAATTCGGCCTCGTCGGCGAGCAATTCGCCGCAGCAGACACCGCCACCGGCACCGCCGCCAAATCAGGGTATCAACAACATGGCCACGCCCCCACCACCACCGCAGGGGGCGGCGGGAGGTGGATACCCGATGCCTCCACACATGCACGGCGGCTACAAGATGGGCGGACCGGGCCAGAGTCCTGGTGCCCAGGGATATCCGCCGCAGCAGCCACAGCAATATCCACCAGGTGAGATTCGTATGCTTTCATTGCTTGGAATTAGCTTAAACTAAGGCACTCTTTATACCCGTTACTCGTAAAGTAAAAGGTATATATATTCTTGATCAGGATCACTAGCCGAGTCGATCTAGCCATGTCCGTCTGTCCGTATGAACACTAAGATCTCGGAAACTACAAAAGCTAGATAGTTGGGATTACCCACACATATTCTTTGGCTTCCTACGCAGCGCAAGTTTTAAAATGTGTCTGGCGCCCACATTTTTGAAGATTTCGGTGAAAGTGAAAATGCAGCTTTATTGTGTTTATCAAAACCTATCGAAATGTTGAAAAAATTTTTCAAATCGGACCATTTGTTAAAAAGTTATTCGCGATTAAAATTTTTAGAGTGACGGGTATCTGATATTCGTAGTACCGGACTTTAGCTTTCTTTCTTGTGAGGTTTAGCCTCCTTCTAAAAGCATCCCCAACTTTACATCATTACTAATCGTTGGCTCATTTCCAGGCAACTACCCGCCGCGCCCGCAGTATCCGCCTGGCGCCTATGCCACCGGACCACCGCCGCCGCCCACAAGCCAAGCAGGAGCCGGTGGTGCCAACAGCATGCCCTCGGGGGCCCAGGCAGGCGGCTATCCGGGTCGAGCCATGCCGAACCACACTGGCCAATATCCGCCGTATCAGTGGGTTCCGCCTTCGCCGCAGCAAGCCGGACCGGGCGGAGCTCCCGGCGGTGCGATGGTGGGCAATCATGTGCAGGGCAAGGGCACACCGCCACCACCGGTAGTGGGCGGACCACCTCCGCCTCAGGGTGGCAGTGGATCGCCGCGACCCTTGAACTATCTGAAGCAGCATTTACAGCACAAGGGTGGCTACGGAGGGAAGTCCGACACCGCCGCAGGGGCCACAGGGCTACGGCAATGGGCCGACCGGAATGCATCCCGGCATGCCGATGGGGCCACCCCACCACATGGGACCTCCGCACGGACCCACCAATATGGGTCCGCCCACTAGCACACCGCCGCAGTCGCAGATGCTCCAGGGCGGCCAGCCGCAGGGGCAGCAGGGACAGGTCGTCGGCGGCGTGGGACCACCGGAAAGTGGTGGGCCCGAGCATATATCGCAGGACAACGGGATCAGCTCCTCGGGACCAACGGGTGCCGGTGGAATGCATGCGGTCACTGCTGTGGTCACCACCGGACCGGATGGAACGCCCATGGACGAAGTCAGTCAGCAGAGCACGCTCTCGAATGCATCAGCGGGTGAGTAGAACGGGGATGTACGCCGCAGTGCTGCCATTTTGTCCTTTTTCCGGACAGATTTGTCCTTTTTTAACGGCTTTCCGAAAATCTGTCCTTTTTTCGAAAACAAGGTTTTTAATGTTAGTTTTGCTAGTCCTTGGTTTTGGTTGGGTTTTTATCAACAAAAAATCAAATAATTTTTCGATTTTTTCTTTTAAAACTGGTTAGAGTAATTAATACAATCCTTTTTCATATTATTTTAATAGTTTTTGAATTCCAGACTTTTTTTCCGACCTGCCAAAGTCAAAAAATTAGATTTTTTGCTAAAAAAAAATTTGACTTTTCATTTTAAGAAAAAATTTTGTTGTCTTTTTTTCCCGTTGTTCCCGATCTGTCCTGTTTTTTGAGCTGAGTGATGGCAGCACCGGTACGCCTTTCAGAGATTTTCAACTTATTTTATTCCTTTTTTTTTGCAGCATCTGGCGAAGACCCACAATGCACCACACCAAAGTCGCGCAAGAATGATCCCTATAGCCAAAGTCACTTAGCCCCGCCGAGCACGTCGCCCCATCCGGTTGTGATGCACCCAGGCGGCGGTGGCCCCGGCGAGGAGTACGAAATGAGTTCGCCACCCAATTGGCCACGCCCGGCTGGTAGCCCGGTAAGAAGATCTTGCTCATGAAACTAAAGAAATTTCTTGAATGTTTTAATTTTCCCTTACAGCAGGTGTTCAACCATGTTCCGGTGCCGCAGGAACCATTCCGCAGCACCATCACCACGACCAAGAAGTCGGACTCGCTGTGCAAGCTGTACGAGATGGACGATAACCCGGACCGACGCGGCTGGCTGGACAAGCTGCGGGCGTTCATGGAGGAGCGGCGCACTCCGATCACCGCCTGCCCCACCATCTCAAAACAGCCACTCGATTTATATAGGTTATATATTTATGTAAAAGAACGTGGCGGATTCGTCGAGGTATGCAAGGTGCCGTAGTAACTCCTTTTACTAACTTCTTTTTAGATTTACTACTAGCAAAACCAAATCAACCAAACCAAACCAAAACACCACCAACGTAGTTAACACGAACCAAAAACCAAACCAAATCCAAATCAAAATATCAAAAATATCCACATATATTGTGATTCGGCTACAGTAAACAAGAAACTAAAGTCAAGCCACCCAGCTACTTATGTACCAACCTTTTGCCCCAGCATCAGCCTCCGATCCATGTGTCAAAATTGTAGCTGCATCCTGAGTATAGGGGCAAGCTTTCCATAGGAAAAAGCCAAAGCGATTGTTGTACAGCCTTGGTTTTCCCCTAGACTTGCATGCTCTAAGCCGAATCCAAGCACAACTTGGTCTTACCTTTAACTATTTTGATCTGAAATATTTAATATCTATTAGGCATGATCTCTAATAATTTATCCATTTCCATTAAGGGTTTACCCTATTTCTTTGCAATTGCAATTTCTTTTTCGGTTTTCATATTAGTAGAGAGTATTAGTAGCCAAAGCCTGAACTTTCAAGTTCGTCGAAAGCATCCACTTTTAGAGGCACTCTGATTATTTCATTTTACTCAGCTTGTTGTTTGTTTTTTTTTTTTATTAATTTATCATTTCCATCAACATTTTTAAAGAAAAAAAGTCTAATTTTGAGTCTATTATTAAATGAATAAGTGAATCAAAATTCATATTTTTTATTTCATTGATTGGTTTTAATTGTGTGCTACTCCTTAACCTTCAGTAGTTCCCCCATCCCATCCTAATTTTTCCAAGTTGTTTAAGTAGTTTTTAGTTTCCCTTAGAATGCTAGCGATCCTACCACTTGCTAAATGCATCCACACAAATACTGTTTGTGCTCGCAACCTTTTGATTCTCCTCTTTTTCGATCGAGACTTGCGTCATGAACTTTGGAGTCGCCACATTGGCTCTTGATTAAAATCACTGCGATTCTCTCATTCCATCAGGTGACCAAGAGCAAGACCTGGAAGGACATTGCCGGACTTTTGGGCATCGGGGCGAGTAGCAGTGCGGCATACACGCTGCGAAAGCACTACACCAAGAACCTACTGACCTTCGAGTGCCACTTTGACCGCGGTGACATCGATCCCCTGCCGATAATCCAACAAGTGGAGGCGGGCAGCAAGAAGAAGACGGCCAAGGCGGCGTCGGTTCCTTCGCCAGGTAAGTGTTTAGCCCTAAACCATTTGCTTGAACACCCGATGCTTAATTTAAATTTTTGTTTCGTTTTTTTTCGGTTCGTTTGATTTTGCCCTCCCCGTTTTCTCGTGGACAACTTTTTTCACCACTTTTTCCTCGCCCAATCGCCACATCTCAAAACCAACAACGAAAAAAAACAACTTGCAAACCATTTACAACCAATCGGTGGTGGACATTTGGATGCTGGTACCACGAACTCCACAGGCTCCTCGAACTCTCAGGACTCGTTCCCGGCCCCGCCTGGCTCCGCTCCAAACGCGGCGATCGACGGCTATCCCGGCTATCCGGGTGGCAGTCCATATCCGGGAGCCAGCGGGCCGCAGCCGGATTATGCGGCCGCTGGCCAAATGCAGCGTCCGCCATCCCAGAACAACCCGCAGACTCCTCATCCCGGTAAGAACCACTCAAAACCTCTTCTTAAATAAGTAAATTATTCATATTGTGGCTTGAGATCATAACATTTTATTACAACATTGTACAAATCGCTTAACAGCTCGCTAAATATGATAAAAGCAGAGCTGGGCGATTTGCAATAATGTTATAAAAGTTAAAACTGATCTTGCCACTCTGATACATAATACTAAATTTTGATTTTGTGGTAACCATTTTATGTTTTGGTATCTTTGTTTTTGATGATTGCTAAATTGTTAACGGATAGATGATATGCTTCTTCTCGAACCTATTTCGCCAACTTTCTGTACATATATATACGTGTATTTAAGTATACGACTTTTAAATGATTACGTTGATCAATAATTATTAATTATTAATTTGATGTGTGTATTTTGTTTATTCATTTTTATGTTTTTGTAACGTTTGTGTGGGCGCACTACTAAAATAAATAACTCCACAACCAACCACCAACCACCATCACAACAACGATGCTTCCATGTATCTCCACCACCACCACCACCACCAAAACAACAAACAACCAAACAATTCATTTGTGTGATTCATTGACTCATTCATTTCGATTCATCCAAACCAAAAATCATCCAAATCGCCGCTTGCCGCCCCTCAGGCGCCGCCGCCGCTGTTGCCGCCGGCGATAATATAAGCGTGAGCAATCCCTTCGAGGATCCTGGTCCTGGCCCAGGTCCAGGTGCTGGTCCCGGTGCTGCTGGAGCTGGAGCTGTTGCTGCTGTGGGCGGTGGTCCGCAACCACATCCACCGCCCCCACATTCACCGCACACCGCAGCCCAACAGGCGGCCGGCCAACAGCAGCAGCAGCAGCATCCTCAGCATCAGCATCCTGGGCTGCCGGGGCCACCGCCGCCACAGCAGCAACAGCAGCAGGGGCAGCAGCCACCACCGCCACCAGTGGGCGGTGGACCACCACCACCAGCACCACAGCAGCATGGGCCAGGTGGCCAGGTGCCGCCGTCGCCTCAGCAGCATGTGCGCCCAGCCGCCGGAGCACCTTATCCGCCGGGTGGCTCCGGCTACCCAACGCCTGTGTCTAGAACGCCAGGTATACTCATGTTTTATTTTGCTCCCTCATCTCTTTTTTTATCCTATTTTCACATTCTTTCCTTCATGTGCCATCGTTTTTCGTTTGTCTTTATGTTGCTTTAGTATTAAGATTAAGCTTGGCTATTGACTGTGTTTCTAAATAGTTTAATGATTGTAATGATTGCATGGCTGGTGTACTGCATTTAACACTTTTAATCTAAGCTATTACTATATTATAATGTCTTTTATAATTTTAAAAGCTCTCTTTTCAGTTTTTTTTGTTATTTTTATTTTTTAATGGGATTTTAAATTAAATTAAATTAAAATTACTTTACTTGAGCTTTAAATTGAGTATTTTTATATTTGTATGCATTTTACTTTAGCAATTTTTAGTTTCAGACGAATATTTCAAATCTAAAAGCTCGTCGTTTCGTAATCGTTTTTATATTTCTGTTACGCAAGCTCTTTTTTCATTTATTTTTACTTTTTTTATTTATTTTATATACTAAACCACGATATTTTTGATTATTTATGTTATTCCAAAATTGTCAAATGCGCATTTCGAATATGCATTTCCTTAAAATTACTTTACTTGAGCTTTAAACTGAGTATTTCTATATTTGTATGCATTTGACTTTAGCAATTTTTAGTTTCAGACGGATATTTCGAATCTTAAAGCCCGTCGTTTCGTAATCGTTTCCATATTTCTGTTACGCAAGCAATTCTCATCGTTCTTATCGCTATGCTTATGAATAATTCTTGCAGGCTCACCTTATCCATCACAGCCCGGGGCATACGGGCAGTACGGCTCGAGCGATCAGTACAACGCCACGGGGCCACCCGGCCAGCCATTCGGACAGGGTCCAGGACAATATCCGCCGCAGAACCGAAACATGTACCCTCCCTACGGACCGGAGGGGGAAGCGTGAGTGCACCCCAATTAACCCACATCAGACCCCTCACACACAACACATCCAGACCCCTACTCACCATCCTCTGTACTGTAGCTGCCCGATAAAAACTCACTGGACTGAGCTTGCAAGCTGTGATTTATTACTGAGAAGCTTTGCTAACTTTGGTTTTTGTTTTGTTCTTCAAACTCTTTTACAGTCCTCCAACCGGTGCCAATCAGTACGGTCCCTACGGCAGCCGACCTTACAGCCAACCTCCGCCAGGTGGTCCTCAGCCGCCGGCGCAGACGGTTGCAGGTGGACCCCCGGCAGGCGGAGCTCCAGGAGCACCGCCCAGTAGCGCCTATCCCACGGGCAGGCCCACTCAGCAGGACTACTATCAACCACCACCAGATCAAGTGAGTCAAACGCCCATACTTAAGAGCTAATCATTTGCTTCGTTTGAATTAGAGCCCTGCACAAGTAACCTGACTTGTTTTCCAAACCTTAAATTGTATTTGGGAAAATGAGTCAATTTTTACCCAAACCCAAACCATAACGACCCAAGTCAAATGGGGTTCAAGTAGATCAGTTCGGATTTAAGGTTACCCAAAGAAAAAAATTGATTTTTAAATAAGAGGATGATCATAATTTTCACAGCTTAACGACCCGTCGCGAATTCTTAAGCTCAATATAGTTATTTGTGTATAATATTTAAAATTAAAGGATACGATATATCGACATTTGTTTTCACTTCTTCCGCCCATGCGAATTCTTGTGTTTTTCAAATATTACAGATATTCTCTTGCTCTAAAGAATTCGCGGATTTTGAAAAATCAATTAAGAATATATCATTTGGTTTTTTATTTAAGTTATGTATGATCCACACAAATAAATTCTCGTGTTCCTAAGAATTCGCGGTATTTGAAAAATCGATAGTAATATACTCTATAGGTTTCTTTAGTTAATTTATGAATGATTCACGCAAATATATCCTCTTAATCCTAAGAATTCGCGGTTTTTGAACAAATCTATTAATTTAAGATCTTTTATAGATTTTATATTAATTCTTTCAACCCGCGAATTCTTAACAACAGGAGGATCTTCAGATTGGTTGAATATTACCAACGCTAAATGTGTTATATTTTTTGCAGAGTCCACAGCCACGAAGGCATCCCGATTTCATCAAAGACTCGCAGCCCTATCCAGGCTACAATGCTAGGCCTCAACTTTATGGTGAGTCTTACAAATAACCATTGTGCGTTTAGAAGGTTAATAATAATAATCTCTTTTTAAACCAGGTGCTTGGCAAGGCGGTACACAGCAATATCGGCCACAATACCCCAATTCGCCTGCTCCGCAAAGCTGGGGAGGTGCTCCGCCACGCGGTGCGGCGCCTCCGCCAGGCGCACCACATGGACCGCCCATCCAGCAGCCGGCTGGAGTGGCCCAGTGGGATCAGCACCGGTACCCGCCGCAGCAGGGTCCTCCGCCGCCACCCCAGCAGCAGCAGCAGCCGCAACAGCAACAGCAGCAGCCGCCGTATCAGCAGGTGGCCGGTCCGCCGGGACAGCAGCCGCCTCAGGCGCCGCCACAGTGGGCACAGATGAACGCCGGCGGACAAGCGGCGCAGCCAGGCGGCATAGCGCCACCCGGCTCACCATTGCGTCCGCCCTCCGGACCAGGTCAGCAACAAAGAATGCCCGGAATGCCGCCACAGCAGCAGCAATCGCAACAACCGGGCGGTGTTCAACAGGCACCGCCGCAACAGGCCTCCCATGGCGGCGTTCCATCACCCGGATTGCCGCAAGTGGGACCCGGAGGAATGGTTAAGCCACCGTACGCCATGGCACCGCCACCATCGCAGGGCGTCGTGGGTCAGCAAGTGGGCCAGGTGCCTCCCAGCGGCATGATGCAGGCACAGAAGCAACCACCGATGCCGGGCCAGGTGCAGATGCAGCAACAGCCACTGCAGCAGCAGCCTCCACCGCATCATCCTCATCAGCATCCACAGCACCCGCATCCGCACCAGATGCCGCCCAATCAGACTGCACCAGGCGGCGGTGGATACGGACCGCCTGGAATGCCCGGCGGCGGAGCCCAGCTGGTGAAGAAGGAGTTGATCTTTCCGCACGACAGCGTGGAGTCCACCACACCGGTTTTGTACCGGAGAAAGCGGCTCACCAAGGCAGACGTGTGCCCGGTGGATCCATGGCGGATATTTATGGCCATGCGATCGGGTCTGCTGACCGAATGCACCTGGGCGCTAGATGTTCTCAACGTACTATTGTTCGACGACTCGACGGTGCAGTTCTTTGGCATCTCGAACCTGCCCGGCCTGCTGACCCTGCTGCTTGAGCACTTTCAGAAGAATCTCGCCGAGATGTTTGACGAACGGGAGAACGAGAACGAGCAGGCGGAGGAGGCGGCGGCAGCGGATGACGATGCGGACAGCGGCACTGTGATGTGTGAGAAGCTGCGACAGCGGCAGTCGCGGTGTGTGCGCAGCATTAGCAGTTACAACCGCAAGCGGCACTACGAGAACATGGATCGCAGTGGAAAGGGCAGTCACGGCAATCAAGGCAGTGACTCCGAGGACGCCGACGAGGGCATCGATTTGGGACAGGTGCGAGTGCAGCCCAATCCCGAGGAGCGCTCGCTGCTGCTCTCCTTTACGCCCAACTACACGATGGTCACGCGCAAGGGTGTGCCGGTGCGCATCCAGGCCGCCGATCACGACATCTTCGTGGACGAGCGCCAGAAGGCCTGGGACATAGACACCAACCGGCTGTACGAACAGCTGGAGCCCGTGGGCAGCGATGCCTGGACGTATGGGTTCACCGAACCGGATCCCCTCGACGGCATCATCGACGTCTTCAAGTCTGAGATTGTAAACATTCCATTTGCACGCTACGTCCGCTCTGAAAAGAGGGGAAAAACGCGGACGGAAGTGGCGGCGAGCACGGCCAGAAAGGCGGAAATCAAGCAGGAGGAAGAGGCATTCAACAAGAAGAGGCGACTGATCAGCAGCAGCAGCAGTGGACCTCCAGCTGAGGGCAAGAAGTCCAAGCTCGAAGAGTTTGCCCAGCCAAGCGTCGAAGTGAAGAAGGAGCCTGGAACGACCGACAGCGATTGTCGCCCCGTTGACATGGACATTGAGGCGCCCCAGCAGCGTTTGACTAATGGCGTGGCGGCACCCTGCTCCTCCGACGTCTTTGATCCGCGGACGACAGCCAAAGACGTGGCGCATGTGCTGCAGCGGCGGCGTGACTCCAGCTTCGAGGACGAGTGCTACACACGCGACGAGGCGTCCCTGCATTTGGTCAACGAGAGTCAAGACTCGTTGGCCCGTCGCTGCATCGCCCTTTCCAACATCTTCCGCAACCTGACGTTCGTGCCCGGCAACGAAACGGTGCTGGCCAAGTCCACCAGATTCCTGGCGGTGCTGGGGCGTCTGCTGCTGCTCAACCACGAGCACCTGCGTCGCACGCCGAAGACAAGGAACTATGATCGCGAGGAGGACACGGACTTTAGCGACTCGTGCAGCTCGCTGCAGGGGGAGCGAGAATGGTGGTGGGACTACCTGATCACCATTCGCGAGAATATGCTGGTGGCCATGGCCAACATAGCCGGTCACTTGGAGCTGTCGCGCTACGATGAGCTGATAGCGCGCCCCCTGATTGATGGCCTGCTGCACTGGGCCGTCTGTCCGAGTGCCCATGGCCAGGATCCCTTCCCCTCGTGCGGACCCAACACTGCGCTCTCTCCGCAGCGCCTGGCGCTCGAGGCGCTCTGCAAGCTGTGCGTAACGGATGCCAATGTGGACCTTGTCATAGCCACTCCACCATTCTCGCGACTCGAGAAGCTGTGCGCCGTGCTCACGCGACATTTGTGCCGCAACGAGGATCAGGTGCTGCGCGAGTTCTCCGTGAATCTGCTGCACTACCTGGCCGCCGCCGACAGCGCAATGGCTCGCACTGTCGCTCTTCAGTCGCCGTGCATCTCCTATCTGGTTGCGTTCATCGAACAGGCCGAGCAAACGGCGCTGGGCGTGGCGAATCAGCACGGCATCAATTACCTACGCGAGAACCCCGACTCGATGGGCACCAGCCTGGATATGCTGCGGCGAGCAGCGGGAACCCTGCTCCATCTGGCCAAGCATCCGGATAACCGATCGCTGTTCATGCAACAGGAACAGCGGCTGCTCGGTTTGGTAATGTCGCACATTCTGGATCAGCAAGTGGCTTTGATTATTTCCCGGGTACTCTACCAAGTGTCGCGCGGCACAGGACCCATACACTCGGTGGAGTTCCGCCTGCTACAGCAGCGGCAGCAGCAACAGCTGCGTCCGGGAGCGGCGGAGAAGCAAGTTGCGGCAGTGAAGCCGGCGGAATCCGCAGCGGCACCTGAAGCGAGTTCCACTGAAACGAAGCCTGCGTCGGCAGTGGTAAACGATGAGAACAGCAACAGCAGCCAGCAGCTGCCGCCCGCAGCGACATTCAACGACGTGAGCAACAGCAGCACCAACAGCAACAGCTGCGGCACGGCCAGCAGCAACCAGACGAACAACAGCACCACCAACAGCAGCCACAGCAGCAGTGCGATTAGCAGCCAATCCACGTTCACGGTGCCGGGAGCAACAGGAGCAACATCTGCAATAACCAGCGATCAGCAGGTGAGCAAGGTGGCTGCAGCGGCGGCCGCAGCTGCGGCTCTAAGCAATGCCAGTGCAGCGGCAGCAGCAGCAGCTGCAGCGGCGGCGGCAGCAGCGGCTTCCGTTGGCCCGCCCCCGTCGTCGTCGTCGAATGTGTCCGCTGGAGCGGCGGTGGCTCAGCCAGCGGCACCGCCGCCAACCAATGCAGGAACAACGACAGCCGTTGCGTAGTATACGACAATGATGCCAGCGTCCTACTACTGGCCACGAACCCCCCGAGGGGCAGTGGACTAAACTGATCCCTGAGTCAAAGTGGAGAAGGCATGTAAATTTACTTAAACGGCGCCAAGCTCCAAGGATACGTAAACGGGAACCTAGGAGGAGCAGAGGAGCAGCGGAATGGGTCACCTATCCATCACTGTAACAGTCAATACAATAACAACTGTATATTTTTTCACTCAAATCTAAAAATAGTAAATATGATAACACTAAACCCTAAGCATTAAGCAATTGCAGCAGCAAAATTACGATAATACAAAACGAAAACTGTTTAGGACAGCAAAACTGATACTATCCGATCGGGGATTATTATTGAGACGAACATACATTAATGATGTGGAAAATAACGGAGGGAAGAGCAAAATTCAAGCACACAGCATACTTATTGTATTAAATTTAATAAAAAAAACGAAGGGACGCGAAAGGAGGATTAACTAACACATACATATGCATACGCACGCTATGGTTTATCGTATATTAAATATATATATAAATAAATGCATAAATTAACATTAACTTACATGAGAATGAATTGTGTATGTGAAAGGGATGAATGCATACACACGTACATATAGACATTGATATATAAATATATAGAGAATAGTTTTTAAATTCTACCACTTACTAAAATACCTACATATAACCGCAATGTGCAGCATTGGAACTCATAAACTGAACAAACTGAACAGCAAAAAGAGAGCATACGGAAAATATTGAGACCCAACCAACATACGACCTATTGTATTGCAGTTTAATGGATTTTATGTGGACTAGGGCACCGCAGACCGATAGGAGAGGATTAAATAACTTGTACATACTTAACTATTATGTAAATTTCACTGTATTTTTCTGTTTTTTACGCAATGTTACAAGGCACATGTAAGTGGCAGCACTGCATTTCGTATTATGTTTATGTGTATGTTGTGTGGATGGTCTGCAAAAATTCCAATTTCTTAGTTTTAATCGCATAACTCGGAGGCGAAACTCGGAAACGAAATTAAGCGAAACAAGCATACAAATGAAGGCAAACAAACAATTTAAATTAAAATCAAATTAGGTGATATAAATATATAAATATACATAACATATGCATACATACTGAACATATAAAAAGAGATGATGAAAAATTGAAAAAACCGAACACCCTAATGCTGTAATTTTATGTTAACTGTATTATTTGCTGGAAGTGCTGCTGCTTCATTTTATTTTATACCGTACTTACTTAAGGCGTAAATGACAAGATAAATAATTAGGTTTTTATCTTAATATTAATTTAAAATATTAAATAAATAAAACCAAGAAAACAACAAAACACAACCGTAAAATGCTATAAAACACAAAGCGAAGCAAATCGAACTAAAGCTGTAGAGAAGCACGCAAATACGACTAATAACACACACCCACACCCAAAAAGCTTGGCGTTAGGAAACCAATAAACAAACAAAAACAAAACCATATATGGGTGGGTGCACCAATTTGTATACTAAACTTTCTCACATATAATTAACGTGCTACGTAAGAGATAACGAAAATGAACTGTCTGTCTCTCCAGATTCTAACTCTAGTAATCCTCCTGTATTTCGGGGCGATTGCCTAGATCCAGGGGAACTACAAGACATTGAGGGATTATAGAAAAGTGCTGCTGTTGATACGTGTATTCGTGTAGTTGTTTGCAAACAAATATTATAACTCAGCATCTCGATATATAACGTGTAGTTATTAGTCTATAATTTGCTAGGATGTAAATGTATGTCCCTCAAACTTAATTTAATTATTTAATTAATATACATACATATATGATATACAATACAGCCTTTGTCTTTGTTGTTTCTTTACCGCGAATGGATAATGGAAATGTGGTTTCAGATTGTAACTTCTTTGGAACAGAATCGTAAGTTCCAAAAATACACAGGATACCTAGTTGCCGGCAGGATTGGAGCTGATCCGGACTCCATATTCGTATATTAATATTATCCTAAAAGGGGAAGCATGCCGTGGAACAGCATTTGACATCCTCCCAAAGCAAGGAAGGATTGGAAGCCATTAAACCGAAACAAAAGTATGCCCTATGGGCATTAAATTGTGTTAATTTAGACGGATATAAACATACTGCATACTTATTTTTCGAGTTTAACGGGTGGTATTTGTGCAATCGCGGTTTGAAAAAAAAAACAACATTTAATGTTTTGATTTAAGATATCTTTGAGGGTCTGTGCTCAATTATAATAAATCCTATGCCAAAAAATTGCTTAGATGCCCGTCTACATAATTGCATTTAAGGTTCCATCATAATTTGAGTCAATCAAAGCCTATGAGCCATTGAAGTAATTTATTCACCTCTATTCCCAACCATCTTGATGCGGCGAACAGGCTTAAAAAAATACAAGGGAAAATATGTGCCTTAAAATATTTGGCAGGCATCTAGAGACATATTTTCCCAAATTTTTGAGATAAATACCACTATTGTACTTCGAAGGATGGAATTTATAGAATTTTTTCCATAAGGACGTAAAAAGTAACGGGTGGTAACCATTGATATGTGTCTGGAAGATGGCACACTGTTTCATACGTTTTTAGATTTTCTCCTTTTTTTATGGGGAGAT